CTTCAAAGGGGTCGGGTTGTAATAACGGATAGATTACATGGACATATATTATGCACTTTATTGAATATACCCCATGTTTTAATAGACAATAGATTCAAGAAATTATCAAGTTATCATAATACCTGGACACGTAGCTTACAAAATACAATGATTACCACAGACGCTAACGACGCTGTGCAAATGGCGCTAAAGTTGTTGGAAAAATATAAGCATGACATTCCTCCTATAGCACCATTTATGGAAGTAAATGAACATCCTTACGAGGATAGCCGGGGTCGACCAATAACTCCCACTTTGCCTTTTGAATTTACCAAAAAGAAGAATCTAAAAGTGAAGTGAAAATACCAAAACAGTATAATAGACTATTTAAAAGTATTGATTTGTGCATTAATGTTTGCTTGTCGCCTCTCTCCTTATTTCGATTCCAAGCTGATATTGCCATAATTGTTTTGATTTGCGGTGTTGGGCAAAGCTTCCATGCCGCTAGGCAAAGCATACGAATGGATCGAAGTGTAGCATGGAAGGCATCTTTTCCCATGAACTTAACTAGAATGCTTACTATTTAATGACATAGTCCTGTTCTCAACCTCTGTATGTGTGTGGAAAATATTGTTTTAAAACATTAATCCCAAAGGAGATACTATGGAATTAATTCGACAGTTGATTGTTTACATTTTGTCACTGGTTATTCCGGGTGTTAGTTAAAACCTTTCTATGTCCGTAATGCGGTCCTACTGTCAACTAATGATATACGACAGAAATAAAAAAAAATTACAAAATAAAATGTTTTTGTTTATCAGAATACCGAATTCGCAGCAACAGTGTCCATTAGAATAAATATATGTAAAAGGAAAATCAGTGAGCGGAAAATCAACCAGTCCTATCACGTTATCCTATAAGTTACCATGAGGTTGGCTATAACTCTGCATACCAAGTGGGGATTCATAAATTAGTACGGGAACGTAGTCATTAAGGGCGCATTTGGCGCCAAATGGAACAATGCACCACTCCCCACCCCCATCCTAATATTATAACCATCAAAATATTGCTGGAAAAGGGCGATGTCCCATTTTCGTTTTTCCATCCCGTGAATGCATCTACTTCAAAGTGGTCTAATATAGCCCCTGTCTTCATTAGCCAAGTCGGGACAGAACCGTAGGACGTTAAACCCATTTCATTTCTAATATAGCCTAACTTCGGTGGCTGACTGAATTCCAGTCTACCAATGAATGGTTTACACTCTACGACGAGGGCTGTCGGGTGGGGGTGGGGGGATTTTGAACATTGCAAACGCGTGTTCCTGCTATTTCAGCAACTTCAATGATAATAATAATAATAATATCCATTTATAAAGCGCTACATCAACAAAACGTGTTCATGGCCTACCTGAATTCCAAATAAGAAATCAATCGTTTATTCCATGGAGCGTTACGGCCGCAAAAGTGTTTTTCTTCCCAAGTCCGTGAGTTGTTCAATGGTTTTGCAACCGAAATCCCTTTCCATGCCGACCTGAATTCCAGTCATCCAATTGCAGCTGAATTCTTTTATAATACACCCCCCCCCACCTCCCCATCTCCTGGCTCGTACGCCAATGAACAGAATAATACTGTAAGGGTCATGCATATGCATGCAGTAACCAGAAATAATTTACCGATTGGTCACGCTGCCATATTAATATATTTGGTAGGGCCATATAATAAAATCTCAGGATAGCTTTTAAAACCAACTTTTTGCTGGGCATCTGATTTGGGTTTTTTTATTTTGTCGATTTGTTTAAACTTGATACGGTACTATAAAAAATAAGATTAAGATTCCACAATATAATATATATAAATTTCCAATCGATCACATAACATCGATCTCTGCTGCAGAGTCGTAAAAGCCCAACTATTAAACTATATTTTTAAAAGAAATAATTTCATTATTGCGACACATAATTTGTCTAATTTACTCGCGGTGAGAAGGATTTCAGTCGCTCTCTATATTAAAAGGACAGTCTATTATACGTTTACATTATTATACTTTTATCCCACAAGTTCAATGGGACTACATTATGATAAAATACTCTCATATTATAACATGGCTTCAAAATAAAATTAGCGTAAATCTATGTCCATCATTTTTACCATAACATCTTTGGGTGAATACTCGTTTTTCTGTTCAACTAATTCACTGGCTGTGAAAGAAGAAGAGGAAGAAGGGCATTCTTCAGTGTCTGTTGCTGAAGCTGGTGCTAAGTCTATGGTTGTAAACAAATTTTTCTGGATAGAATAAGGAAGTTCGTCATAAAAGGCACCCTTGGTAGGTGGTAGCCGTGTTGGGGTCTGTGTTTTTGCTAAAGGCGGGTCACTGCAAGTTTTGCTGTCTAAGATTAACCCCCGCTGTCTCAAATCACTAATGATACAATCATGTGATTGTTTAACCAAAGTCTTGTCCAGAATACCCTCGTCGGCTAACTGCTCTGTGATATCCCAGCCTTCTAGTCCAAGACGACCTTGTTTTAAAGGATTCAGACTCAGAGACGGTTTTCTAAGTTTGTTGATGTCCCTTCCCAATAAATAATCTTCGAAACCTTGTGTATGTTCATCGTAAAGCTCTCCCTTTAGTCTGTACATTGGATTCTCATGTACCTCCACATCGCCATTTGAAGAAACTTGACCGGCATCCGACAATAATGGAAACAACTTTTCTTCGATTTTTGAAATTAGTTTTCGAGATGAGTCTCCAGAGCCAGGTCGAAATTCTTCAACGTCTGTTAAACCGTCGCCATTATTTAAATCTTTGTCTCGGCACTGGGCAGTTTTCTTGCTTAAAATCATCGATTTCTGCACACGGGCTCGTGTCTTAGACGAATTAGATCCCATTACTGCACTTGAGTTCAGTTCAATATTGCAGTTGAGTTAGGATTATTAATGAAGCACACAATGGACTTATCTGAATCAAAATATATAACTGACGTAAAAAATCTGACGTCATTATCACTATGACAAGTTATCCACATGTGGGCGAGTGGTTGAGGACTGTACTACATGTATCAGTGCCAGGAGATCAGGGAAACCAAAGACCTTGCTTATCCTCGTTGAGCTTCATAGCAACGATGGTTTGTCGAACTGAAATGAAATGTTATGCCCGAAAGACTCCCGGGAATGTCATGGGGGGAGGGGGGGGGACATAGGAAATTTTGAAAAAATAGATGGCCGAAAACGCGTTTTTCTATTGTTCTCGCCCGTGGGTATCGCAACTATTTATGTGGCTATGGAACAGAATTTCAGATTTGGAGGGAGAATATGGAAGAATAACGTTGCCAATATTATTTCAATGTTCACGTTACAGAATGCATATGTCAGCTGTTCAAAATAGGTATTTTAGTCCTATAACAGTTTGCAATTTCCATTGCTCCACAATGTTAAAATACATAAAATGACATTGGTATTGTGGAGCAATGGACATTGTAAAACTAAAATACCTATTTTGAACTGCTGACATATTATGCATTTTGCACCGTGAACATTAAAATAATATTGGCAACATTATTCTTCCATTGAAGAAAGGTTTGAGGTGGCAGAAAATAATTCACTTCTAGAATTCTCAGCCGATTACCGAAGTCGTGAAGTACGTTAGGGTATGTGCGGAGGGGCATCCCCCAAGAAAATTTATGAAAATTAGACGGCCGCAAACACGTTTTCATGCTATATCAGCACATGAATACAGCAACTTGAAAGTGATCCAATATACCCTTATGTGGGTTTGCAACCGAAATCTCATTCAATGCCAATCTGAACTCCAGTGAACCAATCAACGAGACTGTTGTCAATGAATTCACTGGACGGCATACCAGAAATTTAACTTGCCGCAAAACTGATGAAATACTCATGATGATGCCCATAAAAATTGTCACGCATAAAGCAAGGGGGACAATACTAGAGCGGCGCTAGACTGATTTTAAATGTTTTAAATTTGTATCCATTAGTCAATTTCGATTGCCGAAAAATGGATGACAAAAATAATGACCGATGCCCGAAAAATGTCACACAATGAAGAGAGTTGCTCCAGATCAAAACGTCATGGGCTATAGGGTACTTTTTATTCCCCAATAATATCATTAATTTTATTTTTTCAGTTTACTCGTGTATCAAATAATTAATCATCGATGCCCGAAAAACAACGGTGGAATCTAGATTATTTGCTGTGTATTGCGAGCTTAATATGATAGTGCGCAGTACCATTGACAAGCAACATGCATTAGGCCTAACCCTTCTAGTAAAGATATCCTAAAAAAAGAAAAGTCGTCTCTGTGATTTTTTGCAAAAGGAATGGCTTTCATAGTTTTATAACATTTATTTTAATCAATCATGAGAGCCTTCTGAGCATATGAATTAGTGCCAAAAATGTGCGATAGATGAAAGAGTAATGAATGATGGATACCTGGTGTCGTCGTCCCCTATAGATGATGCCGCATCTATGACGCCACTATTTATAATCTCTATTCTCTTAGACAAAAGAAGAAGAGCACACACCATGGCCAGAAAGAAGTGCTACAACCTACTCTTTTTTCGAATTTCAACTGTCACAAGTTCTTTTACATGCATGCCAATGTGTACATGGGAACTCAACTCAGTTTAAAATAGAACTAGAGGAAGCTCCATTAACAATGAGATAACCCACCATATTTTAAATGGTCATGGTCGAATAAGACAGTTACCTGAAAATGGCGAAAACTAGCTGTGTTTTCGGATATCAAAGATCCCTAATTCACAAAGCAAATCAATCAACACTCAAACTTCATTAAATTGACAGGTTTTTTTTTTGTTTATTTTTTTTTTAGACAAAGAAGTACAGTCATTTTAATATTGTACTTTACTTTTTTATGTATTAGGTGTACTTAAGCTCAATAGGAGAATAAAGAATACAGGTATTTCTTGATATGGCTGCTACAAAAAACAATCATATGATAAATGTATTATAAATACATTTAGAAAAAAAATAAAACAAAACTTAGATAAAAATTTATCATTTTATGACACATAATGCAGTAGTACAACTATGTAAATACAAGTATGCAATACGTTACATTGAATCTATTATACCATCAGAGCAATATTTATTAGAAGACTTATCCCAAACAACCATGGTAATTAAAGGCTATAAAATGTAAAATGCATAAGAAATCTCAAAATGCTATTATGAATTCAAATTTGAAATGAGGGAGACATTATGATCTGATCAGCATTATTTATAACCACTTCTAGTCTCCAGCAAGGTTACAAATACTTTTATCCTGGAATAAAACACTTTATGTGTGACTAAGCAAAAGGTGTTGAAAAATTATTTATTGCACCCATATCCATAGCAAAGAATTCGTCTCACAAGGGAGAGAAGAATCTGTTAAGGCAGGCAAGTACATTATAGACTGGTTACTGGATTGGGTACTCCAAAAAATGTGAGTGAATTAGCAGCATGCATTACATCACATTTTAACATACCTGTACTAGTATGAGTACCTTTAACGTGAACAAACAAATTCTAAAATCAATTATAAATACTAAACAAAAATAACAAAGACAATTAAAGTGTTCATGTTTTCTTTGTTGGTGATTTAACTTCCAGATCTGTATTTGATACACCAACACACCAGTCAGGTACTTTACCACTCTGTAAATATGCTTCTTTTGATAAACTACGACTGGGTAATGTTTCTAAAGCCCCAATCATTGCACCTAGAAATAATTCACAAATTATCAGATAATTAAAAGTCCAAACATTAAGTATTAATTATCAACATGGAAACACTCACCAGCTACAACTGATGTTGTGAAGTAGTAGATTCAAGTAGCAAACAGTAAAAAGCTGTTTAACGTTATTTGTAATGCATTTATGGCTAATGAAGGAAAATTTTGCCTAGATAGCGGCACTACGGTCTACTCTTAAAAAATTATATCAAATTCCAATTGTCAAGGTTTTTTTTTACATGCTTGCCACCGTGTCTCCCACTTAACTTACAGTGGATCATCACGATTATAAAGCCACTCTACAATTGAACAATAGAATTGCTTTAATTAGAAATGTAAACCTACTGATAATTTCCAAACAACTCAATATTTTGAGCTGAAACTTTCATACAAGTTCTTTGGATTATTTCCTTCACATTTTGGGGTATTGTTTGTATACTTTAAGTTCTTAAACCCACTATTATCAACAAGTACGGTGAAATCTGGCACGGCTCCTTTAATATCTCACACTTTTACTTCTTCAAACATGTAACGATTATATTCTATTACTCTGGTAGAACTTGCTCTTACCTCCTAACCATGCAGTATAATTTTCTTTAGATGGTGGTTGATGAAAGCGGAATTGTTTTATACCATATTCTTGTTGGTATTTAGGTAGTTTTAGATGTTCATATAATTCACATTTTAATCTATGATGAAAGCCTGGCAGCATGGTTGTCCCACCCATTATTACAATATTCTCTGCTAACTGTTTCCTCGTATCCACTGGACACTGAAATAAATATATCACAAAACTATCACAGTAGTAAACATTTACTATATATATATTATAAAATACAAGACAGTTCTAGTTAAAATCCTTGTTGATATCTTGATTCCAACCATGGGTAGAGATGAGTGAAATGGGAGTCCTGTGATATACTGATAATATTAAGGGGGCGTGGGGGGAACTGCAATATTGAACTAGAATATTGTGAGAAACTTTCAGTGCAGAACAAATCTTCACTTCAGTTACTAAAAGTCATATTTAAAACTTACATCAATGAGTGAGTCGAGAATCAATGTTACAATGGATCTTTCATCATTATCTTGTTCAAATAAAACTTCTGCTGAATGTTCCCTACAAACAGAAAATAAACAATTATAAATATATTCGACCATACCATCTAATTACTTTAAAGATACTTTCCCACAAAAGTATTTATTTGGTGATTTTTTCCAATACAAGTATGGCAATTTTGGTATACCGGTATATAGAAAGTAGAAACATCCAATCTTACAAGAAAAATACTGGATTGCCTGAAAAATACCCATATAATGCATACAGGACAAAAAAGTAAGGGTTTCCCTAATCGGCAACCCAATGAGTAGGGATATCTGCTCGAGTGACACCAAAGGTTGCATGCAAAGATTGTCTGATCTCTCAGCATTAGTAAGCACTTGATGTATAATATGTTGATAAACTTGATTATAAGATAAAAACCAAACAAAAAAAATGGGCAGTGGATAATCTGAGAATTAATTAGGCTTCGATATTTATGATACATGGGCGGTGATTAAAGACAACATCGTCTTGTATGTGCAATGAATTCTACTCCGGCTTTACACCCGAAGCATGGCTTCTTTAAATAGATTTCTTTAGCAGGGGTATTCCTGAATGGCTTCTTTAAATAGATTTCTATAGCAGGGGTATTCCTCCAAGAATACAATGTTTTGAGAAGGATTGGATGCAAAATTTTGATCGATTAATTAGTTTGAATATGATTTTAGTCCAAATATATCATCAAATCACCCAGTTTGTACACGGGAAGGTATCTTTAATTTGATAATTCAAATTAATACATTTTTACCAACTTTTATTAAAATAATAATAACATCAATACCTTATTTTTCCACTAATATGTAAAACATTACTACCATCTAGTGGATAATTTACATCTGGTGGGGGTGGGGGTAGCTGAAATAAATACAATTTTAACTTTATTAAACATATTTTTGATATTTTAAAAAAAGGGAACTAAATCAAATTAATTGCTAAAATTACTCTTATAATAAAAGGCTTATTGTCATTTCAGAATGTTTAAATCTCTAGCAAACTACAATATTGTGAATAGTGGATCTCTAATAGGAATATCTGTACACAAATGGTTCGATTTTGTTGAGTATTTACATAGATATGATGAATTGAAATTTGTCGACATTCGACAAGTGATGCTGGTGGTATTTTATAGGCTGATCACTATTAACCAATTACTGCTATTTATCCCAAAATTACCAGGTTTCCTGTTAAGTGGACATTAAACCCTATTCCTCTCTACTTAGTCTCTGTCACATATAAAGACTATGCCAAGCAATTATTTTGAATTGATAATGTTTCATATTACTTGTTTTACCATACCTTATTGATATCTCCCCCATAAACTGTTACATCTTGTATTAAACTAGCTCTTTGTGTATTAGTAACAAAACAGCATCGCACTGAAATATGATGCATATTTATTAATGCATTAATGCTCTAACACTGAATTAGACTTAAAAGTGTCTGAGTGTACTTTATTCCTAGTCAGGATTTAGAAACATAGGGGGATTAAAGTCTGGACATTAAGAAATTACATATACATTAGAAAGCAACTATAGTTCTTTCATAATGTCAGTTTTCATTTTACAATGTACTTGACTTTTATTGAGCAGGAGTAATGGCAGCCATTCTTTCTATAACAAGTGATACTAAATTTGATTTGAGGAGTTCACTTAGTTAAAGATGCATTATGTAAGAGCTAAATCTCTCTTTTGATTGGCCTAAAATGTTATATAAATCATTAATTAGACATTTATTTACATGGCAAGCCCATAGTCAACTCTCTTGGCTATTGGATGGTTCTGATTTTCAATGGATTCAAATTAGTAATTTAATTTAAAGATAGGTTGCCAGGCAACTAAACATACGCCCACAGCAGCTAAATCGTTCGAGCGGTCGACAAGAGTTGTCGTATATTTGTTCTTTTGTAGGTAATTAGGGGGCATTTGATAGACAATTTCATACAGATGACATTATAATTTTAGTCGTTTGAGGGTTCACAAGGTTCTAAAAACTAAAACAAGGGCTGTAACTCTGGAAGTAATCTACAGAAATTGTTGAAATTCGACAGACTTTTTCGTTTTACTAATTCAAATAATACATACAGATCAGATGATAACTTTTGTCGTTCGAACGTTCACAAGGTTCAACAAAGTAAAACAAGGGCCATAACTCTAGAAATAATTGACAGAAATTGCTGACATAGGCTTCTTCATTTCACTAATTTAAATGATGCATATGAATTTCATACAGATTGGGTGATAACTTTTGTCGTTCAAGCGTTCACAAGGTTCAACAAAGTAAAACAAGGGCCATAACTCTAGAAATAATTGACAGAAATTGCTGACATAGGCTTCTTCATTTCACTAATTTAAATGATGCATATGAATTTCATACAGATTGGGTGATAACTTTTGTCGTTCAAGCGTTCACAAGATTCAACAATGTGAAACAAGGGCCATAACTCTAGATGTAATTAACGGAAATTTGCTAAAACTCAATAGGCTTGTTCGTTTTACTAATTTAAACGATAACTATAAATTTCATACAGATCGGATAATAACTTTTGTCGTTAAAGCATTCACAAGGTACAACAAAGTTGCACTAATTTAAATGATGCATATCAATTTCAAACAGATCGGATGATAACTGTTGTCATAAGAGCGTTCAAAAGATTCAACAAAGTGAAACAAGGGCCATAACTCTAGATGTAATTAACGGAAATTGCTGAAATTCAATAAGCTTCTTTGTTTTACTAATCTAAATGATGCATATAAATTTCATACAGATCGTATAATAACTTTTGTCGTTAGAGCATAAACAAGGTACAACAAAGTGAAACAAGGGCCATAACTCACGGCGTAATTAAAGGAAATTGCTGAAATTCAATAGGATTCTTCGTTTCACTAATTTAAATGATGCATGTCAATTTCAAACAGATCGGATGATAACTGTTGTCATTATAGAGCGTTCACAATTAAGATTCAACAAAGTGAAACAAGGGCCATAACTCTAGATGTAATTAACGGAAATTGCTGAAATTCAATAGGCTTCTTTTTTTACTAATTTAAATGATGCATATAAATTTCATACAGATCGGTTGATAACTTTTGTTGTTAAGAGTGTTCACAAGAAACAACAAAGTGAAACAAGGGCCATAACTCTAGATGTAATTAACGGAAATTGCTGAAATTCAATAAGCTTCTTTGTTTTACTAATCTAAATGATGCATATAAATTTCATACAGATCGTATAATAACTTTTGTCGTTAGAGCATAAACAAGGTACAACAAAGTGAAACAAGGGCCATAACTCACGGCGTAATTAACGGAAATTGCTCAAATTCAATAGGCTTCTTCGTTTCACTAATTTAAATGATGCATATCAATTTCAAACAGATCGGATGATGACGGTTGTCATTAGAGCGTTCACAAGATTCAACAAAGTGAAACAAGGGCCATAACTCTAGATGTAATTAACGGAAATTGCTGAAATTCAATAGGCTTCTTTGTTTTACTAATTTAAATGATGCATATAAATTTCATACAGATCGGTTGATAACTTTCGTTGTTAGAGCATTCACAAGGTGCAACAAAGTGAAACAAGGGCCATAACTCCAGACGAAATTAACGGAAGTTATTGAAATTAAATAGGCTTCTTCATCTTACTAATGCAAACAACATATATATATTTCAAAACAATCAGATGATAAATGTAGTCTGTAGAGTGTTCACAAGAAATTGTGGACGACGGACGGACGGACGGACCGACGGCAATATACGACCACATTTCATGTGGGCGTATAAAAATGGACTTTCATGACTTTGTTTATTGTAACAACGGTAGCAATGACAATTGAGACTATGCTATTCTTTAAATGGTCATAACTTCGTGAGTGAAGTAATTTGACCAAAATTTTTAATCTATCATCCCTTTTCATTATCTATTTTTTAACTGTCAGCTCTTTCTCTAAATCTTTTATAAAGCATCTTTAATAAACTATGGTATGAGAATCACTGTAAATATCTGATGACATTTGGACAATCAGATTGTTTTTCTATTTGTCAACCTTTTATTTTTTTTTGTCTGAAGAATATACTATAAATATAATAATCATACCTTTTATATCTTCTAAAATCTTATCTGTTATTACTTCTGAAATACAATTTTATACACAAATGTGATCTAGCATATCAAAAATTTCTATCCAAGTATTAAGAAATTAACAATTAATCAACTGTGAAACATCTTTTCATGCTTTCAAATCTTTTATCTAATATTTATTCTTCATAGATAATTCTAATGTTGTACATATTATATACCTGGATTTGAGGATACTGGTTTATCTTCACCTTGAGGTGTTTTTATTGTTCCATGTTCTAGCAATTGAGCCTGTATTCGACTATACAAAACAAAGAAATGGTTTCAGTTATAAAACATACATATGATATTCAGGATACATAAGACTAATGGTCAACACAATAGATAAACAGATTTACACATATTTATGTACATAAAGTTCTTACTTTTGAATAGCTCTTCCACCAAGTGGCAATGCCTGCCAAGCTTTTAACACAGGAACTCCTTCATATACCGTTTATTTGTATTAAGGATTATTTTTCTTTAATACTGACATCAAAATGACTGTTGTTTAAATATCGAACTTTATCTAATATGAAATAATTGATGGACTACTCCCTATGAATTAATAATAAAAACAAGCCAACAGAGAGGCTGATATCCTCCTGTCTCAATCTCAAATAAATAGATTTTTTTTTTTTAAGCAATATTTTTATTCAGATTTGTATCTGAATAGGGATTGGGAACAGGCATAGCCTATATTAAACCCCTCTCCCTAAATAGATTACACTATTAATCAATTACACATTTATCTTTTAGTAAAGCATCGAAAGGAAGGGACAATAAATATTATGTAATGGTTAGCTGAACAAGGTTAATACAAATTCTTGAAATTTCAATGAAAATTCAAACTGTAATGTTTAATTTAGAGTACAAATGTATTTCTTCAAGTTTTAAAAGCTATTGTCCTTTATTGTTTAAATGGGAATTTTTAAACAAGAAATAACACCAAAATATAGATTTTGTGTTTAATGTTTGTAACAAATAAATTGAGTGTACCGAATGTAAGATATTATCTATATAGGATACAGGTATAACTACTGTTTCTTCATAACCAACATCCATAACCAGTCCTATATTACCACCTAATGTTAATAATGCTACCATATGACATGGTGCAAATAAACAACAGCTCACCTACAAAATTTTAACAAAAATATTGTTTAATTGCCATACTGTAAAAATATTTTAAAAAAGGGGACAATCTTCCATTATGTAAGCTCGATCAGTCTACTGTTTCACTTGCAACAGACACAGGTATTTATAATCCAACCAAATTATAAGACCGAAAAATGACAAGTATTCTGTCACATATAAGTACCTAACTGGAGTTTTATACCAGAAAAATAATCTAATCTCTTAGATATTACATAAATGTTTAAATAAATGAAATATTCCCCGTAGTTAATTTATGAAATGAAATCTTCCTACCTCATAATGTTTATATAGGACTTTAGCTAATGTTTCTTTAAAAGCTGTAGGACATAATAGCGATTCAACAACAACAACAGGTCTGTCTTTAGGATTGACTAATAAACTTCTACAATAAAATAATAAACACAATCAGATTATAATGAAAATTTGAACTTCATCAGACAATCATTTAAATCGTTGTTATTTTTAAGACTATAATACTATGGAGCCATTCAGAAATAAACACAGATTTACTTAATAATATGGTTACCATACTGGTAAACAAAGAAAATAAATAGGTTTTTTGTATATACAAAATAAATACCTGAAATATAATTTGTAGAGGAAATCTTTCAAATTTTCATAAAGCTCATCTGTATTAGAATAATCCCACAAGTTATGAGTCTAAAATAATAGTAAAATATAACCGAATCATACAGATCAACATTACCCATTTCAGACATTAGATTTAGAATATGCTTCTTATAAATATACTTTTTATTGACGTTATCTCTTCTTTTCCATTTGTAATGTAATTAAATCAAAAGGTCAACCAAATGAAAATTAAATCTTGAAAATAATAAAACCTAAACTCTGCAAAAACTGCAATATCTCTGGTGTATTTCACACAATCCGATTCATAGCTTTTCTGAAGCTAACGTTATTCTTTTTAATTACAGAAATAAGTATTAAACATTAAATCTTCTTGAGACTACCTTTCCTGTTGTAGCATCAATTACGACACTGGGTATTATACATCTTGGTGCAGTATCAGCTGCTATTCCACACCTGAAATAAATGTTATATTTATATCAGTATATAGGGGTGATATAGGCTTTGTCCTGTTCCTCAATCCTTTCAGTTATCTGAATAAATATTGTTTATATAAAAAAAATACCGGTACATTGTGCACAATGACTGATTAGACCTAATAGTAATAACTAATACAAAAAGAAAATTTTACTGAAATGGTTCAAATTCCCTGCCAATTGTTAATTAGGCCTATAGAAAACAACAAATTTACACAGCTTATTCCTCACATGTCATGACAGTGACATAATACATATGTGTATGGATACAATGAATTGTGGATTCTCATTATTACTAACTGAAGTCTGTGACTGGTCAGTCTGATGCGCCTTATGTCCAAATTTATAATATGGCAATGCCTCTTTAGATTGAATAGATTGGGTGTACTATGTAAACGTTTGATTTAGAGAGCTTAATGTTTATACAGATTCGATGGGAATCAAACGGGCTAGTCCTACAGATCTAGATCTAGTGCAAGAAATTAGAATTTTTAGTTTAGCACTAAAACTTAAATTTAAAAAATATAAGTATACGTACTTCGTATAGGCTCTTCCTATATCTATCACAACAACAGTTTTATCTGTGCTATAAGTTAAGCTTTCATAAAGTGGCATTGTTTTTGCAAAAAAAATAATATATTTTTGTGATGACAAACTAAACCGGAAGCTTCTATTTATTTGGTTTTGGTAAAACAAGAACTCACAAAGGGGCACAACTCATGTAAATCTGGAGTTACGCCACAGTTGTTTTTGACGTCATCTTTTAAACCTCAATGAGCAGGTTAAAAGTGTATGGCAAGTGTTAAATTTAAAGATACTTTCCCACAAAAGTGGTTATTTCCAATAAAAGTATGGCAATTTTGGTATAGATGGTAAGTAGAGACACCCAATCTTACTAGAAAAATACTGGATTCCTTGAAAAACACTCAAGGAGTGCGCACACGACAAAAATAAGGGGGTATCAGCCTGACGATTAAGGGCTGTCTGCTAGAGTGACGTCAAAGGTTGCACAGTAGATTGTCTGAGCTAATAGCGTTAGGGAGCACTTGTTAATTTAATAACCTTGATGGTGAGCGGATGTGGAAAAAGTGACTGACTTAAATGTACAACAGTGGCCGAAATAAACAACCACGGAAAAGGACGTGGGCAGGGGATAATCAGAGAATTTAATAGATTTTGTATAGCTTTGGGTATTTCCTCGCGAATACAATGTTTGAGAGGGATCTGAAGCAAATTAGTTTGAATATGTTTTTAGTCCAAATATGTGAACAAATCACCTTGTTTGTACGCGGGAATAAGGAGTTCAATGTAAAGTAATACAAAATTTTGTTAGTGATCTGAACTCCTAGAAAAGTGGTAGGCCTATGCGTTCTTGAAAGAGATAGGCATGTGCCATATATTACATATTCGATGTTACATTTTAACTTTGGCAGCCTGCATTTTTTCCCTTCAATTCTTTTCTTCAATGCATTAACAATGAGATTTCCTGTAAACACACAGCTAATCATGATAAACCTCAGAGTTGAGAAAATACCACCTTTAATTTCGTGTTTTACTGTAGGTTTTCAGGTTGCTTCCCTTGTTTTCGTTTTAACTGAAGCCTGTATAACTGTCGACCCGGGAATGTACTGTTCAGTGGGTGCTTGATTCAGTCTGCAGCTTGCAGCTTTAATAGCTAAGGTACCTCATCTCGACCCTATGTGTCTCGAGCAAACATATCTTAATGTTTTTAGCGATGTTATTGTAGCTATAGATTTGATAGTGCTATTAAATCAAATGTCAAAGTGCGACAGGAAAGATAACTCCACAAAATCTGTTCGGAATTTACGATCTGATTTGTTGTTTTCAATAGTTGGTGAGATTGTAATGAAGGACAGAATTATCAATATAATTTTTTAAGCATTTAGTGAGACTTATAGAAAAGACTCTTCTAGAATTTTCCTTGACAAACCACGGAGTTATATGTAAATATACAGAACATTTCAGCTTGTAATTATTTTAAACATTGGGAAGAGGGAGATGCACTTATACAATGGGATTTTTTGTTTAGCAATGGATAATGCAAATAGTTAGCTGACTGCTGGTGCGGTTTCAGCAGACCCTACAACATCCTGCCTCTACCTTAATGATACAAAGGTTTAGAAGAATTCTTTGTGGTACTTCACAAAGATGATTCTTTTGAGTTGTGATAAGTGGGAACTTATCCAATATGCATCTTTTCAATTTAGTTATAAACCTGTAAACGGTAAATCTCTTTGATCTTTGGGGTATATTCTATGCGGTCTGAAAGTTGGGGGCGGCTTTGGATATATACAGGGAAATTTGGGGTTATTCTTCCAAAAGTTTTTCTTTAAATCTGTAACAGATTATTATTCCAAGGTAGGGTTTTTTTTCCCATAAGAAAACATGATATAAGGTTTTTCTTACAGGAATTCTGGGATATTCTCATCTTGCGTACATGTAAACATAGACGGTTTATAAGCAAGATAAAGTCCTCGACTTCGGTTATGCTGGGGAGAAAAAAACTCTTGACAGAAAAACCTCGGCCTGGTGGCCTCGGTTTTTCTTTTTCTCGAGTTATTTTCTTCAGTCTTTCTTTCCACAGCATAACCTCAGTCTTGTGCTTTTATCCTACACTGAAAGCACTCAACATTAAATAAGAATACAAGATAATAATAATAAGCAAGATTTATACTCATCCAATTGTTTACAAGCATGATAGTGAGACATCTAACAATTGCGGAAAGAGGAATAATTAATAAATTTGCATAAAACATTGCATCCAACACTACCTCATTCAATCAAGAGCATATCTAACTACAGGTCAAATACAACTGTTGCCTACTAAATAACAAGTATACAAGAATGATATGTACACAAATTACCTCATTACCATGTATGGAATATATGTACACTTTATTAAAAATATTTAATAATTTATACAAATTTATAGAAAAGCATCACGATTTTAATATTTTGTAATACAAAAGAAAAAGAGAAATCAAGGATAAACATAAGATGTGAACAAAGTATAAAAAAAAGTTTACATGTAAGACATTCATACATTTCTAATTATTTGATGTGATAGTAACATGGTAGAATGTGGTTGTATTAGATCTAGTTCAGAAGCTTCCATACTGTGTGGTTTAAAGTGGTCATAATAACTGGTTGAAGTGAAAGAATTTAAGGTCCGACAGCCCAAAATGATCCAATTTCCTGTCGGTGTTGGGTTCAACTATTTATGGGCTTGATCAACTGTCTACCCTGTATTTCTAAAAACTGCCTTCTGTGAAATTTAATCTAAAAACTAAGACAGTCCATGGATTTTCAATAAATTAGTTATCTAATATGATGGTGTCTCTTTGTGTGATTCATTTTTAGGGTATTCTATCAAAGAAATGATATTGGAATTTTACCATGAATTATTTTGATTATATATATAAACCATTATCACAGAATGAAATAATAAAAAAAGAATGAAAAAAAAGGCATTATAAACAGTACCAACACTTGTACATTATATATGGAAGAGAGGTCAGGATATCTGTACACTATACAGTATCATTTGAATAAATATAGCAGAAAAATAACACACTTTAAATTTCAGGTAAATCAATATGACTAAACACTGTAAGTAAACTCAACTAAACTACACTTTTTGGTGGTTTACATGTTAGGTATTTTTCTACTATATTCATTCATCTTCATTTTTTGACAGCTATTTATCAATATTACTCATAGTATTTCTAATAATGAACTATGCATGATGAATTATTTTTTTCCTTCCAAAATTTACTCTCAATAAATTTCATTAAGAAAGAATTTAAGGTCATAGGCTTTTTGGTTTTTTTTAAAGAAATTAATTGCCATTCCAATACAGTGTAAGTGTGAATTAATAACATTTTAAGGATATTACACACATCCTTCTTAATATATGTACAATGGCTTAATTTCCCTTATATTCCCATGAATATACACATTTTACCTCAGCATGTATAGAATATTAATAATGGTATACAACAGAATTATTACATGAGTTTATAATATACAATTTATACACACTAATATACTTAAATACATGTATATACATGTACATACTAAATAGTAAATGCAAATATAAACAAAAGCCTGATGGTATCACAGACTAAAACTCATATATAACACCATGGATGATAGGACAAACTATTGCAAAAAATATAATTCATGATAATTCAAATGTTTTCACAAGGAACTGAACATATTTGTAAAAATATATGACAAAAGGCTATAGATCTAGTTCATACAGTTGATTTCAATTTTAGCGAACAAAACACAACTCCCATTGTTCTACTGATTGTTCTTGACCATGTTCCACATATGACTACAGTTTGTTGTTGACTATAAGACATTAAAAACATTCAATTTTTTCTGTGCCCTATTTGTCAAAAATAGACATCTTATTCTCTGCTAAATAAGTGTTCAAGTGCATTACATATAATATCCAGTTACCAAGGAAACCAAATTAATGCCCTGACATTAATTTTATGTCAAAATTGAGTATACCATCTGTAAGACATTAAAGATCAGGGTGCTCTAACTTCTATCTCTACAGTATTCCTGTAATAGGGGAGAAACAGCTGACCTGCATAAACAAACACCTAACATCCACTATAATGGATACTAATAATTATTTAAGAATCCTTACTAAATACATGAACTCACTTAATTTTTAATAGCAATTATATTTGTCTTGTTTGAAAACCAAGATGAAAGAATAATAAAATATAGTAAATAATTGCAAAATATGTTTTGATTTAAAAAAAATTTTTTTTTTTTTATTTTCCATATAATTTGATTAATATCTAGATGAAAATTACATTTTGTATGTTTTGTTAATTGTTATACTATTTTATTTAGTGAAAGAGATATGTGGTTTGTCTTAATTAATGAATGATACAGGTATCACAGCTATACATTTAACTAATCATAACATAAATGCTCAATGAATATTTTGTACACACCTGGTGAATTAAGGATACAATTTATATTACAAATACATCACTGTATATAGGTAGCCTTTTGTTTTAAATTTACAGGGATCACAGTCGATTAAACATTGGATTATAATTCTTCACTAACACTATTCATAGGGTGATTTCATGTATTTTTCAAATCAAAACGAATTGGTGCATTACATTTGTGGTGACACCTAACTTGTTTTGGTTTGTGCATTACTATAACAGAAAATGAATAAAAGGTACTGCATTTTGAAACTACATAATTGGATAAGATGTTCATTCAATCATAAAGCTAGGACATTCAACCCATTCAATCGTGTATATGTACTTGTTATGTAAAGTAACTTGGTCCACCAACAAATGTACTTACATGTATGGTAATAAATTTAAAGTATTTTTTTGTTGTTTTTTTTTTATAGAACATTTGGTAAAATAATTTTAGAAAGATTGATTATAAAGCAAGTTAGTTATATCTAATTAACAACAGACTGTTTTATTTCTTTTGTATCGTTTGGTTCACCAGGAACTGTTTCAGGAACGGGTTTAGATACTGTATTGGTTGAGAGCGTTGTCTTATCACCTGTAAAATATAATCAATATCATATTATAAATAGAGAATCAGATATAAAATTTTACAAATAACAGATGTTGTGTCCTCAAACTGACCGTATTTTTATTTTTAGATTAAGTATTTGCACAAGTAAGCTTACATGTGTGTTACGTTTTGTAGAAGAATAATATGACTGGAATACATTAAGTCTCTCATTTTCTCAAGAATACACAAATAATTTCATTTGCCAAATATATATTTTCATATTTTGTGTATGGTGTGTGATTATCCTCTGTAACCAAATAAATATATTTTATGAAATACATGCCCCACTTAAGAGGTTAAAAGAATTTCATTTTTAGTAGCAAAGAGAAGGAATTTATTTGATAGTTGAGTTTTAGATTGTCATGCTCGAGTAAAAAAATCCTCAGTATATAAATCAAACATCCTGAAACCAACAGATGATTTTCCCCAGATCACTGATTTAGTAAAACTCCATATAAGAAATAACAAACAATACAAAATATAGAATTAAAACATTTGATCAAAAGATAAAGCAAATTTTCTAAAATAAATACCTTAAAACCTTACTTCAAGATGCATGGTAGTATGCCTTTATGTAGCTTACATGTGTATTGTTCTAACAATATTCATTTATTCTCAAAATTCATGTGTGTGCTCAATTTGTTTGTTCTCCTAATGTTCCCCAAGTATTTTCCCTACATTGTCTATAGATTCGGACGTATGTGTATAGTATACTCTAAGGAGAATGTGATTATTCATTAGAATAGGACAGAAAACTAAGGTCAAATCTTGTACACATTGGAGTTTGGCATAGACATACACGTAACAACAGACCTTGGGCGTTAGAATCCACTGTTGAGGCAAAATCACTTGCATATTACACAAAGAATAACCAAATAGACTAATAGTTTCACAATGACCTCTAGTGCTCAAATAAGTAACCAACAGGACCTTAAAATTAGAGTACGAGCAGACTATTGTGCTTTTGTTCATTTCTAGACATCTTGGCATTACAAATAAAGGCTAGAATAATCAAGAATAGGATTTTGTTAGCATTATTCCTTTTCCTTCACACTGTGGTGTTTCCAAACACACGTGCAATAAAATATAGATTTGACTTTAGTGGGTGTTAGATAACTTGATTATTTACTTTAGATATATTTTAAGATGTTTTGTGTTCCAATTTATTATTTTTTATTTAAAAGTTATGTATATATATTTAATATGCAGGTGGTGCAGCATCAGGGTATGGATGCATGAAATGTGTTCATCAAACACGGCCTCACACAAAGTTATGCTGAAAATTCATAACAAAAACAAAACGGATCCATCAAGCATTAGAGGTCTCCATTAAAGACGCATTATGCAAGAGCTTAATCAGCCTACTGCTTATTGCAGGTCTTTCTTTTGGCCTTAAATGTTATATAAATGATTAATTAGACATTTATTAACATGGCAAGATCATAATCAACACTTGATGCCATCTGATGCTACAGATTTTAACTACCGGTAGATTAGAACGGTTCGGCCATTTAATTAAAACATATCATGAATAAACTGTTGTTACAATAATACACAATCAATGCACACATATTGTCAAAACTACAGTGATAACTTGGCTCCGAATAAAATAATTTGAATGAAATTTTTAATATATTCATTTTGCCTTATCATAGCAAGAACGTCCAGCTCTTCATCTAAATCTTACATAATGTATCTTTTATGTGATAAATTGTAATACAGTATACTTTTACATGTATTAACCTGCATAGGATGTATCTCTACCTACATTTATACAGATGAAGTAGAAGCAGAGAGAAAACAATATTGCAGTCACCATAAAACATGTTAATAATACTAGATAAAACATCAACCCATCACCCATCTTACTACTTACTATTGACATTAAATGGCCAAACATTTATATCATCCTTGAATTTAGCTAACATATCATCCAATTCCTGCTCAAATACATCTGGGGATGACAGATTGGCTAGCATGTAGGAGAAATAATCATATTTCATAACACTACTCTTAAGTTTAACCAAGAATATGTAAAAAAGATGCCATCATTTTCTGCCACATTTAGTCAACTGACTTTCTGCATGCCAATTCTGTGATTATGATTTAATTTTGGCCATGTTAAAAGATTTTGGATGGCAACAGTACTGGATATGACTAACACAGACAAGTTGTCCTGAGCACTATTATAACTACAGTGGACTCTGTCACATCCAGCTTCTGAATACTACAGCATTCTATAAAATCTGACATCGTTTTCATGTCTGGATTTATTTCCTTATTACTTCAACTAAAAAGGTTTTTAGTAATCCATATTCTGAATATTACGAATTACGACATCAATCAGCGGTCCCGTCACAGGATTTGCATTGAATTAACATTGTATAATCCGGCCTTCAATCCGTTGGTATTCACCTATAAAAGATTGACTAGCAATTGCCATTCACTTAGTGGTGAGATTACCTTGATATCAACAGAATGACGCACGAGTTGTTTCAACCTCAAAGACTTTAAACATTCGGCACACCTCACCCAATTCTACGAATCTAGTGCGGGTGTTGATCCTGATACCGTTGAAGAATTACGCATTCCGTCTATTATTGATGGGGATTCTCCTGAAAACATTTTTAATTTTAGAGTATAACCCCACCAATCATGTTGTGTGATAAAGATGCGAGCGCAATAGCAACATAAATATTAAATTTTTGCCATCAAATACATCTATCTATACTCCCGGTATTCCAAAGTACAATAATATTTCCGGTATCAAGTATTCGGCATATTTTAACGACCCTGTATGATGTCAGAAGTGACAGATTCTACTGTATATCCACTGTATATGACTATCACGAAATGAACTAAACTCATTAACAGTTACTTTATAATTTGATTCTTAAAAGCTAAATCAATGCATATACATGTAATGAACATCAAAGACTTGTTTAATAAGTTATACAATCAAATCAACCAATCAACCCTTGTAACATGCCAAATGTTTATTTCAAATTAAGGCTATCTAAAAAAAACCTTTTGTTTCTCAGATACTCCTGTGCCACATAAAAACGGCTGCTTGACCCGTTTTTGTTTTAATAAATAAAAAGCTTCATTAATCTAATAAATTACCACAAATTCTTATTTTCTCCTGGGTTACAGAAAATAACTATATAAAACATTTCTAATTTTAACGGAAGTGTACCATAGGCTCAATTATCAAGTTCACAACCCTGATAAATGTTATTGTATAAACAGCCTAGGATAAATTTAGTGCCTTGAAATGTGATATTTATGGGTAATCATTTCGCCCATTTAGCCTCTGACAAAATAATAAGGGGAAAAAACATCCCTCCCCTATCAGATTTTTTTGAAGGGTTGTCTGAGAATCAGAATATTTTGTTTGTACATGTATGGCCTAAATGTAAGGTTATATTTTAGATTGGCTATTTCAAACTTCAACCAGCTCTGTTATTGCACAGGCAAGTTGTTAAGCTGGCAAGTACATATGAGGTTACAAATATCTTATTAAATAAATTTCAAATGAATATTTACCCATAATTGAATCTGAAGGTTCTTCAGATATATCCAAAGCACTGGCTAATTCTTCTGTTAACCCATTCATAGTAAGATTCGTGTGAAAATCAGGCTTATTTGTATCAAACACTGTTTTTAATTTATTTTGCTGTACAAGATCTAATGAATCTATTTTTAACCACTGATCTGGCCCTGTTAAAGAATCCATATTTTCGCTACTTTTCACATTAGAGGGTAAATTTAACTCATTGGCTGTGTTCATAGTGATAGCACTGCTTGACTCGCCCATTTCTTCATTTTCTACAAGTTTCTCAATACTTTTTTCAAAGTTTAAATTATTATCCTTCGCATAGTTTGTGACACTGTCACTAAATTTTGTGTTTTCTAAACTATTCAACATATCAAAGGAGGGTGGATTGATTTCCTCATATGGCAAAGTTGATAGTTCTGCTACTATACTATCTGATAGTTCAATGGGTTTCACGTTTTCCGAGTTATATTTAACATCTGATAAATTCACATTATCTTGTGGTTCTGATATAACTTCACTGTTTGCGTTAGCAATGGTTAATAAATCACTGTCACATAATTTAGAGTCAAGATTCAATACACCAAGAGGATCCAATTTATTTCCTGATTTAACATTGGAGGATCCACTGTCAATTACTGGTTCAGAGAAATCATTTCGGGCGTCTGAAGGACTAACTGCCAGAGGAATAAAGTTTGGCTTAATGTCCTCTGTCTCTAATTTGGTGGAGTCATTTGAACACAACTGGGGTTTGTCACTTTCAGAATCGCATTCAATTGTGCTATTCGTGTCAATAGTGCCGTTTGCATCTGATTCCCCAGAATCACAATCATCATCCTCTTTACTGGCTTCAGAAACAATCTGCTCAATGTAATCATTCATAGTTTCGGAGGCCATATTTTGACATAAGGTACCAGGACTAACCAATAGGTGCGGTTCATCAAGGGACTTACTTATGTCGACACATGCTCCTGGACTGTCAACAGTCTGTATACCGCCTTTGATCACAGTACTATCAGTTACACGACTAACAGTAAATATCTTTTTAGCTGTTAAATCGGGGCAGTACTGAGGACTAAGAAGAAGGTCTGCTGGAGGTGGAGAAAGAAAACAAGGGGAGTCCATTCCTTGTGAATGCCCAGCTACACGGTTTTTTTCGGGTGTAGTTTGAGCATCATTTACTATGGGCGATTCTAATGTCTGTTGAGGTGTTTGATCATTGGAAAACAAAAGTTTTGGTCTCTGTATTTTATCCATTGATGGAATGTAAGCCATAGCTTGATCTTCTAACTGTGCTTCTTTTAATGCCTCAGCTGCCTTACGTAAATCTGCCTCTTGTTGGGCACGCTCTTCTAGCTTTCTACGTTCTTCTTCTTCTCGTTCTAAAGCTCTGACCTGATTTCTTTCCTGATACCAGATAATTTCCTGTTGTAATCTACGTTGTTGATCGGCATAATCCTTTACACCCTGGAATATCAAATATATAGCATTAGACTGATAAGACTGATTGGTAATTATGGAAATCACATTTGCTTATTTCTGCTGTGACAATTATTTACTATATCAAAAAATAAAATACCATTCTAAAATATTTTGCCTAACAGAAAGCGATCAAATTATGGAAAGACCTAATTTATACATGCCCCATGTTTTGTGCTTGATTGATAAGACTGTTGGCAGAGCATCACAAGTTTTCTACATATGTTTATGGCAAAGAGCAAAACATTGCCTAATATGTGAGTTTGGTCTATAACCTTCTGATAAAGAATGATCCCAATAAAATTCAGGATCTTGGAATGATTTACATTATCTGTGCTTAACCTGTTCTTAGCACAGTTATGTGGAAGTTTTGCAGATATGTTAAATTAAGCTAATTAAGGTGCAGATCATTACAGACAATAATATGGTTACAGTCATGCACATATTTACTGAAATAACTGGGGCAGACTCAATGGTCATTTAAACTACCCAAGTTCTAACCGAACTCTACTCCATCCTACACAGAGACTGAATAATTTCAGTGGATGAGATCTCGGTTGGTTTGAATATGAGAATTTAGCAGTATGGTTCTAGGTCTGGAATGAGTGCTATTACATTTTAGTTGCATAAAAGGGTTTATTTTCGTTTTAAATTCATCACTTTAACAGAGTTACACTTCTTAATAAAATATGAATATCTAATGACATTCTGCCGATTATCCATGGACTATTGGTTAATCATACCCACTATGCAAGGCATGTATCATTTTGGCATACTGCATCAACAAGTAAAATGCTTTACTCAAAATATAAATATGATCTTTTCCAAAAGAGGATAACATTACAGACAAAGTACATTGTGAAAGGATCAACACTAAAAGATAAAACGTACTGATTCTTTTTTAGTGTCCTTGTCTAAATCAATTCTGGTAACAGTTTCATTCACACTTAACGCTAATGATAAACCCATCAAACCAGCTGTTTTTATATCATTCTCTCTAAGATCTAATCTTAATAATTTAGAACTATCAGCCACATATTCAGCTAATGCCACAGCCCCTACAAAACATAATAACATAATTCTAGTCATTTTAAACATATTTGTAATACAGTCTGTTGGATACTATTTGAATACCTGTTTTTGTCTGTCTGTCAAGTATTATTGACAGAACTCATAGTGATAATAGATTATTTCCACTCAGTTCTATTGAAAAATGGGCAATAAATGGTTTTGATACTAAGAATTACTGAAGTGTTTTAAGAGCGTATGAGGGATAGTCCTTTTTCATACTATACTTTTCAGGGGATAAGTCATTACTTTTTTCTGCGAAAGTTGGGCCTTTGTCTTATAGTCTGCATCGACTTACATATGGATGAAAGAGAGAGAGAGAAATGGGGTTTAACGTCCACTCAACACAAACTAGGTCATTTCGGGACTAACATATGGTTTAATTTTATTTCAATAATTCGCTTGCGCGTAGGGGTCTTTAGCAGTGGGAGGAAACCGGAGGACCCGGAGAAAACCCACGAGGTTGGACAGGCGACCCTACTCCTTGTCACGTACAACCGGGGATTCGAAGCCAAGCCAGTCGACTCAATGACAGACTTTATGATACAGCGCGCACACACTAACCATTCAGCCATCCAACCCCCCTACATATGGATGAAGGTCAATAAAAATCAACATTCAAAAATATTCTGTATGACATCATCAGCTAAATAATAACAGACTTTTGATATTGGTCATTTTTTGCTGTACTCCTGTATCTCAATAAAAGACTGAGCTGAAGAATATTCATCTTATACACTGCTCCGACTTATCTATGGATGGAGGTTGGAAAAACAGAAAAATATGATGATTCAACATAAAACACCACATCGATTTTTACCCCATAAAATATGGTAGATTTAACATTTAAAACTAGGGAATATATGGAATCAGTATATAATGATAAGTAACCTGGATACCATCATGTTCAGTAAACATATAACATTCTACATCAAATATAATAATAAAATCATACCTTCACATGTTACTTTTGTACCCTGCAGTCCTAATCGAAGTAAGGATTTATTCTTTAACAAGCCTTCTTTTAACTGGTGGATACCTTCATTAGTAATACTATTATGACCAAGATTTAGTGTTTCTAAATTTTGTACAAACATCTGAAACACGAATTATTAACATTAAGTTGCATTCGGTCTACAGTATTTCCCCACTTAAAGCCGCTCATCATATGAGGGATTTTGAATCGGTTGCAAACTATACTAAGTTGAACCCATCAGTTAACACTGAATGTTGAATCCAATGGTGGAAAACAAAAAGTTTATATTACAACACAAACTTACCAAAGCATTAGCAAGAGATGGCATTCCCTGATAAGTGATCTGATTGTTCCAAAGTACTAACGTCATTAGACCTGCAGTCTGTTCAGCTAGTCCATCAGAAAGATGTCTTGTACCTACATCCTGTAATAAAATAAATTATTATTACTATTTGTTTTTTTTTTAATAATGTGGTTTAATAGATGATGGAGGCTTGGGTTTTACATTCTTCAACTCTTACCTTTGATACCTTGTATCAGGGCTATAATCCATTTCCCAATGAACCAACCACAATTGAGTCAATAGAAGCTTCCATTCCTTTGAATAGGCTTAATCATCTGCTGACAAATTGTCCCTTGCCAAGTAATATAATTATGTGATTATTATGGTTACCTTTGCTAATTCCTTTGATCGTTAACTGAATTAAATGATTCTGCATTCGCCACATAGATATATCTTTCAAAGGTATGAATGCTAAGGTTTAACTCTTTGTATCTAAATGGTATATTTAAACCAATTCATGAAAATCATTATCAACATGAAAGACACAATCATAATTGGCATTGCTAGAAATATAACTGAATATTGCATGATGATACACCAATCATATCTACATACTTATATTATTTTTATATAATGGCTGTGGAAGACTAAAATTGTGCATTTTTTTTTCTCCTTTGAGAAAATGCAGAATTTGGGTGGTTATATGAAAGAACTAAGTTAATTAATATTTACATCATGTTAATCTACATTTTACTGTCATTCTAAAATTATCACCTATTTAATTTCATCATGATAAACATTTTAATAGATACATGAAAAGTAGGATAAACTAATCTTTTGAACAAATGCCTATATTTTTATCTATCTACTTCACTGGTTCTAATTAATACTAAAACTAACAAATAATTTTCAAAATTACCTGAAGATGGTTGTTTCTAAGATCCAATAGCTCTAGTTTATGATTATATTTCATCAATATTCCTAGCTGTATTCCATCACTGGGCATTAGTTTATTATCAGCTAAAAATAATTCTAACAAATTTTCATTCATTTTTAGAGCCGCAACTGAAACATAAAACATAACAAAATTTTCTGAATGGGTCTATGAAAGATTTTGTTCATTATATTTATGGGCTAACCACTGTTGTTGTTGTTGTTATTAGTGTTTAACGCCTGTTTCCACCAAGGTTGTGTCGATATATCGATAAACCGATATGTATCGATACGTTCTGGCGATATTTATATCGATACGTAATAGAGCCGTATCGCCGTATCGTTTTAAAAATATGTTCGTCAGTTAAGAAAGACCATGAAACTTATTAATAGGTTCTAAATAACTATTAAAGTATTAATTTGTGCTTCGTCATCTCTGGCTTTGTTGCAAACGATTTGTGCTGTGCGTGGATCCTCCGTCATGTGGTTGTGACGTAATGTAAACAAACAAGTCTGTCTACGAGACTACGGGCTCTTGTCTTAAGTGCTTCTACTTGTTACCTGTTCAGTAATTACTTAGTTGACATTGCAGACAAGTTGTCTTATTTTCATTTTTTCATTATCTTAGCAAACCGGAGTACCCGGAGTAATCCCACAAGGCTGAGAAGGCACCCCTATCACACTCACACAAAGGATCGAAACCACGACCGCAAGTCAGAGGTGACCGACCAGCTAACCACTGTCTTCTGGACGAGTATTAAAGAACATAGATTAACCCTATACAACATTCAATAGCCTTGAGTATTAATCACATTTGAAATATTCTTCTGATGTAAATATACTGAACTGAAAATATTTATATATCAAATAACTTAATGCCAACTACTGACATTAATAAGGTAGGAAATCTTTGCCTTTAGTAAAAATATAATTTTGGATTTTCCATAAGATAGGAAACCTTTTCCTTTAGTAAAAATATCATTTTGGATTTTCCATCAGTTAATTACATTTATTTACTTTTTAATGCTATATCATACTTTTTATCATGGTTGCTTTTAAAATTTAAACTGTCTAAGAAGTACATCTCTATTGGTCCAATAATTGAATCTTTGTTATGTTGCTACGGGCAATTATTACTTTATTTATTGATTTGACGTTATCTATAACATACAAGATAGCCACCATGTACTGGTGATGGGTCGCACTAATACAATCATGTTTTCTTTATTTTTCATATTAAATAACAGGGGTCCATTTCATTCAGTGTACCTGGTCACAATTTCAATAGCTGTTACTGTTAGTGTACATAATAAGTCTTGCATGTACCTTGTGAAATGGGGACTAGACTTATAATTGGAATGGTTATGTCTCTGCGGTTCATGTTTACTGTAACAGCTAGGTATATTATAAAACCAGCGGTTGCCATGCACGATATGCACACATTTTGCAAGAGATGGACAGAGAACAAGCTAGTAAAATAGTAAAAAAAACCCCACTATTTTTCGTACAATCAGGGGTCATTGTCCAGGAAGTTACGATCCAATATGCACGATTATCGAAAGGAACTAAGATCTTGAGCTATAAACATACATTTTAAGTTTCATCAAAATCAATTGAAAATTGTGATCCCTTGATTGTAAGCTAGCTAAAAATGTGATTTGTTGTACAATCAGGGGCCATAATCTGTGATGTGCCAATTTTGAAAAGAACCAAGATCTTTGGGAGATAAGACCTATATTTCAAGTTTCGTCAAAATCGGATAAATAGAGGATATTTGTCGTTTTAGAGTGAATAACATATTTTATTTCACCGAGAAGCAAGAAAACTTATATTTTCACGAATGCGTAGCATGAGTGAAAATATAAAAGTTTTCTTGCTTAGAGATGAAATAAAATATGTTATTCACGACAAAACGACAAATGTTCTATTTATTTTATGATTTTACAATCATTTTAGGTAAAAACAACATGGACTACTGCTAGCCAGTGGAATAACACTTTTATTTCACTGATAAACTGCGGTATTCCACTACTGATCATAAAATAAAAATTGTGAACCGATGGACATACAGACGGACAGGGACCATGACAATATATACATCCACATGAAAATGTGGACGTATATAAAATGTATTACAGTAACAGACTAACAGCTATATGGATATTGACACTAAATATAATTTAGACTTACCTAGAATAACCAATGGTCTACCAGAGAGATATATGTTTTCTAAATGAAGAATGGTCAAATGACTACCTAATTTAAGAGCTCTACCCATTATAGGGATAGATCTTTCATTCAAATCACAGTTACGCATATCTAAAAACGTTAAGCTGGGAGTCTGAAAATATAAATCATTTTACAAATTAACATCCTCTCCAAGGATTTCATAATTTTCATCAAGGTAAATTAGCTTAGTATTCACAATGCATTAAATACCTATATTGCTGATATGTACCGGTTTATAGTAGAATTTAAACAAAACATAAGAAAAATAAGCCCCATGCACAAATAACTCACATTATAATGTGGTTACATATTTCTATCAACCATGTCATCCACTGTTCACAATTCCTGGTGAACACTCAATTGTTATAAAGATTTCTAACATTTCCACGTATTTTAGCTACATGTATTCATGCCTTGCAAAATTCTGGAATACTTGTCCATTAATCCCTTATTCCAATTTACTGGCAACTGGTATTTCTTTGAAACTTATCACACAGCTTCAGATAATTGTTTGGGACCATAAAAAAGGATTTGAAGAACATTCATAAAAAAATTAACCAGCTTGATTCAATAAAATATATCTTGGATTTCTCCCTTAATCTACCCCCAAAAAAATCCAAGTAAATGGAATACAGGTACATTGAAATAAGTTGGCACATACCCTTCTGATAAGACGAGAACAAGACTGCCAGCCTCTCATACTGATGTTTTTATTAAAGGAGATGTTTAACTGGCAAGCTGAACAGTAAAACTCTATCATATCAAACAAGGCTACAGCACACTGAAATAGTAATATCACATTAAAACCATCAATTAACATTTTGGAATCAGTTCTTTTAATGCCAGAGTAATGGTCAAGTACATGTATATGAGATCATCCAAAACATTCACCACATCATTAAGTTTAATGATAATTCTACTCAGACCACATATGCAATTTGACAGTCTATTTAAGTGGATCTCAATTCTGTATCACTAGATTGTAAATTAGAATTCTGGTACTCATAATCGAACACCATTCTTATTTTGTTGCCTAATATGAAGTAAATAACTGATTCTGTATCACTAGATTGTAAATTAGAATTTCAGTACTCATAATCGAACACTACTCTTATCTTGTTGCCTAATATGAGGAAAATAACTGACTACTTGCTCAGAATCCAGATTAAACTGGCTTACATAGATTTACTTCTGATGATGAATGCAGAATTATAGGAGGAATAAACTGATGGTATAATGTAGACAAGAAAATCAAAACAATCACATGACAATCAAAATACATTAAATACAAAAAGTTTAATACCTCATCATCCAAGTGGCTGGATTCCAGATCCACAAGACGAAACTGTACTCGTCGAAATATTTCTTCCAAACATTCACAGTGTTTCTGATCTAGCTTTTCTCCTGAAAATTATAATAAATCACATACAGTTAGCGACTAGTAATTTTTTGAACCGGTTCAACAGTGCAACCAAACCGTGACCGGTTAACCAAGTGACCCTTTACATCCTTAGTTGGCATATACACCCACTAAATAGGTACTTTCAGGGCTGTAGAAACAAGCTGATAAATGTTAATTATCTTTGGCATGAAAAAATGACATCAAATAGATAAAACACTCTGAAACTTTTGGCAATAAATTGTTTCAATTTAAATCTGCTATATAATTGCCTTCAGTTGATATTTTTTGTTGCTCAAACTCAAACAATCCAACATAGTTGTCAAACCCTCTGTCAAACTTCATCTACCCCACAACAGGTTTTATTGGTTTTGTCCAACACTTAGTCGAAAATACAAGTAACAACATTGATTTTTCAAGAGGGTACTTTTTTATTCGTTGGAATATTTAATTGTACAATGGATTTTATTTAAAGATACATTGTCCTGAAAGTATTTATCGGGTGGTTATTGCCAATAAAAGTATGGCAAATTTGGTATATATGGAAAGTATAGTATAGACACCCAATCTTACTAGAAAAATACTGGATTACCCAAAAAACACCCATGGGGCAAGCACTGGACAAAAATGTCAGGGTATCACTAACTGTCAACCCGATTGTTTATTGCCAGCTTATTGTGTGCTAGCTTGACTGAAGGAGCAGTTGTTATTTCTTGATCAAATGGGTAGGCAGTTTGGGGAACATTGAAGGGCGACAACGTACAAAAGACTCTGCAATTAAATGGTGGAAAAGAAAGTTGACAGAAAATAATTAAGATTAAGACTTTACTTAGGCCTCAATATGTATGGTAAATAGACAGTAAGTAATGAAAAATACATTCTGAAAAATGGAACCTCCCACAATGAAGTAAGGTGACAGACATGGCGTCTAACAACAATTTATTTATAGCGATACAAAGCCTTGAGAGGGAATTGAACTGTTTGAAGCAAATTTTTCGTAGATTTATTAGTTTGAATATGTTTTTTGTCCAAATTTATCATCAAATCACAGTTTGTACGCGGGAAAGTATCTTTAACTGGAGGTGATTTAAAACACATAGGTAAGATTTTAATAACCATAGTTAAATAGTTTGTTCATTAGAGAGAAAAATATTTTTCTATCTTTGAAGTCTCACATTGTAATTGGTTTTACTTTAATCACTTAATTAATTACTATATTAACCTCGCCTATTGCACTACTAGTACTACATACAGATGTTGGGAAGGGTGGCTTAACCCAAAAACTGTATCATTCCCTTGATCAACAGTGACTTTCATTAAATATTATTATTATATAGAAAATCTGCTATATACAACTTCATTCACATTATCAAATTCTATGAATGTAAAATGTCACTGGCTAACATGTAATAATACTTGTACTTGTAGATACAGCTATGTTGACCTTTTCACAACACTTGAGATAAGCAAATGTTATGTAAAACTAATGTTAAAAAGTTTACTTACCTTTCAAAATCAAACTATCATGTCTTTTTCCAGTACATGTTATTTTCTATAAAAAAAATAAAATCAAGAAAATTATTCTATGCATTTTCAATGAATAAGCTTACTCTATTGTTAGGCCACGTAACAAAATCAATCTGGTTCTAAGATAGCACTGTGTCACTTAAAAAGTCTACAACCCCAAAACACACTTAATGATTACTGAAATGGTTGAAAATCAATAGGATTTTTTGTCTCTTAAACATAAACACTGTGTATAATTTATAAATATAATGTCAGTCTGATGATAACTTCAGCCTCTAGCATGGTCAATGTAAGTTGTTTTTCCCAAATTACTCTGACAGAAATTATCAGAGATTGTCAATAATGAATAGAATTTCAAGTCAACTAGACAATAACTTTAGCCTCTATATCATCCACACGCAATGTGGGCATATAAAAAAATAAAACCTCTCTAAATGTACCTCATATAAGATTATTAGGAAGGGTTGTTTGCCAACTAGAATATATTTTGGGGGTTATGGTCTTATCAATATAAAATTCCATTGTTGAATCTTTTGCTTAATATTATATTGTTTCATACACTGAGATAACATTTCTTATAAAATGTAAGTGTTGACTAACCTTTATAGGTCACAAGATACAGTTATAATAAATATTATCTTGAATAGATACCCATCCCTATATACAGATTAAATCTTTTACATTATTTTATCAGAATCATATAATTTTCAAAATACAGTACCAAACATCAGATTTAAACATTTAGTTTGCATTTGATCCATGTAAAAACTGTGGTCATACCTGAAGCTGTTGAACAAGTTTAGGTAATGGTTTTGTCCCATGCTTCTCACAACTTTTTCTATAAGCAGTAACAAGTTCATCTGTAGTCCAATTTTCCGCTGTAAAAAATAATATTGCAATGTATGTATATTGTTACTCATGCACAGACCCTGGAGCAGGCAAGTAGAATGTGGGTGTACTGTAATTTCTGTTTCTAATACTAATAGTAACTAATATAAATAACCTAGGCAAGGGGAAAATAATTGTTCACAATAATAATAGCATAAACTACTCAGCATACGTGTAAAATTGTAAATGGAGCAAACTGAATCAAAATTAATAATAAATTCCTTATAAAGATCACTTTCAATTTACAGATCAGAACTCTCAAACCAATGTATCCTGTTTGGCTAATATATGTCAAAAGCAAGAAAATATACTTCTCATAACCGTAAATAAAGCACACAGAACTGGGTACATTGGATATCAAAATTTATAAAGAGCACTTTCAATTTGTAAACAGATCAGAATTAACAAATCACTTACACGTAATCCTGTTAGCACATGTTTTAAAGGAGTTAAATCGCTAATATTTGGGACCTAGAAATTGACTCAAATGGGTCGCAACACATATAATAATGTATTGTGAATGTATATATATAAACTGATTTAAATTCGATCGTTTCTGTTTTTACTCTAATTTCAGATGAGTTATGTTCGGCGAAACACTCCAAAAATCTCAATCGAATGACAATCTCTAGTGTATTGATTATTCCATCCAGTCTACACTGATAGTATTTATTGAGCATGCTCTCTAGATAAGAATATGAGGTCGCCGTTTGACACGACTTGTGGAATATATCTGGCCTCGTTCTTCGAGTCCCTTGTTACAAATGACGCTGAAATGCATTATGGTACACGATTCGTATACCAATGGTAAAATGTTTATTTTGTCTTAAATATTGAATATCAGAAGCCAATTTTTTCCAGTAGGATCACAACATCAATGTTGATTTAAATTGACAAATAATTTGTGTTTTCAATGTCAAAGACTTTGGATGATATTGAGTTAGAGACTTAGCTTCTTTAACATATCTATGACTGATTCATTAGATTTTAAAATTTTGATAAGTCACAAAGTGCCTCTGCATCATGCATGAATAATAGTGTCACTGTTAGCAATGCCAATAGCAATATGTTTTACTAAATAATTTTGTTAAGAGACTCGGCATGGTATCTGTCAGTACTGTCAGCAATTATAAAGGCCTATATAATATATATATTTTACAAAATAACTTGGGCTATTATTAGTATTACTTAGTACATGTAATATTTGTATTATTATATTTTCAATTCTTACCATTTTTCCATGGATCTTTAGGTTCATTGTAGCCCGCAACAAACCCTCCATCTGGAAATTTTACACTTTTTCCTTTGCCCTTTTTTTCTGTTTTTGTTTCAGAGTCCTGGGCCTGTGATGTAATATTATCATCTTGACAGTCTTCCAGTTGCTCACTGCCACTGGACACTCCCCCACTTTCTAAAGGTAGATCTACATTGTTTACTTCCTGTCCAAATGTCTCGCAATTATTCACTCCATTGACAGTTTTACAATCTATTTGATCTTCTGCGATTTGTGGAGATGGTTCTGTCATTGTCATATCTACATTTCTACAAATTACTCAATATGACTAATCGATTACTGAATATTGGTTTTGTGCATTTTATAAATTAGTCTGTCGTCATCTGCTTGCCACAAGATTTAATAATGGCGCATGCGTCAAGTTCAGTCTCTTGAATACGCAACCTTGCAAATTTATTTTTAGTTTTGGAACTCATTCATAATTTCAGTATGTCCGACAATGAGCTAAATATGCCACCGTTTCATTCAATAGAGATGAAAGGATCTATTTCAATCGTTTTGGTTTTTCAGAGCACCTGCAATGTTCGAACGCACGGCGTACGTAAAAAAAAATCTAAATTACTAATCACGTGACTTTAGTGTGTTCAAAATGGCGTCTGTCACAACGCGTAAAGTTTCAAGTGTATTTAGAAAAGGCCTTTTTAATGACAAAGTTGCAATTGTCACTGGTGGAGCGACCGGTATCGGAAAGGCTATAACACAGGAACTTCTTTTTTTAGGTAACATAACCTTTGTAGATACTAGTGCAGTAAGTAATACGCGTCTGGTCGCTGCAATTTGTATTGTTGTAGCCGTTATAATTCTTTTCCTAAATAGTAATATCTTATTCTTATCTCCGGCAGCAATTGATTTTAATACCTATTCGAGGCTTTGAGCAAGTAAAATTAGGTTCGATTGCAAAATTTCCAACACATATCATCATAGTTTGCATGGAAATAAGAAATTATGTTACAAATAGTGAAGAGTGGAGCACTGAAATCATAATCTTATCTTATCAAACAGTTTTTCTGTATTTTGGAGGGGGCGCGGTGGCTAAGTGGGTAAGATGCTGGCTCGCTAGTCTGGAGGTCAGGTGTTCGATCCCTGCATTGGCTGAGAAAGTTCATCCAGATATAGGGCGGAGGGCCTGACAAGGACAGCTGTCTATTCGTTCGGATGTGACGAAAAACCGAGGTCCCGTGTACACATTGGCGTGCACGTAAAAGATCCCTTAACAGTTGAATTCGAAATGTTTGGCGGCCATTTTAAAATGAACCGAAATTTCGCATAGCAGTTGGGTTTAATCAAATCATATAATTATACGGTATGGTTTCACCTTTATTTCAATAGGAATTGGTTTATTATATGTTAAGCTATGTACAGTACAGTTTGGGGTCAGTGTGATTGGAATTTAAGGGAGTTATGGGCCAGTAACTTTTTGTGTAGTCAAATGACTACAAAACTTGCTCAAAGGAAGGCCTTAGAACGGTCCACTACTGTGGCTGGAGCAAGACGGAAGACATCAGTAGTAGAACCATTTCGATGTTGGGACATTATCAATAAAATGATTACCGCCCAATACCGGTAGGCCTACTGATGTTCAATGTGTAGTACAGATATGCTCTTACATAATAAATTAACATTTCAAAATCAAATCTAATCTAATTGAATCAGATTTAAACATGCATTATGCAAGAGCAAAATCTGCTGATTATAAGTCTTTCTTTAGGCCTGAAATGTTATCTAAATTATCAATTAGACATTAATTAACTTATCCAGACCACAATAAACTTTCGATGTCAAGGCTAGCCTTCGATGTTGGCTGGATTAGATTCCTATATGCCGCTAACGGCCATTGATAATTAAATCAGAAAAAGTGGATAATCGAGACTATGCTGTTTATATTAATGATTTTAGTAATGATGACCGACTATGCAAAATTTTCACCCGCTTCATAGTGGATCAATTTGACTGAAATTTCCAGCAAATTACCTTTACACTATCTAGTTTTTAACTATTATAGCGAGAACTGCCATCTCTTTATCTTATCTCCCATAATGAAATGAAATGAATTGGGGTTTAACGTCCTACTGTTCTGCTCCTATGCTGGGCTAATGAAGACGGGCATACGCCATACAGTGTGCTATGACGGAAATTTTTCCCGGGCAGCGGCACTATCGCCTACTCTTATATCGAATTCCAACTGTCAAGGGATCTTTTACGTGCATTCCAATGTATACACGGGACCTCGTTTTTTTTATCTCATCCGAAGGACTAGACAGCTATCCTTGTCAGGCCCTCCATCCTGCATCACTGACAAGGGGGAACCACGCCGGAAAATCTGGATGAACTTTCTCGGCCAATGCAGGGATCGAACTCCCATAATGTATCTTTAATTTTTTTCACGTAAGTGAAATCGCTATTCTTTGGCACCTAGAAATGGACACAAATGGGTTGCAAAGCATATAATGATAATGTAATATATAATGTTTTTACAGTAATTTTTAATCAGTTATGTTCGGCAAAATGCGTGAAGAGTTTGAATTTAATGGCAGTCTTTGAGTCTGGTTATTCCAGTCTACACTGATAGTATTTTCCTAAATGAGATATGTTTAGCCTTGTCATCGAGTCGCTTCATACAACTGGCGCTCAAAAGCATTCTGGCACATGATTTATGTGCCAATTTTGAAATTTTCATTTTGTCTTAAATCAGAAGCCCAGCTTTTCACGGTAAAATAACAACATCAATGTTGATTTAAATTGACCAATAAGTCATGTTCGCAATGTTGAATAAATATGGATGATATTGAGTTAAAGACTTGACTCCTTTAAAGTTTTCCAGATGGATGTGACATCATTTGTCACAGAATACAACTAACATTACAGGTTCTCATAAATTGTAGATCAAAATGAAGTTAACTGAATACTCCACGAATTCATTTTACCCACTCATTGTAAACATATATGTAATTTTCAGGTTGTAATGTCATGATTGCTTCAAGAAATATAGAGAAATTAAAACTGGCAGTTGATGAAATAAAGAGTTCACCATCTGCCTATGGTGTTATTGATTGTATTCAGTGTAACATTCGTAAAGAAGACCAAGTAAGCAATTTTTTAAGAATACATGTATATGAAATAACTTTCAGTCTATTTAATTTAGTTAATATAAACTATATTATATTTAATATAAACGATTAGAATGGTTACCATAAAAAGGGGGATTTAATAAGTGAAATATTATGTGGAAAAGCATTCATACAGTTTTACAACATCATTTTATGTCTGGCTAATATATCATATGGCATTTACATTTTTGGAAGTTTATTTTTACAACATAGGTTAAAAATTTAATATCCAAAACAATAGAGAAATATGGTAAGCTGAATTTCTTGGTTAATAATGGTGGTGGTCAGTTTCCTAGTCCGGCAGCAAATATCAGTTTGAAAGGTTGGAATGCTGTTATTGAAACAAATTTAACAGGAACATTTTTATGTTGTAGAGAAGGTAAGTGTAATATTAACTAATTATACTAATTATCTACTGAAAAAACGAGCTCATCTTGTTGAGTGGTTAGTGGTTTGACATACTTGGAATACCAGCATGAACTGCAGGGATAACATTTGCAAAGATGACAATAAAATTAGCCTGCTGTGCCTGCTGTTCAAGCAAAATTCATCTTGCTGTGCCTGCTGTTCAAGCAAAATTCACCTATCACAGATTACACATTCAGAATAAGTAAATAGAAATAATTATATTTTAGTCTCAAAATGACCAGACTAAAAATTCCACCTTAACAAATTAATCTGTACTGGTCTAAATGACATTGATTTACAAATAGTTACAAAAAGATTTTTTAATATTCTGTTTATAGCTTACCAACAATGGATGAGAGACAATGGTGGTGTCATTGTAAATATTGTTGCTGACATGTGGAAAGGATTGCCTTTGATGAGGTAAAGTACATGTATTTCTGTCATATGTTAGACTTAAAACAACAGGATGATTACCCCAATACTAACTAAATACTACCTCATTATTGTGAAAAAGTTAACAAGTGGTTGAATTATACCCCAAAAGGGGGGTTGGAAGGCTGAATGGTTAACGTGCGTGCGCTGTATCATAAAGTCTGTCATTGAGTCGACTGGCGTGGTTTCGAATCCCCGGTTGTACGTGGCAAGGAGTAGGGTCGCCTGCCCAACCTCGTGGGTTTTCTCCGGGTCCTCCGGTTTCCTCCCACTGCTAAAGACCCCTACGCGCAAGCGAATTATGTAAATAAAATTAAACCATATGTTAGTCCCGAAATGACCTAGTTTGTGTCGAGTGGACGTTAAACCCCATTTCTCTCTCTCTCTCTATACCCTAAAAATTAGTTACTTTGCAGGATTAGCCTAAATTTTACGATAACCGGAAAAAAGTATTTATATTGAATCTATGCCCTAGTATGTTAAAAACCTACAGATTTGTATATTCCAACATTGATATGGTCGAATGTTGTTGTCATCTCTGTCCAAAGGTTAAAGTTATCATGACATTAAATATATACATACCATTTATGTTCATGAGACAAAGTAGTCTCATCATTTCTGACATACTCCTCGCAGTGTTTGGTTTGATTATAACTAATCCCACTAAACACTGCTTTAACGTAGGCAAATTTCTGTTCCAAATTATGACTGGTCAATGGTCCGATTAACAACCAATAGCTAACTGCGTTACAAAAGCATTACACTTAAAACAGAGCTCCAAATTGGACCAAATAGGGTTACATAACATTACGTCATGACTCACGATTTTATTATGCCCAATTAACCAGTGCATAGCAGAATATTGCAGAAAAACTAATTGCGTGACAAATGAGGCTATCAAATCGAAAACAATGTAAACAATACTGCTTGGAGACAAACATACTTTCACCGTTTTTAATACCTTAAATCACTGTCCAAAGTTTTAGGAAAGACCCAGATTAAACGATGGGCTGTCATGTTGCTGTACTTGGGATAGATTTGACTGAAAGGGAAGAATAGACAAACTCCCTCAAAAGCTCAAGTACCAGAAGCCAATCCAGCACTGGCCATGAGAGGGATTTCTCGGGCCATTGCTTCAGGGATATGCATTTCTGATAATTACTGTCGGTGTTATCACCCTTGATCAATCTGAAAAATATTGTGGACACTCTGGAGGCTCATGTTGTCATTTGATTGACTTTACCCATGTTTTAAATCAGACATATTCGTAGGAAATATATTGCACATGTATTACTAACTGGTGTGTTTATAAATAATATTAATCAGTAGGCCTATATATGTATTGTTCATTGGTATACAGAATAATTAGCTATTGCACAAATTTGGGGCATGGCTGATGTATTAATAACAATAACCAGTATCGGTATAGATAATCAAATAATTTGTTTGCATACATGTATGATAACTTGCTCTGCTGTGAAAAATTGAGTTGAAAATGATAGCTACACTTTAAGATTTACAGTAATATTGTGTCAGTCTTGGAACATAATAATGCTCATTATTGTGTGCCCATGGGTTAATTTTTTGTTCTTATTAAATATTTGTCCTTTCTAAAGTCATACAGGTGCAGCAAGGGCAGCAGTAGATAATCTAACTAAAAGTTTAGCCATAGAATGGGCTGAAGCAGGCATCCGTATCAACTCTGTTGCTCCTGTAAGTTTTGTAAAATAATTCAACCTATGGTATGTTTGATAATGTCAGAATTTAGAAGTTTATGTCTAAAAGACCTACCTTTCCTTTTATAGTGCACTAAATGGTAATGAAAATAACAAGTTGGTCTATTAGTCATTGTAATCTTATTTTATTTGAAACAAGCCGTTGACATACATGATACGCCCATACTTTGCAATAGATGGGCAGAGAACTGGGAAATAGGGCTCATTCTTCTATTGTTCCCTTGATCAAATTAGAAATAAATCTGTTAAAAACTGTAGCTCCATCATCTTCACACGGTTTTCCAAAAAGTAGGGATAACTTCGGAAGGGAATGTCAGGGATCACTGACTATTATTGATAGGATTTCTCCTCTCATCACTCACCCCAATGATACAACCTAAATTTGAAATAAGTCCTTTAAAAAATGTAGCCTCTATCGCATTCAGAAGGTTTTCAGCAAATGGGGGTAAGTCCGGAATGGAAGGTTGCAGACTGTTGAATATCCATAGGGTTCATCCATTTATGAATATCAAATTAAAAAAAATTTGTTAAAAACTGTGGCTTCTATCACATACACAAAGTTTTTAGCCAAGGGGGCATAGGTTTGGAACAAAAGGTTGTGAAACACAGATTATCAATAGGGTTTGTCCTGTCATGACCCCTATGCTTCAAACAAAATTTGAAAGAAGCTGTTAAAAAATACATCATTTACAAGGTCAAAAGGTTTTCATAAAAGGGGGCATAACTCCAGATCGGAAGGTCTGATGCACACCAAAATGAAACTCATTCAACCAAGATCTTTTGATTCTGAACAGACAAAAATTGTGGCTTCTCGATGGTCTAGAAACTTTGTGAACAGACATAATCGATGGACACACAGACAGGGGCAACAACATAACACATTTACATGAAAATGTGGGCATATAAAAATAAAATTTTATCATTTGCAAATTTAAATCCATCAAAAATAAAAAGTATTTTATATTGTGTATTTAATGAATCAAACGCTGAAATGTAAAAACCTTTTAATTTTAAGGAAATTTTGAACTTTTTCAATTGCAGGGTAGTTCTATATACTCTGAAACAGCAGCAGCTAATTATGGTGATAGTAAAATATTTGAACACAGAATACCATTAGTTCCAGCTAAACGTCTTGGAACTACAGAAGAAGTAAGTTACCATTATATCTTTGCAGCTAGTGCTAGATAATTTTGACAATATTGTGTGCATGTACTGGTTAAAATATACATATATTGTATTCATACAAGATACACTAATCTAATTTTGCTTTTGATACGGCCATTTGACATTCTCTTCGCCCCATCCATCTGTCGTCCAAAGTTATCATCCAATGACTTGAAATTGTCACGGAGTGTTTATATTCATGAAACTATTTATTTTTAAAGATTTCTGCTAATTATTGTTATGACCTTTGATCTCTTTGAAAAATCTTGTTTAACGTCAAATTTTTAAACAGCTTTTATATTTATGAGACAAATAGTTTGTTGATTTTCAACGATTTCCTATTAAACAACATTGTCTTGTAACTGCTTCCATTACTTAATAAAGAACAAATATGTGACAGTCTTTGTAGACTGCTCTGAAGACTTATCTGATGTTGGCGAATACTTTGTTACCTGGCAACCTATCTTTAAAGAAGTTACTGGATGTTCAAATCCAGATTTGCATTTGGTTGCAAGTTCATTAACATTTGTATTTATCTCACTGACTAATGTACTCTATTCGTAACGAAACTTCCACACATTTACCTTTCCTCTAGTAGTGTTATAATTTAGAACAAATCAAAACGAAAATAGTCCATTAACTTTCATACATTAGTAATCTGTTTTGTTTATTATGAGAATAACTTCTGTTAATATCGCCAATTAATTAGTGGTCAGGAGATTAAGATTGTTGATTGGGTAATCAAGTTTAGTTTGTTGGTAATCAAAGAAGCTGCCACATTTGACTGTGTCTTCATCACACAAAGGGTTAACGCTGCGAAAAGATCACAAGGTTTTTAAAACAAACTTATCCCGAGTATCAGCGACTAGTTTCATTTGTATTGAACTCTTCACTTTATTAAACTATTCTTGAATCCCGTTGGATATCTTCATTTATTTGTGATTTTATGTAGATATCAGCTTCAGTGTGTTTTTTATTGTCACCGGCTGCTAGTTTTATATCAGGAGAAACAGTTAAAGTAGATGCAGGTGCTAGTCTTTATTCTACAATGTGGAATATACCAGGTACATTATTTTATATATCTATAATTATTCATGGTATCTCAGTGAGTATGGATCTATGGAGGTGGTTCACTAACTAGTAGAGTTCGCAGGTTTGATCACCTTGGCATAAACCGGGTTTCCCCTTGTCAGTGGTGCAAGATGAAGGGCCTAGCAAAGAGAAAAGTGAAGTCTTTCAGATGAGATAAGAGAGAGGGAAATGGGGTTTAACGTCCACTCGACACAAACTAGGTCATTTCGGGACTAACATATGGTTTAATTTTATTTACATAATTCGCTTGCGCGTAGGGGTCTTTAGCAGTGGGAGGAAACCGGAGGACCCGGAGAAAACCCACGAGGTTGAACAGGCGACCCTACTCCTTGCCACGTACGACCGGGGATTCGAAACCACGCCAGTCGACTCAATGACAGACTTCATGATACAGCGCGCGCACGCTAACCATTCAGCCATCCAACCCTCCAGATGAGATAAGAAACCAAGGTCCACTTCTGTGCTCATTATTGTAATCATAAAAATCCTTGGCAGTTGGAAGTCAATCTAGTGTAGGCAGAGAAGTCGCTCTCCAGGAAATATTTTCCTCACAGTACACTGGATATGCTTCTTCAATAAACCCCATTTCAGATCATTTCCAATTTGTTCACAAATGAATCTTATCAGAAAATGAATAGCCAATATATGTTTTGATATCTTAATCTTGACCAAACATAATGCTGGCCATATTAATATACTGGAACCTTTTATTTCACTGTGATTTACTTTAAATTTGTGTTTAGCTAAATGTATTTTTAAATTTGAATATTTAGATCACAATAAATCCAAACCTTACAAATGGTCTACAGATGAAGAAACAGATCAGCCAAATCTTAAACCAAATTCAAAATTGTAATAATAAAGCATTTAGTCATGATCTCTCAACTACTGTTATACTGATCTTTTTTTATGGATTTGATAGCAGCACCTGATAATTAATGATATAGGCATCAATTATTTTTTTTAAACAATTAATATTTATTGTACATAATAAATCTAATTCTTACAAATGGTATACAGATGAAGAAACAGATTAAACCAAATTCAAAATTACAATATGGCATTTAATAATGGCTTATCGGTAACTTTTTTACATTTTATAAAAATTTGTTTATATGAAGTTGACATAAGCACCTCTTGTAATACTGATATACATATTCTTTATAAAGATTATTGTCATCAGTATATTTAAAAGACATAGTTGTGTTGTATTGTGTAGAGGTGTATAATAATACAACATAAACTTAACCCTTTTCCTTCTGGTGGGGGTTGGAGATATGAACACCATCTTATCAATGTTGTCTCAGTAATGAATTCCAAAATCAGACCCCACTCCCCATTCTACATGCCTTATGTTCTGCACATTATCTGTGTATTATTGACAGGTAAGTGGCAGAGAATGGAATCCAAAATAATCTATTTTTTTTTTACACCTCCTGCAAGAAAGTGGGGTCATGGTGGCTAAGTGGGTGTTCGATCCCTGCATTGGCCGAGAAAGGTCATCCAGATCTTCCAGCGTGGTTTCCCCTTGTCAGTGATGCAGGATGGAGGGCCTGACAAGGACAGCTGCCTAGTCATTCAGATGGGATGAAAAACTGAGGTCCCTTGTACACATTGGCGTGCACGTAAAAGATTCCTTGACAGTTTGAATTCAATATAAGAGTAGGTCATAGTTCCACTGTCTGCGCAAAATTTTCCTCATAGCACACTGTATGACGTATGCCCGTCTTCATTAGCCCAGTTCGGAGCAAAGCAGTAGGACGTTAACCCCATTTCAATTTCATTTTTTCTGGATGAAAGTAATTTCTGATATATTACAATTTCCTACCCAAAAATGACAGACAAGCAGTTTTCTGTATTTTAGTGTCAGTTAAAATAGATGTAGAATATAAATAATTCAATAATGAATGGAAACAAAAACAACTAGGCCAATAAATTTAATTTATTGTAGTAATTCATGAATGTATATAATTTATATATCATTGTCAATGTATTGTTACATATACCAAATAATAAAACCACATAATGTAACAAAGGCAGGGGCTTGTCAGGCCCACCAGCAGCCAAATCATCTGTGCCTAGCTCTAAAATCTTGAAGTAAAACTGTAACAAAAAATTCAGCAGAAAGATAATTTCACAAAATACATTTCAAATTTACAATCTAAAATTGACGGGAATCTTCCTAATGCCCCACTGAACATTCCCACTGAACTCTGACCTGCATTGTGCTCACAATTTGGATCTAAATAGACATACAGCCCTGGATCCAAAAAAGTCTGTGTGTGGGGGGAGGGGGGATGCGCCTATGTCTGCAATATGTGATCAAAACAATAAATTTCGATAGGGTTCTTCAATATGACCCAATGAACAATCCCTGTAAGCTTAAGAGGTTGTGGACGAATGCTTGACAACAGATCACAATATACTTCCACATCAAAACTGCATACAAAAATGAACCTGACAAAAAAATCAAAATCATTCTTTTAATATATACAGATCACATTTACACATATTGTAGTTAATTTAAATTTATAAAAAAACAAAACAGAAAATGTCAATAACAATACTGTAAATGCTGTTATTCAGATAGTTTTTCAACAATGATCTCCTTCAAGGACAAAAAAAAAAAAAAAAAAAAACAGAATAAAAAAAAAAGGCATATGTTGAAAGCACCATAAGTTACACTGATTATTTATAACTATACAAAAATAAAGTCATTTAATTTGAATATACAGACATATAAAATAATAATTATACCGGTAAGCAAAGTTGACTAGCGAACATGGAAAGCGGTATGACATAAATTGTTTCAAAGGTATTTTGTTGTTAAACAGGAAATACATTCAGACAGGACACAATTCTATTAGTTGAAATTTGAATAACCAATAGTAAAAATCAGTTTGAATAACTTATAAAGTATTTGAATTAGAATATTCAAATATTTCTCTAAGCACTAAGGTAAGAATATAACCACTGTATTTTAATACGACAAAGAACATAAATTTACATGTTACCAAAAAGGGAATTAGACATGCATTTTATTAGTCATTAGTCATTTTATAAATGCTTTACTTTTCACTCTTATACAGACTTTTTCTTGCTATTTTATTGGATTAAACCGTTAGCACTTGATTGCCACAAACTAGCGCTCTTTAGATCGCTGGAGTCATGTGAAATGAAATGGGGTTTATCGTCCTACTGTTCTGCTCTGACTGGGCTAATGAAGAAGGGCGGAATCATATGAATAATTGTTGCGCCCCAAAAATTAGTCATATGAATAATTGTTGCGTCCCGAACAATAAGTGTAAATCCTACAATACTGAAAGCTATGCACAAGACACTATTCAGATGGCTTCGGGATAATGCGGTATGAATTAGATCACTAATTCTTTTTCAAAGAACTAGGGTAGTCGAAATTTTCATGTAAAAAGTGCTAAAATCAAATAATGGAAATATAATGTAATATATTGCCAAATTATTTGTCACGCAGTAAATTTACAATAATAACATACAAAACTATCTACATGTATTTACATATTATAAGTATATATTACTAAAATATATATATTTTCATCATATTGTAAATGGCGCTTTCTTTATAGACCAGAGGCTCAAAACCAGACCCAACTTTTCTATACTAAAATTTTATGGCGGTATATTAGATTCAAAATTCTAACGCGCTTTCGTCTAATTTCTAACTTCTGTTCATGTAATTTTTAACTTCTATTTATGTAATTTTTAAATTAAGACAATGTATAATCCAACTTCTTCATTTGTTCAGGGCCTACTCTTATATCGAATTCCAACTGTCAAGGGATCTCTTACGTGCACGCCAATGTGTACACAGGGACCTCTGTTTATCGTCGTATCCGAATGACTAGACAGCTGACGTTTGACCCCGAATATTTCCAGAAAAAAAAAAAACAATCGGCAGACTGATTACCACTCGGCAACGTATTCTATGCACAATTTTTCTATGGAAAAGTTTGGTTTGGTTTTGTGCCCATTTGATGGACACCCCCCAGCACTGAGCCTCCAAACTATAACAATAATTGCCATTGTCTAATGAAAAATTATTAAAGGTTCAGCCCCTGCTTCATGGGCTATCTGTAAAAAAAAAATAGCTAATTCTTGTCAGAAATTTTCAGCTAAAAATATTGAGCTGTTCATAAGTTATCCAGGGTTACACAAATAAAGATATGAAACTAATAACACATAAAATTAATTTTTCTAAGAGTCTGTTACCAACAAAATACTTGTCGACATTTCAAAATATAGCTTGTATAAATTTTGTTTAAAAAACATAACCCCCATTCAAAATATAATCATAACTGCTAGAAAATTCCATCAAAATAGAATCTTTCTTCCAAAATTTTTGCGTACCATCTCTCATGTCTTGCGAGAGTTCTACATTAGTTTTCAGTTACATTTTACCATTCGTACATAGAAGCCATCTGATTTTAGTAACATTCATCAGAATTTTATTACAATGTGCGATCACAAACATTGTGTGTATTGTATAGTATTTATCCGATATATTGAAAATTAAAACCACGTTGTTGTTTTTGTTGTTATTCACTAACTGAATACACAAAATAAATGTTTAAAATGACAGTATGTCAGCGATCGGAATGTGAGTAACTTTACGTAAACAAAAAACTTGTTCAAATATTCTTTAAAAATGTTCAGTCTTTCACACTCTTTTATAAGAAAATACACAAGTCCCAGTTTTACAAATAAGGAGAGCGGTTTTCAATTTTAAGGGGAGGGAGAAAAAGTTTCCCTCTGTCGACATTCAGGAGTGCGGCAGGCTCTCGTGAGCAATCGCGCGCCTTTAAAATTAACAAAAAAAACAACTCCTTTAAGTACAAGAATTGAAAACAAGTAACTATTTTGTTACATTAGATATTTCAGTTAATTTAAACATTATCCAGTGTTAACATTTTCAAACAGTAAGTCACTCATAACAAAATAAGTATGTGTTTAAATTGTGATCATAGTTTTTTCCTGGTATTTCAACACATTGGTAGGCAGTTTTGATTCTTCAATAAATAAACTAAAAACTGAAAGACGGTAAGACATATGTTGTGTTTAAAACACATCAATCCACTTGTAATAATAAGATCCAATGAAAAGTTTTACTCAATAGCCATTTACACAGTCTGGGTTCGTCGTTTAAAACATTCATCTGTTTGACAACAGAAGTCAGCCACTTTATTAACAGAAATAACACGACGTCTACTAACAGCATCTTCAATAAGAAGCCTCCAATCACCACTTTTCTACAAATTGAAATGAACATTTTTTATATATTTTACTTTTCAGGAAATGAATATACTCAGAGTAATGTCCCATATAAACTATAAGACAAATTATAAACAATTTTCTTTTTTAAAATCATGTCAAGCAAATGAAATAAGATCAGCAATATACAACCATTTTTAAAGGGAGCAGGACATGATATGTTACTTGCCTATGATACCACTTACTATAGGAGCCGACAAGCTGCACCAACCTGCAAGCAAGATATTACTTAGTCTAAAGTAAATTTGTGTTTGCCTACCTTCAATGAATTAAGATTACCAAGTATATACAGAGCACTCTTAGCTCTTGTAATAGCTACATTCATTCTTCGTCTATCTGCTAGAAAACTGAAACCGAATTATATAAACTTTATCAAATGAGTAGTCTCTATCATTCAGACAGATAGTTTCTATCTATGAATATTAGTCTGGATGGGTTTTCAACATTTGAGAATAATAGGCCATTAGCTAGATTATCCGGTCTTTTACATTATCATGAACAAAGTCTAAGGGAGGTAACTAGTTCTAAAACAAAATGTTGATACCCATGAAATTAATTTAAGAATTGCCATTTCAGAAAATCCACTTGCATTGCCAGTTTAATATTCAACACTCTCAATGTTTTTTTTGTAAAATTTGTCTCTTCCTGGACCATATCTATGTTTTTGAATTAATCCCAATTCATTGTCACGATTTATGTTTGTTTATAATAATGCATGAATTATGGGGTTTAAAACGGGAAGGGTCGCAACTCTTACTTGACTTTGCAAAAATTTACAGGATAATCAACCATATAAAAGATAGGTTGCCAAGCAAAAAACAAACACCCACAGCAGCTAAGTCGTCCGGGGAGTCAACAAGGGTTATCGCATATTTTTTTCTTTTGTCAGAAATGAAACATTTACAACACATTCTTTTGTCAGAAATGAAACATTTACAACACATTAAAATCTGATTACAAGTAACAACCCATCTGGCTTCTACTTCTGACCTATTCTAACATTTAGCATACAAAACATTTAATATCAATTGCCATAATAATTGGAATTCATTGAAAATTGATAGGCTTCTTTGTCACATGACCTTAAACACTGTATTAAATATAGAATCAATCAAATTTTAACTTTAGCCTCTAAAGCGTCCACAGGAATTTTCAAAGTGATCAAGGGCCAAAATAAATAGGCCGCTTCGTCTCATGACCTTAAACACTGTGTATAAGTCAATTTAGCCTCCAGGGCGTCCACAAGATTTTTTTAGAGTGATCAAGGGCAATAACTCTGGCAGTAATTATCGGAAATCGTTGAAAATCAATATGTATAAAGTAAAAGTCAATCGGATATTAACACGGAGAACCATCGCGACGACAATATACAACGACATTTCAATGTGGCCGTATAAAAACCAAACTCCCGGTTACGCATGGGCAATGGAACTTTTTGTCAAATGTTGGCAACAAACCCAGACACTCCGTACGCCGAAGGCTCGGTGGTTCTGGGTGACCGAGACCATCAAGTGAGGTGAAACTAATAATTCAATTTGCTATATTCTTTGACAGTATTTTTGGGAGGGTTTAAGAATATGGTTAATGGAATATGGGTTAGTTAACTCAGATTTTGTTTCAATTGACATGCATCAAATTAGCACCTACCCTATTCCTCCGTAGGCACTTTGTGATCTTACACAATTTAATATAATTACAGGTTTTTCTCTACCTTGAAAACCATCGACTGTTCCAACGTCTATATTATTCAGATTGCTGTAATTAAAAATACAAGGAAATCACTTGAAAACCAAATTCTTGACATAATTCTAACTCTTAAACTGGTATGGCAATATGCATGTCACTAATATTTCTATATTTAGATAAGAAAATACACCCAAAAATTTAGTTGTAAATTATACTCCTTTAGCATACTATAGGAATTAGTAATACTAATATAGAGGTAATTGATTTTATAAGTATTTTTTAAGTAAAGATTTTAGATGATAACAAATAAAATTGTTAGATTTGAATTTAGTCTGACCTGTTCTTTAGTCCTGCAAGAACTAAAGCTTTCTGTGATTGGTATGGACATATAACACCTATACTAGATTGGGATAGTTTAGCTCTTCTCACAATATTTTGACAAAGTTCTACTGTACACTGAGCTTCAGCAGTGTTACAAATAGATCTGAAATACAACAACCAAACCATTAATATTATTGAAGCAAAATAAATTATTAATCCATTACACTTTTTCTTTGCTACAAGGTGTAAAGTGTGTGATATTACTCTAAGACAGGGTAAAAGTGAGCCCATGAGATGGTGAGATAGGTGTTGCTATGCACTCTTGTTTACCTACATCCGGATATGGACTGAAATCTAGACAATGCTTCTATTATTTTGAGACAAACATCTGGTAATTTCTATTTATATAGTTACATGTGCAATGCAAGGTAAGTGAATTTTCCTCGGACCGCAGTGTTAAAGCCTCTCTTAATCAATATCTAAGTATACATGTGTCCCATCTGAACAACTAGGCACACTTCCCTTATCAGCCACCCTTGACTTGTGGGGTCTATTTCAAAAGGCACATGCAAGACTTATACACACATAAAATAATATTTTCTGACCACAGTCAGTGTTTGTAACATACTGTTAAAATTTGTATTAAAAAAAAACAAGTACAAGAACTGGGAACCGAGCATGATGCTATTGCCCAGATCTTGGAATTGTGACATATCAAAGGTCTGTCAATCGATGCACAACTGTCCAAGGAATAAGCATTCCAAATCGATCATACTTGAATTGGCAGAACCATGGGCTTTTTTTTGACAAGCGTCACCCATAAAAGAACAACAACAGCAAGATGAGAAACCCTTGGGGATTAGTTCCTACTCTAATTATATATTACATATTAAAATATGTTATATGTCAAGCAATCTTACTCGGCATTGGCTGTTTCTTTTCCACAAATCACATCAAACACTAAATATGGGATCAATGGAAACTTTTCACTATTTTGTTGAACACTTCTATAAGACATAATATAAAAAAAAAACTGTGAAAAATATAAGTTAAATAACTGATTCAATCTTTGAATAATGGTAAGAAAACTTCATATCAATATTTTTAACATACAAAATGTTAAAATCATTTTTGTTTTCATTTAAGGAAGATGATTACAATAAATTTGGTAACAGATATCAAACAATCATTTGATTTATAGAAAGGGAAATGCCCCAGTAAACCTTCAATTTTATTGATCCTTATTATCATTACATTTAATCTTTGCCACAAAATGTGAACCCTAATTAAATCGACTTACTTATGTGTATTAAGTTCATCATTATATATGAGTTTATTAGGAAAGGAAAATATGGTACTGTCCATTCTATACTGTGTCTTTAACATACATATAGCTCGTTCATCATTATGTTTAAAATAGTTATATAATCTTTCCAATAATGATTGGCCAAAGTTCATTTCACCCGCTTTCTGAAATTAAAGATTTATTTTCGGACAAAAATCAATAAAACATCTTAAAAAAAATCAATTATCAGAGATTGCTCAGGCTCCCCAATAATCCAACGAGTCGCAAAGTGATCCCTGCTAGCTCTAAACTTATTTTCAACAAATCCCACACGGCAACTTGAATGTCACTCATGTGCCTTGGTTAGGACCATTTGTGTCATTGGTCCTTGAAGCATTAACCTACCAATGTAAATATTGTAAATTAGAAAAGATAGGTTGCCAGGCAATAAAACATACACCCACTTATTTAAATCGTCTGAGCGGTCGACAAGGGTTGTCATATATTTATTCCTTTGTAGGTTACAAGACAGTTCCATACAGATCAGATTATAATTTTTGTTGTTTGAGGGTTTACAAGGTTCTACAAACTAAAACAAGGGCTTCAACCGTGGAAGTAGTCTACAGAAATTGTTGAAATTTGACAGGCCTCTGTTTCACAAATTTAAATGATGCATATAAATTTTATACAGATCGGCAGATAACTTTTGATGTTAGAGCGTTCACAAGGTTCAATAAAGTGAAACAAGGGCCATAACTCTAGACATAATAAATGGAAATTGCTGAAATTCAATAGGCTTCTTCCGTCTCACTAATTTAAATAATGCATATAAATTTCAGAAAGATAGGATGATAACTTTTGGCATTAGAATGTTCACAAGGTTCAATAAAGTAAAACAAGGGCCATAACTCTAGACGTAATAAACGGAACTGCATATAAATTTCACAAAGATCGGATGATAACTTTTGGTGTAATAGCGTTCACAAGGTTCAACAAAGTGAAACAAGGCCCATAACTCTAGACGTAATGAACATAAATTATTGAAAATAAATAGGCTTCTTCATCTCACTAATGTAAACCACATATATCAATATGTAAACCACATATATCAATTTTAAAACAATCGGATAATAACTTTTGGAGTTAGAGCGTTGACAAGAAATTGTGGACGACAGACATATACGTCTACATTTCCATGTGGGCGTATAAAAACAAATACATATTCATATTTCCAGGTATAAGTAAGGTAAAACATATTGAGGTCTAATTTTTTGTCTTACCTTAGATAAAACAGTAGCAGGTAATTGTTCGGGATCACCGACTAACACCATCTTATTAACACCATACTGTAATGGTATCAAACAATCCAATTCAGATGCTTGACTTGCCTGTAAATATCAAAATATAAATATGCTTTCCCATCCAAAATACTTTCAAATTCTATTTACCAGTATCTGCCTAAAACCGATACACATCTTGTGTTTATCCTAAAGCAGATATGCATTCTATGTCAATTGACCCTGTTTCTAAAGCAGATAATATATATTTTAAGTCTATTGACTCCATTCCTAAAGTAGACACCCAGTCTAAGTTTATTCCTAAAGCAGATACACATACTAAGTTTAATCCTAAAGTAGATACACATTCTAAGTTTAAGTTTAATCCTAGCAGATTCATATTCTATGTTTATTCCTAAAGCAGATACACATTCTAAGTTTAATCCCAAAGTATATACACATTCTATGTTTATTCCTAATGTATTCTTCTATGTCTATTCCTCAAGAAGATACACATTCTATGGGGTTTTTTTTTTCAAAAGAAGATACACATTCTACGTTATTTCCTAAAGAAGATATACATTCTATGTTTATTCCTAAAGCAGATACAAATTTTACATTTATTCCTTAAGTACATACACATTCTAATTTAATCCAAAAATGGATGGAACCATGGTGGCTCAGTGAGTAAGACATTAGCTTGCTAACCCAGGGCTGGGGCCATTACATTGCCAATGTAATTATTTACATTACCATTACCATTACTTTTTAAATGTAATCATTACAATTACTTTCTCATTTTTAGCAATGTAATTAATTACCATTACCCATTACATTGAAAGTAATTATTTACCATTACCCATTACTTTATGACTATATAAATAAAAAAAAACAACATTTTTCATAGAAATTAAAAAGACCTTATTTTTCTGCCATGAAGTACCTACAAAATCAAACTCAAAATAATCCTTGATTCACTTAATAGATATTTGTTTATGAATTATTATTTCTAGCAATTATAACATCAAGGCAAATTTTATAGTGACGGGCAGTGGTGACAAAAACCGACATTTTCACTGTATGACTTGAAAAATGAATCAAAACTATAGTTAATTAACTGTATTATCTTTTAAGTAATTTTTAAAAAAAAAATAATCAGTCCAAATAGTTTTTCTATAATATATTGTATAATAACTGGTAAATTATTCAGCATGACTCTAAAACAAAATATACTGTATATTAGTTTTAAGTAACCATAAAATGATGAGATACTTGAAGGTGATTGTTTGTTTTGTCACTTGTTACCGTAAGATTAAGATGAAAGTGCAGTAAGACTATTTATTGTCTTTTAATCTAACTGACTGATTGATTGACTGAGTGATTGGCTGCAAATTAGTACTAATCTTTGATTATAATATACATCTTATCAGAAATCCACTTCTTAGGTTACATGTCTAAAAAAGGTTCCTACATAAAAAGTAATAAAAGAAAATGTTTAATGCCTTCTTATTTTTCTTATTTTTTTTTAAAACTGATTTAAATATTTTTTTTAGAATTATAATGAATTGGATTTGTGTCAGATACACTTCATTACTTCTTTGGTGCTATAAAATGTAATTGAAAAGTAATTGAAATGTAATTGACCATTACATGATTTTTGGAATGTAATTAATTACATTTCCATTACTCATTACTTTTGAAATCTTCCATTACTCATTACATGGCCATTACTTAAAAAATGTAATGATTACATTCCATTACCATTACCCCAGCCCTGCGCTAACCTAGAGGTATTGTGTTCGATCCTGTTGTTGGACCAGAAAGTTTATCGTGATTTTCCGTCATGCTTCCCCCTTGACAGGGGTGCCGGACTTGGGGCCTTGCAAGGGAAATAAATAGTCTTTCGGATGGGACGGAATACTGAGGTCCCGTGTACACTTTGGGGTGCATGTAAAAGAATTCTTGACAGTTGGAATTTGTTTTAAGAGTAGGCCGTAGCATACTGTATTGTGTGTGTCCAGTCAGAGCAGAAAAGTAAGACATTCAACACCATATTCATTCTTAGAGTACGTCGTTCGTTTCTAGGGTTTTACGTCCACTTCCACCTAAGGTGATATCTTAGAGTACATACACGTCCTACTTTTATTCAACTATCTGATAATTTCGGATTGTGTTAATGAGTGATACTAATCAAATGTCTTGGATTAATGATTAGTTGATTGATAATTGCCAATGGTACATATATATATACTAATCAAATGTCTTGGATTAATGATTAGTTGATTGATAATTGCCATGGTACATATATATATAAAGCCTACCTCAAGTCATTATTTGCCCTTAATAATTAATCCAAGCGGTGATTTTCTGATGTTTCATTTTGTCTTAAAGATAAAGGGAAATAATCAAAATGTCTGCTAATTCTTTTTGAATAGAAATAAATATTTTTATAATTGAATTTCGTTTACTGTGCTTTCTTATGGCATGTAAAATATACAAGCATGCCTAATTGGATATTATTCTTTCAAATTATATGATCCCCATGAGTCAGAAACATAAGAATGAGTCGAATAGTGACAATTCTTGAGTGAGAAAACAGTCCCCCACTTTTGCAATTACCGCCGCCAAAATGCTCTAATGTGAGCAACAAGCCTGACTGTAAGTTTCTTTACAAATGAAATTGGAATTTTTATCAGTGATGCAAATTCTGATACCCTTATGGAACCTGACAATAACAATATGTCTATTGTACACGCAACCATCATTTACATCTCGTGGATATTATCTAATTTTTCACGGCTAATCCACGCTAAAAAGTATTCAGATTGATTATTTAACATTTACTTATGAAAATAAAGTCAAGATTCGATACGCATTGCGGGTCAGGTGCTACGATACGAATTGTATCACGATTTATAACAGGTTAATATTTACCAAGAAAACAACAGTATACCGGCAAATGAATAATTGAATTTTTATTCCTGATGTGGATCAAAATAAGGACCAAGAAAATTTAAGAGTGTTTGTGTGCCTATGGATAATGTGTGACCTGGATAATTAAGGTTACGTACTGAAACGACAAAAAAAAACCTATCAAAAAGAATCACGATACATCAATTCAGCGTATTGCGATTCTATACATGAATTGTGAGAAGGTGAATCGCTATACATATATTCAAAGATATATTGTGACAGCATTATAGCGGTGTTGGCTTGTTTTCACCCTATCCAGTTTATATCGCTCGCAGAGGATAGCAATCGTTGACAAATTCCATTATATCTTTGTAAATTTTAACTGGAATTAAACCCTAGTTAGACTGATATTGCTTTTAGAGATTAAACTTTCAAAATATTGTAGGCAAGTAATTCAAATCTCTCTGATGATCATCAGAGTTTTTGAAGTAGATGCCCATCTTACATTTTTTAATCAGTAGATACCCGGTACACATTTTACATTTCTAAAGTAATTTCAAATCTTACATTTATTCCTAAAGTAGATACACCACTTATGTTTATTCCTAAGTATAAACATATCTTATGTTTATTCCTAATGTAGACATACATTTAATATCTACTACTATATAGTAGACACACGTCTAATGTCTACTACAATACAGTAGACACATCTTATGTCTACTACTACTACTATGCAGTAGACACATCTTATGTTCTCTACTACTTATACAGTCGATACACATCTTATGTCTACTACTACAACAGACACACATCTTACGTTCTCTACTACTATACAGTAGATGCACATCTAATGTCTACTACTATACAATAGACACACATCTTATTTTCGCTACTACTATACAGTAGATACACATCTGATGTCTATTCCTAAAGTCGATGAACATTTTATGTTTATTCCTAACTTACCTCATCAATGATTAAACATGTAAAATGTTCTCTACGATTAGCAGATCGGCCATTTCTAAGAATGTCTAGAAGTCTCTGACTTCCAAAACTACTAAGTGTACCACAGACCACATCAGCATGTAATAAGATATTACTTTTGATCATAAATTCTTCTTGACCAGTTAATGTTATATCCTGTAAATAAGTAAAAATTCAGAAAAACATGTTTGGGTTTCTCACTGAAGAGGTGAATCCATAAAATACTTAAATTGGTTATTAGTTTATATATAACATTGGACATTAATATGTTTAATAATATTGTAGTTTTACCTTATTCAGAGAGTTCGCAAACTGTTTTTCTAAATTTCTTTGCTGATTAACCAATTTATTCAGATCAACTTGACATTTGCCTGCCTAAAACAAAGAGATAAATTTGGGTTATCAATTGGAGGAAAGTAATAAGGGTTAACACAATGAATAGTTTCATGGTTGGACTCCAGCCTATAGGCTGTGTCCCGAAGCCTGCCAAACTTTCCCCGGTAACATTTACCAATACAGCATTTATATTCCGTGAGCTATTATGTACAATGGATCCGTCAGTTTTATTTGTCATGAAAACTCGCCAGATACGTGTTTCCCAGTCAGAAATTAACGCCGGTTTTCCCAGATTGGGATTCCCGGAAATCCACACCGCTTTAATTTTTATATTTTACACTGACGTGTATTGCTTTAAATCTTCCTAGTGCAAAAACAGAAAATTTGACCTTTAAACCACCAGAGTCACAAAGAACAAAGGTGAATTTAGCAATGAAAAGAGAATATGTGACCCGTGCTAGCAAACTGAGTCGCAATGAGGAAATTTTAAAAATTGAGTCATTGTTATTTTCACATTCTCCACCTCAATACCGGTACCTTTAAAATGATGTAGAGATTGTTGGTACGAATTGGGCAAAAATTGACTGAGCTATATTTATTTGAAGTTGCCCAAGTCAGAAAAGGTAGTTTTGAGATAAAGCAAATTAAAGATGTTGGTATGTTCTAAAACAAATCACATGGCAACCATGCAATATATTTGTTATTTTTCGTTTAATATTTCTCGCTGTGTTATAATTTAGAACAAAAGAGAATCATCCATACATTATTAATCTGGGTTTTGCATATTATAATTTTTATGGAAATAATTTATGTTAATCTCACCAATTAATTATCACCTTTGTGTTAGTGCTCAGGAGATTAAGATTGTTGATTGGGTAATCCTAGTTCAGTTTCTTGATTATCAACAAAGCTGTCTCAGCTAAACGTGTGTTCTTTTATCTTCGTCACGACTGAATTAAAATTTTTGCGTGTACAATAGGTCTACTGTTATTTTGAGGTACCAAGGCTCGAAATGTTCGGCTGTCTACATGTCGCCGACAGGCGATTTTTTCGTCTGACAGGTAGCAAATAAAACTACCTGTCGCTTGCGACAGTTGGTCTAAATTTTACTTGAAAAGCACGGAAAAGCCGCCATTTGCACTGTTTACATTTCCCTCTGTCGTAGGCTACAGTTACTCACACAGTTTGGAAGTAGACAATTTTATATCAATGAATTTCACACCATCTACGCTTGTTTTCATCTGCTTGACACTAGTTTATAGCATTATGGAGTATTATATCTAAACAAGCCAACAGTGAGGCTGATGTCCCCCGCCGAAATAGGAAAATAATTAGAGGACACATATAAATTTATCACAAATTATCTTTTACAAAGTATTGAACAATCAAACAGTATATCTTTACTTATAGTCTAAGCATACAATGTTTTTGATGGAATAATTATAGCATATTAAGGGGAAAACATGCTCTATGCCTACAGATCTAGAGTTTGGTTGTATCAACGGGTCTATTTTCCATCTTGCTGCAAGTTGTGCAAAGTTCACTGTTTTCTTTCTGTCATTAAATGTCAATTCATTATTGCATACTACATATTTAATTAATTTATAATAGTTTCTTTTTCAATTTGTTTTTTCTGCTTACCATAAGCGGAACGGAAAGACAGACAAACAGACAGACGGACGAACCCATTTTAATAGTTCCCTGCTTTCTTCGAAAGGCGGGGGACAATCAAAGTAGGAGAGTTATTGTTTTCCAAAGTCTCGACCAATCAAATTGCGTATCGCTCTGCTTACCCTGAGCAGAAAATGCTCATTATCAAACTTAGTCAAGGTATTACTGTAATGAAACTATACACCAAGTTTCATCAATCTCACTTAATTAGAACTAAAGTTATCGTGTCCCAAAGCATCAACCAATCAAATTGCTTATCTCTGCTTACCCTAAGCGGAAAATGCTCATCTTCGAACTCCATCAAGACATTGACCTAATCAACACATACACCAAGTTTGAACATTCTAGCTCAATTAGGAAGAGAGTTATCGTGCCCCAAAGTATCAACCAATCAAATTGCTTATCTCTGCTTACCCTAAGCGGAAAATGCTCATCTTCGAACTCCATCAAGGCATTGACCTAATCAACACATACACCAAGTTTGAACATTCTAGCTCAATTAGGAAGAGAGTTATCGTGCCCCAAAGTATCAACCAATCAAATTGCTTATCTCTGCTTACCCTAAGCGGAAAATGCTCATCTTCGAACTCCATCAAGGCATTGACCTAATAAACACATACACCAAGTTTGAACATTCTAGCTCAATTAAAAGTTATCGTGTCCCAAAGCATCAACCAATCAAATTGCTTATCTCTGCTTACCCTAAGCGGAAAATGCTCATCTTCGAACTCCATCAAAGCATTGACCTAATCAACACATACACCAAGTTTGAACATTCTAGCCCAATTAGGAAGAGAGTTATCGTGTCCCAAAGCATCAACCAATCAAATTGCTTATCTCTGCTTACCCTAAGCGGAAAATGCTCATCTTCGAACTCCATCAAGGCATTGACCTAATAAACACATACACCAAGTTTGAACATTCTAGCTCAATTAGGAAGAAAGTTATTGTGTCCCAAAAAGTGTGACGGACAGACAGACGGACAGACAGACAGACAGACAGACGGACGAACCCATTCTAATAGTCCCCTGCTTTCTTCGAAAGGCGGGGGACAATAATTTAAAACGCACCCCCAAATCACCTGAAATAATTCTACCGTAACGACACCACAGTAAATATAGTAGTGGTTGGAATGGAAATACACACGGCTCGTTGCTTGGTGTATTTAATCATTTAAAAAGTTTTAAACAATTTCCATAAATAAAGGCTATGAATAATTTATAAGACAATTTGACAAAATCAAAAAATCAGGTCGGAAAAATATTTCATATATAAATATAATTCGTAGCGTAAATATAGTCCGGATATGTGAAAAGGGAATTCCAGGTGGCGTTATCTGTCCTTCGCACGCGGTACATGTAAATACGGTGCCATGCACAGGTGTGATTTGTGTTTTGATATTCAATTATTACGGATATTTTAAAATCTGAATTCTACAACTCAACGGTGAAGTATTCGATTTAGTACGGAAGTGTGGTCCCATGATACTTTGCGGAATTCACGTGGATACGGATGATAGAATTGTACGAATCTTCGAGTCGCTGAGCCAAAGCAGATTCGCCGACTTTCAAGAACTTTTAGGCATTCCAATGTCGAAGAAATAAAAAGGTTTCATATTATATTATGATATTTATATAGAGCAATGTACCTCAAAGACCTAACCACGTGTGTGTGTACCTATATGTATGGATATGTGTGATGTGATTAGTCTTTGAGTTTCATAATTGAGAATGACAGGTTATTTACTGAAGTGACAGGTATGAAGAAAAGCTACCGGACGCTTGCGACAGGTAGCTTTTTTTAAACATTTCGAGGCCTGGGTACCGTAATGGTATCAGAATCTGAACTCTTGATAGAATGATAGAAATTTCAATTTTATTTGGAAGACTAGTATTAAGAGATGTTTTTGGATCGTTTTCAGTCTCAAGAAATGTTGTTATTCGACTCGTTCGTTGTTCTCAAGTTTCCGGCACATGATGATAATAGAATTTGAAATAATAATATCCAATTAGGCAAAAGATTATTGCCAAAATCAAATTTTTATCACCACTTTCAATTTTTTAAACTGACAGTGAGAACCCAGAACTCAGCCATGATACTACAATGCAGCGTGCGAGGTGTCTGGGACGAGTACATTTACGTATTGTATGGGTTAAAAACTTGTTTATATTCGTTGCGAAATGGGATAATTGGTAATACTTTGGCCATATTTATAAACTAGAGATTCACGGCTAAGTATTACAGAAAGAGATTGACTGCTCGTTCCGCTACGAGCATTGAAACATAGCTAATTTCGCCGAGATTTTTCAGAAAAAAGAAAGATTTAAGAATACGGTACTCTTACAAAACATCTAAATAAAGGTGTTTTAAGATGTTTTATTGCTATTTCGATCAAAATAAATATTTTCACTTGTTTTGTCTGTAGCTCATTATTAGACTTTGCACATTCCAACTTATTTTGCCAGCACGGGTCACATATGCTGAAAATTTCAGTCAAATTACTTCACTATGAGCCTAGATATTAGCAATATAATTATAGTCTAGCCTCGATTGTCATCACTACCATTGTTACGATAATAAACAAAGTCTTGATTATCCATTTTTACGGTTACCGTATTGACCACTAAACATATTTAAATCTACTTATATTGCAGCCATACAATGGCATTGAGAGTTGATTATGGTCTTGGTAAGTAAATTAATGTCAAACTAATAATCTATATAAGATTTCAGGCCTAAACAAAGATCCACAATTAGTAACGGAAAACCTGTAACGATAGAGTTGATCTGCTCCTCAGTTTAGAGGCCCAGACATTTTTCCGCACCAATATACGCGATATATATGGCAAATCTAAAACTTAGTGAAGATAACTAGCTGTTTTTATCATGTCATGATCATAAAACCTGACAACACTATTGCCAAATAGCAGTTGAATACTAAGTCTGATTGTAGACTAAGAATGCATGTTTGGATGAGTTCCAAATTAACTATCCAATAGTACTAGACAAACTTAGTGCATATTACTACACATTGCAATAACCCAGTCCAGTTATCCAAATAATTCCCATTTGTTTGTTATTTTAAACGACATAGCCTTATAGTCTATGCAAATAAGAATTTTATAACGGCAATTATTTAGCTGTCTCTCTGTTCACCAGTAACAGAAGCAGTTGCTCCGGTAATAGTAAGCACTGCACCAGACTTTCCAAGACCCATTTTGTGCTCCGGTCCCTGACAACTATATAAGGGGAATATCCGCACAATCTCACTTAAGCCTGATGAGTTCGAACCAGTGATGGGATTTCGCACGTATATTCTGGACATGTCCGACACTATTTTCCAAACGTTCTAAATTGTTGGACATTAAGGTATGGTGAATAATATTCAAAATTCCAAAACTAATATTGTGTACTGAGTGTATATCTACCACTCAACCTGATTATCATTGATAATAGGGTGGATTGATTAGGTAATTAAGTGATCAAAATACTTATCCGTGTTATACCATCTATACACCTACCTTCATTAACTAGTTAATCTGCCTTTGTAGGACTATGTATCAATCCAATAAGAGTGATTATAAATCTATGTGATTGACCTTTGATTCCTCCATTGACGGACGTTTTAATCTCCTTGATGTCAGCCAACAACACGTAGAAATTAGTCATATATATCACATATCCTAATAGATACATAACACCCCAAATCAATAAGTATCCGATAACTCGTCTGCGAAATCACTTCGGTGGAAGCAAGCATTAAATAAAGCTATTTCACACACACACATATCTAAAAGATAGGTTGCCAGGCAACGAAACATACGCCCACAGCAGCTATATCAGCCGGGCAGTCAACAAGAGTTGTCACATATTTTTACTTTTTTCGGTAATGAAACATTTATAATACATTAAAATCTGATAAAGAGTAACAACTCATTCAGTAATTATCAGAAAACCATTAGAATTTGTTTGGTTTTTAATAAGGTCTGCCCCATGCTAACTTTTAGTATACGAAACTTTTAACATCATGGATTTAGCTGTTCAAGTCATAAAGATTCATTGAAAATCAATATACTTGTTCGTCTCATGACCTTAAACACTGTGTATAAAGTCAATCGGATATTAACTTTAGCCTCTAGAGCGTTCACAAGATTTTTCAAAGTGATCAAGGGCCATAACTCTGACAGTAATTATCGGAAAGTGCTGAAAATCAATAGGCTTCTTCGTTTCATGACCTTAAACACTGTGTATAAATTTAAAGTCAATCGGATATTAACTTTGACCTCTAGAGCGTCCACAAGATTTTTTGAAGTGATCAAGGGCCATAACTCTGGCAGTAATTATCGAAAATTGCTGAAAATCAATAGGATTCTTCATCTCATAACCTTAAACACTGTGTATAAATTTAAAGTCTATCGGATATTAACTTTGACCTCTAGAGCGTCCACAAGATTTTTTGAAGTGATCAAGGGCCATAACTCTGGCAGTAATTATCGAAAATCGCTGAAAATCATTAGGCTTCTTCATCTCATGACCTTAAACACTGTGTATAAATTTAAAGTCAATCGAATATTAACTTTAGCCTATAGAGCGTCCACAAGCAATTGTTGACGCCGGACCACCGGACGGACGGACGGACAGGGGCGACAACAATATACGACCACATTACAATGTGGGCGTATAAAAATACTAGACAAAGCAAGCTCTGTTTCTGATCACATGCACTTATAGTACAATAACTGAAACGGAAGTACAAAACTCGCGAGACGCATGAAATTATAACATGAATACGTGACAAATTTCACAAGTCTAATGTCAGAGAAAAGATTCTATTTTGATGGCATATTCACAGATTTATGATCATATTTTGAACGGGGTTTATGTTTTTAAATAGAGAAATAAGAATGCTAGGAAATGTTGACAAATATTTCGATTGGAATAGTGTAAGTAGTTAATTGTTTTAGACGATATCGCATGCTGGAGTCCAATGCGATTATTTAGCAGATGGTGTCACTCGCTCGTTGTGGTAGAGCGACGTTTACTGCCAAATAAATTTTGGGATGTCATTTTTTTACCTTCTGTATAGAAGTCGAAACGGAGTATAAGAAAAATGCTGGACTTCTGCTGAAAAATGTATTGACTTATGACCCGAAAAACACGGTTATTTTGGAGGAATTTGAAATAGGTACAGGTCAGTACGCTTTCATTCTATCGTATTACGACATCACGTAATTTTGTAGGAATATTACTGACATAAAACTGAATAACGTACAGGAATTAAATATGAAAAACAATGAGGTGCACCTATTTTTTATTACGTACGAATTTGAATATTTTGTCGACACATAATTTTTGTGTGTGGTCTAAAATTGCCTGCTTAAATAATGATAAGAGTTATGTCCCTTTATTTTCGGTAAAAAGGTCCGACAAGAAAAATTTTGAAATCCCATCACTGGTTCGAACAGAACAAAACTAGACGCTTCATGAGAGAAATCTCAGACAGCTACTCGCCACTCATAGATTTCTAACACTGTTTAATTTAGTAAAATGAAAAAGTCTGTTCAATTTCAACAATTTCTGTAATTTACTTCTCGAGTTAAGGTCATTGTTTCAGTTTGTAAACCCTCAATCGACAGAAATTATGGACTGATCTGTATGAAATTGTCTTGTAAATGCTCCTAATTACCTACAAAAGAATAAATATGCAACAACCCTTATCAACCGCTCGAACAATTTAGCTCTTGTGGGCGTATGTTTCTTTGCCTGGCAATCTATCTTTAATATTGTATATTTTTATACCAATGAAAATAGGAGACATTTCAGGGACCAGTAAAGCAGAAATGAAAAAACACTGCTTTAATATTTAAATCATAATGTCTGTCAATGAGTCAAGTTCTGTGGTATTGACATCAAGTTTGTAACTGAGAAAGAGTATAGTCTTCTCTGAACCTCCAGGGTTTTCATCAAGACCACATTCAAGACATTTAATTCTTGTTATACTTACCTTAAGGTTATCTTTTTGTTTCCTAAAGGTTTCAAGCTCTTTTTTTAATTTATCTATTCTTTCTTCTAGTCTCTTCATATCTTGTTGAACACTGTCAGGAATATTCTGTTTCTGTTTTTCTCTTAATACTGGATTAAGAAATCATTCACTTATAATATTAACATACTGAAGTACAATAAAAACATGCCACTTTTATAAATGGATGATTGTAAATTTCATTGGAGAAAGGTAACTTTCAGAATTGAAAGATCCAAGTGTATACATAAGTTTTCAACTTCTTAAATTTGGAGAAAAAAAACCCCCAAAACAATGGTCATGATCTTCATTATGACCGAGTCAATAAGATAAATGAAATAATGGAAAAGAACATACCTGATTTTCGTTTGTTGTTTATTAGTACATCCCAACAATGACTTCTTACATCTGGATGTACACTACTACTATTACCTACTCTAACAACTCTTAATTTATCTTTATCTACATTAAAAAGTATATAAATTCTACTCAGCTAGGTAAATTTGGGATTAACATGTTTACTTTTCTATATGTATACTTTTAAGGAAAACGGAGAACCTAGAGAATACCCGCTGACGTGTGCAAGTTATCCTAATCCTTGCTACATAAGTAGAATATAAAGAGTAGCACAACGTTTCAGTACCACAACCTTTCGGACTCCATAGAAACAACCATTTGGACTCTGACGACTTTTCGGACTCAGTTTTGACGACTTTTCCAACTTACTTAAACATGCATTATGCAAGAGCAAAATCTGTTTATTACAAGTCTTTCTTTAGGCCTGAAATGTTATCTAAATTATCAATTAGACATTAACTAACTTATCCAGACCATAATAAACTCTCGATGTCAAGGCTAGCCTTCGATGTTGGCTGGATTAGATTCCTATATGCCGCTAACGGCCGTTGATAATTAAATCAGAAAAAGTGGATAATCGAGACTATGCTGTTTATATAAATGACTTTAGTAATGATGACCGAGACTATGCAAAAATTTCACCCGCTTCTTTCTCGGCTCATAGTGGATCAATTTGACTGAAATTTTCAGCAAATTACCTTTACACTATTATAGTGAGAACTGCCATCTCTTTATCTTATGTATCTTTAATAACTGTTGAGGCTCCATAATAACAAGGTTTCGGACAATAATAAATAACATTTAGGACTCAATCTGACAACTTTTCGGACTTACTTAACGACTGTTTGGACGTCATAATAATGAGGTTTCAGACAATAATAAACGATGAATAAATTAAACATTGTAGACAATTTTGTGTATTTAGTAATAATTCTTTGTTCTTCTTTTATCAAATAGTAAATGAAAATGATTGACCCATCATGGCCAATGTTTTTATAATTGTGAAAGCCTGAATGTATTTTACTTGAAACACACGGTCATGACTCATATTTTTCCTCATCCACCATACAGCCACGGTTAATCAGCTTTAATTAGTTGCCATTTTTAATATTTTCCGATAGGTACTGCTTTCTATTGTACGCTTGTCGAGGAATTTATGTCAAAGTGCAGTTTACAGATTATCCTTAAAATATTCGTTGGTACCATGGATGCCGTGCAAATATTTTTGGGTGTTTGAGTAGAACATTTTCAAATAAATTTATCAGCATTTAAAATATATTATCTTTACTGGAAACAATCATTATCAAAGAACCGTAAGTGCAACGGATGTTTTATCGTTTGGTAGAGCCTTTCAATAACCACATGTTTCACGTTAATATTTTCTTTTGAATTTTGAGTTGGCTCATTTCAAATAAAACCATTGCCTACTTTTTTTTATATCAAATATAAAAAAATAGTACTGATACAAAGAAACACATATTATATGACATTCAACATTTGAAATACAGCCCTTCCTTTACTACAGTCTACAAAGAAAGTCTGTGATCTACATGCTGTACTTGATAACAAATGATTTCATAAAATCATTTTGGCTTATTACAAAGTGCTTTGACTGTTTGTGTTCAACCTTTTCTTTAAATTTATTCCCAAGTCCGAAATGTTACCTACCAGAGACCAGAATCCGAAATGTCACCTTCTCGAGTCCGTAGCGTTGAGGACATATTCTTTTGATTGAGTTCAAAAGGTTGTCAGTCCGAAATGTTGACATTTAGATTTCATCCCATCACTAATCAAACAAGCCAACAGTGAGGCTGATGTCCCCCGCCGAAATAGGAAAATAATTAGAGGACACATATAAATTTATCACAAATTATCTTTTACAAAGTATTGAACAATCAAACAGTATATCTTTACTTATAGTCTAAGCATACAATGTTTTTGATGGAATAATTATAGCATATTAAGGGGAAAACACGTTCTATGCCTACAGATCTAGAGTTTGGTTGTATCAACGGGTCTATTTTCCATCTTGCTGCAAGTTGTGCAAAGTTCACTGTTTTCTTTCTGTCATTAAATTTTAATAGTTCCCTGCCTTCTTCGAAAGGCGGGGGACAATAAGCATGAACATTTACTCAATTCGAAGATCAACCAATCAAATTGTTTATCTCTGCTTACCATAAGCGGAACGGACAGACAGACAAACAGACAGACGGACGAACCCATTTTAATAGTTCCCTGCTTTCTTCGAAAGGCGGGGGACAATCAAAGTAGGAGAGTTATTGTTTTCCAAAGTCTCGACAATCAAAGTAGGAGAGTTATTGTTTTCCAAAGTCTCGACCAATCAAATTGCGTATCGCTCTGCTTACCCTGAGCAGAAAATGCTCATTATCAAACTTAGTCAAGGTATTACTGTAATGAAACTATACACCAAGTTTCATCAATCTCACTTAATTAGAACTAAAGTTATCGTGTCCCAAAGCATCAACCAATCAAATTACTTATCTCTGCTTACCCTAAGCGGAAAATGCTCATCTTCGAACTCCATCAAGGCATTGACCTAATCAACACATACACCAAGTTTGAACATTCTAGCTCAATTAGGAAGAGAGTTATCGTGCCCCAAAGTATCAACCAATCAAATTGCTTATCTCTGCTTACCCTAAGCGGAAAATGCTCATCTTCGAACTCCATCAAGGCATTGACCTAATAAACACATACACCAAGTTTGAACATTCTAGCTCAATTAAAAGTTATCGTGTCCCAAAGCATCAACCAATCAAATTGCTTATCTCTGCTTACCCTAAGCGGAAAATGCTCATCTTCGAACTCCATCAAGGCATTGACCTAATCAACACATACACCAAGTTTGAACATTCTAGCCCAATTAGGAAGAGAGTTATCGTGTCCCAAAGCATCAACCAATCAAATTGCTTATCTCTGCTTACCCTAAGCGGAAAATGCTCATCTTCGAACTCCATCAAGGCATTGACCTAATAAACACATACACTAAGTTTGAACATTCTAGCTCAATTAGGAAGAGAGTTATTGTGTCCCAAAAAGTGTGACGGACAGACAGACAGACAGACAGACGAACCCATTTTAATAGTCTCCTGCTTTCTTCGAAAGGCGGGGGACAATCAAGCCAACAGTGAGGCTGATGTCCCCCCGCCGAAATCCCAAAATGAACAGATGGCACATATTAATTAATCGCACATTTATTTTTTAAAAAGTATCGAGCAATCAAACTGATTATCAACTAAACACTAAGTTTCGTCACTCTCTATCAGATAGAATCAAAGTTATCTTGTCCCAAAGCATCAACCAATGAAATTGATTAGCTCTAATGAACATCTACATCAAGTTTTAAACATTCTACCTCAATTAAAGGCAGAGTTGTTATGTTCCAAAGTCTTGACCTATCAAATTGTTTATCGCTCATTATCCTAAACTTAAAATTTTCATCATTGAACTTAGTCAAGGTAATGAACGCCTACACCAAGTTTTAACATTCTACTTCAACAGAGGGAGAGTTATTGTGTTCCAAAGTCTCGACCAATCAAATTGCTTATCGCTCTGTTGATTATCAAACTTAGTCAAGGTATTGATGAGATAAAACTACACACCAAGTGTCCTCACTCTCACTTAATTAGAACTAAAGTTATCGTCCCCAAAGTATCAACCAGTCAAATTGCTTATCTCTGTTTACCCCGAGCAGAAAATGTTAATTATCGAACTTAGTCAAGGTATTGATGTAATTAAACTATACACCAAGTTTCATCACTCTCACTTAATTAGAAGTAAAGACATCATGTCCCAAATCATCAACCAATTAAATTGCTTATCTCTGCTTACCCAAGGAGAAAATGCTCATCTTTGAACTCCATCAAGGCCTTGACCTAATAAACACCTACACCAAGTTTGAACATTTTAGCTCAATTAGAAGGAGAGTTATTGTGTTCTTAATTTAGCTCAATTAGAAGGAGAGTTATTGTGTTCTTAAGTCTCAGCCAAGACGGACGGACGGACAGACAGACAGACGAACCCATTTTAATAGTTCCCTGCTTTCTTTGGGGGACAATAACGCAACACATCAACCAATTCAACACTTTCTTTTGCCTTAATTGAAAGAGATCCTAGTTTTTTTTAATTCCGTCTATATATTGTTGACATTAATACACACTTCAAATAAATCTAAAACTTACTATTTTCTTTGGTCTTTCTGTTATCTCTAATTAATCTTCTCATTAATTCATCAGCCGCGCCATTTGATGGTGTAGCCAGACAAACACAACCACGAGTCCTATCACTCTATAAGTCATTATAAATATTCTTTTTTTATAAACAATATTCTATTCATTACAAACAAATGGGATCAGAAGACTAGTACAGTCAATTTATGAAAAAAAGGGGGTCAACCCCCCAAAAATAGCATGAAAAGGCTTTTTGAAGGTTTTTGGTAGCGTTGGGTGTGCTCAATGACATCCTAAAAGTTTACCAAAATTGGAGTACTGGAAAGTCCCAAATTTTGAGGGTAAAGTTCAGGTTTTTAAGCCATTTTCCATTAAAAGGTACAACTTCAGATAAACACAAAGTAAATTAAATCTGCGCCTGGGTAACACCAAAGTGCTGAATTATGCTGCACAGGCTATTTGAAATAAGGATGTGGCTTTTCATTCCTATTTTACTGTATGGGAACCCCACTGTGTAACAAGCCAACAGTGAGGCTGATGTCCCCCGCCAAAATACCAAAATAAATAGATGACACATTAATTTATCGCACATTTATTTTTTTTAAAGTATCAAGCAATCAAACTGATTATCAACTATACACTTAAGTTTCATCACTCTCTATCAAAGTTATCTTGTCCTAAAGCATCAATCAACAAGGCATTGACCTAATCAACACATACACCAAGTTTGAACATTCTAGCTCAATTAGGAAGAGAGTTATCGTGCCCCAAAGTATCAACCAATCAAATTGCTTATCTCTGCTTACCCTAAGCGGAAAATGCTCATCTAATCAAATTGCTTATCTCTGCTTACCCTAAGCGGAAAATGCTCATCTTCGAACTCCATCAAGGCATTGACCTAATCAACACATACACCAAGTTTGAACATTCTAGCTCAATTAGGAAGAGAGTTATCGTGCCCCAAAGTATCAACCAATCAAATTGCTTATCTCTGCTTACCCTAAGCGGAAAATGCTCATCTTCGAACTCCATCAAGGCATTGACCTAATAAACACATACACCAAGTTTGAACATTCTAGCTCAATTAAAAGTTATCGTGTCCCAAAGCATCAACCAATCAAATTGCTTATCTCTGCTTACCCTAAGCGGAAAATGCTCATCTTCGAACTCCATCAAGGCATTGACCTAATCAACACATACACCAAGTTTGAACATTCTAGCCCAATTAGGAAGAGAGTTATCGTGTCCCAAAGCATCAACCAATCAAATTGCTTATCTCTGCTTACCCTAAGCGGAAAATGCTCATCTTCGAACTCCATCAAGGCATTGACCTAATAAACACATACACCAAGTTTGAACATTCTAGCTCAATTAGGAAGAGAGTTATTGTGTCCCAAAAAGTGTGACGGACGGACAGACAGACAGACAGACAGACCCCATTTTAATAGTCCCCTGCTTTCTTCGAAAGGCGGGGGACAATAATTCTTGGCAGTTTACATGACAAATCCGATTCCATTTATGACTTAATTTGTATGGCACTATAGTAAAGCCAACAGTTTAAAATATGAGATAATATTGTTCTATAATGTTAATGGAGTTTTTTTTATGTATCATATTGTACAACTAGTTAAATTTTTTAGCAATTATGAATCTTAAGTTTACCAACACTTTTTTTGGCTGATTTGAGGTACCAAACTAATAATAAGTGCCCTTTTGCATGGTGATATCAATGACATTGTTGATACATTAGGAAATATTGACCCCAAAAACATTACTTCAGATACCAAAGGTGCTATATTTATGATGAAACAGTGCAGGGTAAAGCCTATTTGTAAATTTGGGTTATCGGTAGCAGATTGTGGGGGTGTGGGTGGTGGGGTGGGGGGTGGGGGGTAGGGGGTAGGGGTTCCCCTTAAAAGGTATAAGGGACCAATTAACACCACTGGGTATATCTTCATAAGAAAGAACGACCCCTAAAGCATTAATTTATAAGTTCATTATACATTAATAGGGTCTTAAATAAAAAAACATTTAGATTTTTTGTGTACATTGGTTAGGCAAATGTCAGCCATCTTGGATTTTACAACTTTAAAGAACAAGTGAACACCACAAGGTATATTTTCAAATGAAAGAAGGACCCCAAAAACATTAATTTACATGTTCATATTACACTTATAGCGTCTTACATCAAACGGTTTTACCGCTTTAACACTACTGGCTATATTTTCAAATGAAAGAATGACCCTAAAACATTAATTTATATGTTCATAACACATTTATAGGGTCCTAAACCAACAGTTTAGGGCTTTCTTGTACATTGATTAGGCAAATGTCGGCCATCTTGGATTTTACCGCTTTCCGAAGCACAAAATTTGGTAAACCTAAATAAATGCAAAAATACATAAAACGTTTCCTTGCAATTTTTTGGGGGTAAAATCATAAATTGACTGGACTACACAGGCATGGCCTATTTAACCCCTCACAATATTCCAGGCTAAAAGTCTAATATAGTGGACTCTGTCACTTCTGCCATGTGAATACTACAGCATTCTGTGAAATCACATCCTTTTCATATCCCGATTTATTTTCATTACTTCAACCAAAAATGTTTTGAGCAGACCGTATTCTGAATATTCCGAATTACGATTTGCATTGAATTAACATTGGATAATCCGGCTTTCAATCAGTGGGTGTTAACCAGCAAGCAATCACCAATCAATTATCGGTGAGCTTAAACCATGTGTCGGTCTTTGTTGATTACCTTGATAATTTTATGATCTCTTGTAAGAGAGCGCTTGGTATTTCATTTGAGTTTCTCACATCAAATACAGCAACAATATATATAAATTGCAAAAGCAAAAAAATAAACTCATTAAAAACTGCTAAATTTTTTTTATAAGAAACCATATCTTAATAGGCAGGCACTATCGTACTGTGACCCCCTAGCAGTGATGGGATTTTGCCCGTATATTCCGGACTTGACCGACGCTTTTTTCCGAACGTCGTAAAATGTCCGACCAGGAATATGCCGAATCGGACATCAAGACATGGTAAATAATATTCAAAATTCCGAAATTAATATAGTGTACTGAGTGTATAACTACCACTCAACCCGATTATCGTTGATAATAGGCTGGATTGATTAGGTAATTAAGTGATCAACGTATTTATCGTTTTATACGGTCTATACACATACCTTGATTAACTACTTAATCTGCCTTGATTGACTGACTTAATTCTTTGTCGGACAATTCATCAATTCAATCCTGAACAGAAATCATTGCTTCTTCTTTGTCAGACTATATATCAATCCAATAAACTTTATCTATGTGATTATCCCGTGATTTCTCCATTGTCTCATGTTTTAATCTCCTTGATGTCGGCCGTAGACATTAGTCATATGTCACATATCCTAATAGTATATAACACCACAAATCAATATACATTGTGTCCGATAACTTGTCTGTGATATTTCTTCAGTGGAAGCCAAAGTTAAATAAAGCTATTTCACACACACGCAAAATGAAAGTAGAAATCTCGCGAGACACGTGTAATTAAGAGGTGTAAACGTGCCGAATCTAATACGTCTGATGTCGGGAGAAAAGATTCTATTTTGATGGCATATTGTCGGATTTATGATCCTATTTTGAATGGGGTTTATGTTTTTAAATAAATAAATAAACACGCTAAAAAATGTTGACGAATATTTTGATTGGAATAACGTAAGTAGTTACGCAAAATGAAAGTAGAAATCTCGCGAGACACGTGGAATTAAGAGGTGTAAACGTGCAGAATCTAATACGTCTGAAGTCGGGAGAAAAGATTCTATTTTGATGGCATATTGTCGGATTTATGATCATATTTTGAATGGGGTTTATGTTTTTAAATGAATACATAAACACGGTAAAAATTTTGAAGAATATTTTGATTGGAATAACGTTATTAGTTACGGAAATTGTTTTAGACGAGAGCGCACGCTTAGAGTCGAATGGGATTTTTTAGCAGTTGGTGTCACTTGCTCGTTGTATTATAGAGCGACGTTTACTACGGTTTACGGTCAAATAAATTTCGGGGATGTCATTTTTTTACCTTCCGTATATAAATCGAAACAGAGTATAAGACGTATGCCGGTCGACTTCGCTGAAAAATGTATCGACTTATGACCCGAAAAATACGGTAATTTTGGGGGAATTTGAAACCGGTATACGGATACTTTCATTCTATGGTATTACGATGTCATGTAATTTTGTAGGAATATTATTGACACAAATTTGAATACCGTACGGGAATTAAATTTGAAAAATAACGAGGTGCACCTATTTTTTTTTATTACGTATGAATTTGAATATTTTGTTGACAAGTGATTCTTAATTGTGGTTTGAAAACGCCTGCTTAAATAACGATAAGAGTTATGTCCCTTTATTTTCGGGAAGAAAATGTCCGACAACTAAAATATTGAAATCCCATCACTGCCCCCTAGTAATCAAATCAATTTTTTCATTTGCTGAAACATACGTCTTATTTGTCACTCCAATCATATCTAGTGTACTAAATTACAAATGACTAGCGATGTTAGTACCACTTCTTACTTAAATACTCGTCAATTCTGCAACTAACCTTTGAATGTACAGAAGGGTTTATCAGATTTTACTTTCAGGGTATTCAAAGGTGCATTAAAATAATACTTCCAGTATTCGAGGTACAATAATACTTCCGGTATTGAGACAATTGAGTATTCCGTCATGCTGTATAATCCGGCATATTGTATCGAGTCCTGTACAATGTCGGAAGTGACAGAGTCCACTGTATAGACTTTTTGACCATATACAATAAGATGGGTCTTACCAAAGACCATATTGGCCAAAAATTATTGAAAATGATCAATCCTTGAATAAGTTATAGGCATCTAAATTTTATGTTTATTTCTATTGTTTTCACACAGCCATTTTTATCTTTACTGAACCCTTCATTGTGAACATCGTTACTGTTTTAATTATTATCTAAAACCCTTATAATGCAATGAGACGTCAACATCTTTCAAATATTTGTACCTTTGTCAAAGAAATCTCTTACAGAAGAAATCCTTAATACATCCAGATATTCCACTACTGCCAACAGTCAGTATATTCCTGAAGCAATGACCCAAGAAATCCCTCTCTGGCTATTGCTGGATTGACTTCTGATACTTTGGACAGTGATTTAAGGTATTAAAAACGGCGAAAGTATTGTTCATCTCCATGCAGTATTGTTTACATTGTGACCATTTTGATAGCCTCATTTGTCACACAATTAGTTTTTCTGTAATATTCTCCTATGCACTGTTAATTGAGCATAATAAATTTCATGGGTTATGATGTAACGCTATGTAAACATATCTGGAGCTCTGTTTAAACTCGAATGATATTGTTACGCAGTTAGCTACTGGTTGTTAATTGGACTATTGACCAGTCATAATTTGAAACATAAATTTGCTTCCATTACAGCAGTGTTAAGTGGGATTAGGTCTAATCAAACAAAACGATGGGCCTGCTTGATTTGTCGGCTGATAGGTGAGCCGGTTTCTACTACGGCGTATACCGGTTAGGTTACCGTATCGAAGCAAATCAAGTGACCCGGCTGATAAACAATATGGCGTTGGATAATGTTATAATATTAAACCGGTTACATGACATGTTTTAATCAAGAGCAGTATTCTTGAAAGTATGACTTGAAAGTGCCCGCAAAATAAGCAGAAAATTATTATTAGTAATATTACTGAGAAAAAATAAATGACATATGAACTTCTGGTTTTACGAAGCTCAAATTCAACTACAAAACATTTGGTTTAATTTTAACGCTTTAAGATTAGTGTTTTATGGCTTTCCTAAATAACGTGAATTTTATCTCTTTTTGACATGTTCACCATCTTGCGCCGGTGTTCGCCGCTGACGCCAAAGCGGCGCATTCGGCGTACGCCGCAGCCGAACTTTTGTCGACTTCCGGTGAAATCAAGTGACTCCGCGCAAAACTGCCAAACTGTGGTCAGCCGTTATGCGCCGGTATTGACAAATCAAGCAGGGCCACTGTGAAGAGTATGATAGTCAGTGAATACTAATTATATAAATTAATACACAATGCAGATAAATTGCATAGACTGAAAAGTCAATACGGATTTGGTAATTTATGTCCAGGCAAAATTTTCCTCATAGCACACTGTATAATGTGTGCCCATCTTCATTAGCCAATATGGAGCACAAAAGTAGGATGTTAAACCCCATTTCATTTTAATCCTACATAATCAATTCATCCATTTTCATTTATTCATACATACATTATTTATCCATAATGATTTATTCATACATAAATAATTTATCCTTACACATTCATTCATTCATAATTTATCCCTGTCATTTACCTATACCATTTAACCTTGTATATATCAGTTATGAGTATGCCTGAAACAAATTGATTACAAAAAGATTATCAGAAAACAACAAACCTTAATTATGGAATTTAAGAGACCAACTATTGTATGAGATTTTCCTGTACCAGGTGGACCTTGTAAAATACAGATTTTAGGACATATCACTGGTTGTTTAACTGCCTGTGATATAGAACTAATAGCTTGACTCTGTGATACATCAAAACCAGTCTGAAAAAGGATACATTGACAGAAGAATATCTATGAATAAGCATGGATGTCTTTGGTATGTGTGCCTAAGGCTATCATTTCTATCTGCGAAATTAACCAGCTGGGGAATTTACACTGTAACTCAGGTATCATTTAATCTTATGTGTCTAGCACTAATTTCTTTCACATTCATTTAATATCAAATCTTTGTTTAAAAATTCGTAAAAATTGTTTAAATTCACCAAATATCATCTAATTTGTACTTGTGTCCAGTTGGAAGCTGACTGATTAATTTTAATAATGAGTGTCCAATTTACAAGTATTTAATTTCCTGACCACTGTCATTAATCAACTGGGTAATTTATTTTTTAACAGTGATTGAGAAATTAAACACTTGTAAATTGGACACTTTTTATCAAAATTGAATGGTCAGCTTTAAACTGGACAGAATTACAAATTTAACAATTTATTGCAATTTTAAACAGTTTTTACGAATTTTTAAACAAAGATTGGATATTAAACGAATGTGAAAGAAATTAGTGCTAGATACACAAGATTAAATGATACCTGGGTTACAGTGTAATTGTCAGTCAATTTACATGAAAAGAATTTAGGTATGTCCAAGAATTTAAACTTAAATATTTAAATCTATTTTTAAAATATCTATTATCTGTTATAAACTAAAAATGTTCCCTTGAGCTTCATTAGGTATACTAGTGACCTTTTGACCTCTCTTATGACCTCGGAAAAGTTCACAATAGTATATTTGGATTTGATATAGAATAGGATTTCTTCAAAGCTGAAAGTATCCTCTTATCATTATCAAGTATTGTACACTGTGCATGATAACGATAAGAGGATACTTGTCGAAACGTTGTGCTTTTAGAATAAATCCAGTGATTGTTTACCATAAAATTGTGTTCTGTTAATTACATTAGATATTAATGGAAATGAACTGTGGTTTTATGGCCTACTTTTCTGCACCGACTGGGCTAATGAAGACGGGCATATGCCATGCAGTGTGCTATGAGGGAAATTTTGCTCAAACAGCTGCATGACGGCAACTGCCAAGGGATCTTCTACGAACACGTGACCTCTGGTATAGTCGTGAATATTGAAAGGAACCAAGATCTTTGGGTTATAAACCTGTATTTCTAGTTTCATCAAAATCGGATCAAAATTGTGTCCTCTAGAGGGTCCACAACCTTGATATACCATATATTTTCACTACTTGTGAACAAGGGGCGGCCATTTTGTCCGGCAGTTTTGGTCTGATTTTCACGAAATTCAATTTCAACCATCATTATGGTTTAACAGTGATATATTCAAACATTTTTTTAAATCAGATAAAACTTGTGACCTATAGAGGGACCACAAGCTAAAAAACGTGATTTTTCGTACAATCAAGGGCCATAATTCAGAAAGTTACAATCTGATATGTGTGAATATTTAAAGGAACCAAGATCATTGTGATATGAATATAAATTTAAAATCAGTTCAAATTGTGGCCTCAAATTGTAACAGTGATAAATCAGAATAAAATTGTGACCCGCATAGGGTCCACAAACTAAAAAACATGATTTTTCATACAATCAGGGGCCATAATTCAGGAAGTTATGGTCCGATATGTGCGAATATCGAATGGAATGAAGATCTTCGGGTTATAAACTTACATTTCAAACTTAACAAAATCAGATAACCAGCGGCTGCCAGGCAGGATACGCCCACATTTTCGAGAGATGGATCGAGAACAAGCTAACAAGAAAGTGATTTTTCCTACTATCAAGGGCCATAATTCAGGAAATTACAATTCAATATGCGCGAATATCGAAAGGAACTGAGATCTTTGTGTTATAAACTTACATTTCAAGTTTCAACAAAATCGGATAAAAATTGTGACCTCTATAGGGTCCACAGCCTTGATATACCATATTTTTACGATATTTTGGAATGAACGGCGGCCATTTTGTCTGTCAATTTTGGGCCGATTTTCACGAAATTCGAACTCAACCTTCCTTAGGGTGTAACGGTGATATAATAATACGTTTTTTTTTTAAATCGGATAAAAATTATGACCTCTATAGGGTCCACAAGCTAAAAATGCAATTTTGTGTACAATCAGGGGCCATAATTCAGGCAGTTACGGTCCGATATGCGCGAAGATCGAAAGGAACCGAGATCTTTGGGTTATAAACTTATATTTCAAGTTTCAAAAAAATCGGATAAAAATTGTAACCTCTATAGGGTCCACAACCTTGATATACCATATTTTTACGCTATTTGAGAACGAACAGCGGCCATTTTGTCTGTCAATTTTGGGCCGATTTTCACGAAATTCAAACTCAACCTTCCTTAGGGTGTAACGGTGATATAATAATACGTTTTTTTAAATCGGATAAAAATTATGACCTCTATAGGGTCCACAAGCTAAAAACGTGATTTTTCGTACAATCAGGGGCCATAATTCAGGAAGTTACAGTCCGATATGCGCGAATATCGAAAGGAACCGAGATCTTTGGGTTATAAACTTACATTTCAATTTTCAACAAAATCGGATAAATATTGTGACCTCTATAGGGTCCACAACCTTGATATACCATATTTTTACGCTATTTGAGAACGAACGGCGGCCATTTTGTCTGTCAATTTTGGGCCGATTTTCACGAAATTCGAACTCAACCTTCCTTAGGGTGTAACGGTGATATAATAATACGGTTTTTTAAATCGGATAAAAATTATGACCTCTATAGGGTCCACAAGCTAAAAACGTGATTTTTCGTACAATCAGGGGCCATAATTCAGGAAGTTACGGTCCGATATGTGCGAATATCGAAAGGAACCGAGATCTTTGGGTTATAAACTTAAATTTCAAGTTTCAAAAAAATCGGATAAAAATTGTGACCTCTATAGGGTCCACAAGCTAAAAACGTGATTTTTCGTACTATCAGGGGCCATAATCCATGAAGTTTCGGTCCGATACATGCCAATATCGAAAGAAGCCGAGATCTTTTGGGGATAAACCTATATTTCAAGTTTCGTCAAAATCGGATAAGAATTGTGACCTGTAGAGAGTCCACAAACAATTTTAGACGGACGGACGGACGGACAGGGGCGACGGCATAATACGTCCACATGAAAATGTGGGCGTATAAAAATTGAGACCTCTATAGGGTCCACAAGCTAAAAACGCGATTTTGCATACAATCAGGGGCCATAATCCATGAAGTTGCGGTCTAATACATGCCAATATCGAAAGAAACTGAGATCTTATGGAGATAAACCTATATTTCAAATTTTGTTAAATTCGGATAAAAATTGTGACCTGTAGAGTGTCCACAAACAATTGTGGACAGACGGACGGACAGAGCCAACGACAATTTAAGTCCACATGAAAATGTGGGCATATAAAAAACTTACCAGTAAATGATTGGTACGTTGATGTGAGTAGATTTGTTTATTACCAGGTTTTAGTATATCTTTATGAAGTGGATTTCGGGGAAAATAAGCTAGTGCTGATATCTGACGTTGATTTGTTACCAGACTTGTTAAGACCTAAAATATCCATAAATACAAGGCATGATCAGAAGTTTAAAAGTGTTCAGGGAGGGAATAATACAGACCTTTAGCAACAACTCAAAATTCATCACCCTACGAAATAAACATGAATACAGGAAGTTGAAACCGTCAATTGTTAATGAGCAGTAATTTGTATATCGATCTGTCATTTCGGAAAAACAAAAAAAAAAAAACTATAACCAGCAGCTGCCAGACAGGATACGCCCACATTTTGCAAGAGATGGATAGGCAATAATCCAGAAAGTTATGGTCTGAAATGAGCAAATATCAAAAGGGACCAAGAGCTTTGAGATATAAAGATATGTTTTAAGTTTCATCCAAATTGGATAAAAATTATGACCTCTATAGGGTTTACAAGCTAAAAATGTGATTTTTTGTACAATCAGGGGCCATAAATCAGGAAGCAACAGTCTGATATGCGCGTATATCGAAAGGAACCAAGATCTATATTTCAAGTTTCAACAAAATCAGATAAAAATGGTGAAGTCTATAGGGTCCACAAGCTAAAACGTGATTTTTCGTACAATCAGGGGCCATAATCCATGAAGTTACTGTCCAATACATGCCAATATTGAAAGGAACCAAGATCTTAGGGAGATTAACCTATATTTCAAGTTTCGTTAAGATCGGATAAAAATTATGCCCACAAACAAATTGTGGACGTATAAAAATTTGGGCGTATAGAAATTGTGACCTCTAGAGAGTCCACAACCTTCGTATTACATACTTTTACACAATTTGCGTACAAAGAGCGGCCATTTTCATTTCAATTTTCCAAAAATTCGAATTCAACCTTCATTATGATGGAATGGTGATATATTTAAACAGATTTTAAAATAGGTAAAAAAAACCTGTGACCTCTAGAGAATCCGCAAGCTAAAAATGCGATTTTTCGAACAATCAGGGGCCATATACCAGGAAGTTACGTACGGATATGCACGATTATCAAAAAGCCATAAAGTTATGGTCTGATACATGCCAATATTGAAAGGAACCAACATCTTTGGGAGAAAAGACCTATATTTTTTAAGTTTCTTCAAAATCGGATAAAAATTGTGACCTGTAGACAGGGGTGATGACAATATACGTCCACATGAAAATGTGGGTGCATAAAAAGTTTATACACAGGCCATAATTATGGTCTATATTACGATTATTTCACAAACAAACAGCATGTTGTATATCGCCACAATAGTTATATTGCAACATGAATATATATATAGAAAATAGGCTACGTGAGGATGAGTCCAGAAATATTCCAGAATATCCTAAAGATAATAAATCCTCATTACCAAACAAACAACCAAGATGGGACAACCAATACGCCCAGGAGAGTGATTAACTGTCACCCTTCGTTTTCTCGCTACAGGTACTGGAAAAAAACACCCATTCTAAGTACCATTTATAAATCCTGCGACTATATTATTATTATTAAGTATATTGCTATACAAACGGAACAATCCACTGGGACTACCATGTATACGATAGCTCACACATTAAATAAGAAGTGCCAGAATTGCAAACTTAATTTCAATCAGTTAGGCCTAAATTAGATTACTCAAACCACTTATACATGCAACAGAAAACAAAATTCTGAGAAACCTCGTGTGTGGTTATGTCAAATGAGAAGAATAACCAAAAATGACTGGTTTAATAGGTGCATTTATTTCCATGGTTGTCGCTTAACTTGTCGCCATGGTGAGCACATTACACAATTTGTTGCCGTCGAAGTGACGGCTTGTGCAATCATATCAAACATGTTTGATATTGGCGACCATAACTGCGATGGTCACTGGCGACGAAAAATCTTTACCGACCGAGTGCACACACTAGGCGAGGATTTGATTTTTCATCGTCGGCAGCCAAAATCGTTAATGTCGTCGCGTAGTGTGCGCCAGGATTAAGCAAAGTCATGATGAATGGTCAAGCTCCACTTGAGCAAGCTGCCAGTGACAAAGCATGCATGAGGTTACTGAATAATCATCATATTTGATTGAGTGTATTGAAATTAAATAACAGATTGTACCTCTAATTTCATGAGTTTCGAACTATCTGGGGAAAACTTTCTATATTTGACTTTAGTTATGATTTTCATGGTTATCAATGTCCGACCTTTGATCAATGGATGTTTTTCTAAAAAAAACAAAAGAAATTAGATAATACAAGAAAAGGTAGGCTTTCACTTTCGTTTTATTTAAAAAAAAAAAACCAACAGCATTACTTGACATTTTCTGAAGTCTTTTCTAAGAAACTTCAATAATTATTATTAACTATTATTAGAACTTTAATTAAAGATACATTATGGGAGATTAGATAGTTCTCACTATATTAGTTAAAAACTAGATAACGTAAAGGGAATTTGCTGAAAATTTCAGTCAAATTGATCCATTCTAAACCGAGATTTTAGCGATTGAATTTTGGGTCTAGCCTTGATCATCATTACTAAAGTTGGTTTGATAAAAAAAAACATAGTCTCGATTCTCCATTTTTTTAATTTAATTATCAATGAGTGTTAATCAGCTGATAGGATTCTAATCCAGAAAATATCGAAGGCTAGCGATGACATCAAGAGATGATTATGGTCTGGATAAGTGAATAAATGTCTAATTAATAATTTAGATAACATCTCAGGCTTAAACAAAGATGTGCAATTGGCAGATTTAGCTCTTGCATAATGTATGTTTAAACAAGCATTATGCAAGAGCTAAATCTGCGTACTGCAGGTCTTTCTTTAGGCCTGAATTGTTATATAAATTATTAATTAGACAATAATTAACTTACCAAGACCATAATCAACTCTCGATGCCATTGGATTGCTGTGATATAAGTAGACTTAAATACGTTATGAAGTTGATGCATTATTCAATTATTGTAAATTCGGCCATCGTAACAACAGTAGTAATGACAATTGAGGCTAGACTATAATTGTTTCGACGATATCAAGGCTCAGAATGAAATAATTTGACTGAAATTTTTAGCATATTCTTTTTTCATTATCTATTTTTAAAACTCTTATAGCGAGAATTGTCAGATCTTTATCTAATCTTACCTAATACTGCTTTGAAGTACAGTAGAATCTGCATTAAGCAGCCACTCAAGGGAATTTTCATGACCGCTTAACGGGAGTGACCTCTAATACGTAATCTCAGTGTTTGTTCGTGCTGACATCAAGTAAATTTTACGCTTGGATGCATTGGGGGCAAACATCAATACTTGCATCGGTAAATTTGGCCATCCCTGAAACTTTTTCAGAACAAAAATTCTTTGACTCAAATCTCTGATATAACTTCTGTAAACTTGTTATTTTGTACCAGCATTGATACTACTCTACTGTCTACCATTGTGATGTATTCGATAATATTTACCCATTTTTTTGAAGAAAATCCATAAAGTAATTTTTTTTTATCGAAAAAGCTCATGTTCCAAAAATAAAAACATCGCCGAATTCGTCACCAATTTCAGGGGGTGTAACTCTGTAATATAGGCGCGGCTAAAACTTCTGCTTAGCAACAAAGCGGCAATGAAAATTAGATACTAGATGGTCCTGACAAAACTCGGCTAATCACTGGATTAGCAGAGGTGCTATGAAGTACGACAAGATGGTATCATTCAACAATGGCCGTTGAATAGGCGATGTTTTGTTAAATTTATTAGTAAAATAGTGACCGCTGGCCGCGTTAGAGGAGTGACCATTGATTTAAGAGATGAAACAAATGAATTTCTACGGGGGAAATTTATCGTGACCACTTACAAGGAGATGTCGCTGAATAGGAGTGGCTGCTCATACATATTCTACTGTTAATGTGCATGTTTTGCATTTTTTTAAAAATTTCAAATTTCTCACAGTTAAATTAAAGGCAGTCCAGGGGTCCTCCCCCATGAATTGTTTTTGAAATTTCGACCTGAAATGGTGGTTTGTGGTGTGTATCTGATGCCCGTTAGATCCCGTACTTAGTAATTTCAAAACTCATCCAAATAAGGACACTTCATTTCACGTTTTTGGGGAAATGGGTCTTCATTATATTTTTCTACAAAATATGAAAAAAATATTTTTGCCCTAGGCATATTTGACTGTTGCCCTCGCCCTGATCCGTCACTGGGAGAATCCACACAGAATGAATGATCTAATGTTTGCTTGCAGACCGACTCCGAGATTACTTACAGCGATGGCTGTCGGGAGGGAGTTAAAAGGAATACATTTTAAGATTACCTAATGCCATCACTCTTTTTATTATAGCACCAGCCTCTTGTTTTTTGTGCACCATCACTTTTTCTACAAAAGCCATCTGTGGATAACATTTACTTTGTGGTGTTTGCTTATTCCCTTTTTTACATTCATGTAAATACACTCCAAACATATCAATTCTCACCAAGTCCATCTCTCTAGGATAATTACCACGGTCAAATACTTCTGGAGATAAAATGCCTAATAAATAAAATATTATAAATTATTGTTTATACGTTGTGTGTTATTTCAATCTATATGTTGACCAAATAACAGGTTGGTAAATATAGAAAAACACCCAAGACAAACTGTAGTAATTTAGCACCCTTGGTTGTATTAAAATTTCCACTTCCCCCTTTTTAATTGTTAAGTTTTCGCTATTATAGATTATTCCAAACCTGTCCATTATTTGTGTATTGTTATATTTGTATTTATAAATCCATATCATATTTAATTTCATGCATATATGGCCTCACTATCTGTGTCTAATCAGCTTTACCCTGTTTATTCATAGCACCGTTTGAAGGCCTTCATATGAGTTAATAACCCCCTACTCATGTATTAGAGTTTATTCAGCCAGCTAATTACCATGTTGTGCTTGTTGTTTTTGTTAAATATCCTTTACCTCTTATATTATTTTTGTTACTGTTATTTTAATCCATGTTGATGGTTTCACTATGAATTTTGTATATATTGACCTCAACTTTACCAAATGTCTAATTAAACTGGACCAAAGCTTAATCCATACGGCTTCCTCCAGTAAGTTTCTTAGGAAACATCCTTGTCTACGATATCACCTTAGGTGGAAGTGGACGTAAAACCCCAGAAACGAACGAACGAACCAAATGTCTAGATATCTTGTCTACGATATCACCTTAGGTGGAAGTGGACGTAAAACTCCAGAAATGAACGAACGAACGAACCAAATGTCATTGTGCTCGAGAACGATAAGAGGATACTTGTCGAAACATTGTGCTTTTAGAATAAAATTAATGATTGTATCCCATAAAAACTGTGTTCTGTTTATGTGTTTCCGATGTCTAAATGCCACTTAAAGATTATAAAGTCTATCATTGAGTCAACTGGTGTGGGTTCAATTCCCCAGTTGTACATGACAAAGAATAGGGTCGCCTGTCCAACCTCATGGGTTTTCTCCAGATCCTCTGGTTTCCTCCCACTGCTAAAGACCCCACGTGTTTGTGTCGAGTGGACGTTAAACTCCATTTCTCTCTTTCTCTCCTACTTTTAACATGACAACATTAAACAATGATATCCCCTGCTCCAATCCCAATTAATTAATTGCCGATTTATCTTTTTATAAAAGCATTAAGCAATCAAACTGCTTATCACTTGCTTAATCTGGGCAGAAAATGCTCATTATTGAACTTAGTCAAGGTTTTGATGCATTGAAACCATACACCAAGTTTCATCAGCATTATTGTCCAAAAATCTCTGCTTAGCCTCTGCAGAAAATGTTCATCATCAAAATCAGTCAATACATTCACTCAATGCACAGCTACACCAAGTTTGAATATTCGACCTGAATCAGAAACAGTGTTACTGTGTCCCAAAAAGTGTAACAGACAGACAGATTTACAAGGCAAGAGACAAAAATAAATCCTCTGTTATGTAAGATGACAACACTTAATATCATTAAGCTATGTTACATACCAAGCCATACAAATCGGATAAACTCCTCTTCTGTTTGTATACTTTCAAGTCCTATCTGGAAATCATCAGATTTCTGTTTGTGATGTTTTTCCTTCCAATCACGAGTTATCTAGATAAACAAGAAAATGATAATGTAGTGAAAATGACACATTTTGAATGATATGTGTCGCTTTAGAAATCAGCAGTATCTTTTTGAAGTTAAATGTGGGACATTTTTGTTAGATTACACCCTACCATAGGCATAGGACCATTCAGTGATGGGATTTCAAAATTTTTCTTATTTTATCGAAAATAAAGGGGCATAACTCTTATCGTTATTTTAGCAGACGAATTCATACCACAATTAATTGCCAGGCAACGAAACACACGCCCACAGCAGCTAAATCGTCTGAGCGGCTGACAGGGGTTGTTGCATATTTATTCCTTTGTAGGTAATTGGGGGCCTTTACAAGACAGTTCCATACAGATCAGATTATAATTTTTGCTGTTTGAGGGTTCACAAGGTTCTACAAGCTGAAACAAGGACCTTAACTCTGGAGGTGATTTACAAAAAATTTTGAAATTTGACAGGCTTTTTTGTTTTACTAATTTAAATAATGCATATAAATTTCATACAGATCGGATGATAACTTTTGTCATTCAAACGATGACAAGGTTCACAAAGTAAAACAAGGGCCATAACTCTAGAAATAATTGATGGAAAATGCTGAAATTCAATAGACCTCCGTCCTCCATTCCACAAATTTAAATGATGCATATAAATTTCATACATATCGGAATCGGATAACTTTCATCATTCGAGCATTTACAATGTTGAATAAAGTGATATAAGGGCTATAACCCTAGAAGTAATTAATGTAAATTGCTGAAATTCAATAGGCTTCGTGGTTTCACTAATCTAAATGATGCATATAAATTTCATACAGATTGCATGATGACTTAGTATAGGTTAGAGCGTTCACAAAGTGCAACGAAGTGAAACAAGGGCCAGAACTCTAGAAGTATTAAACAGAAATTGCTGAAATTCAATAGGATTCTTCTCTTTACTAATCTAAAAGACGCATGTAAATTTCATACAGATCGGCAGATAACTTTTGATGTTAGAGCGTTCACAAGGTTCAATAAAGTGAAACCAGGGCCATAACTCTAGACGTAATAAACGGAAACTGCTGAAATTCAATAGACTTCTTTGTTTCACTAATTCAAATAATGCATATAAATTTCACAAAGACAAGATGATAACTTTTGGCGTTAGAGCGTTCACAAGGTTCAACAAAGTGAAACAAGGGCCATAACTCTCGACGTTATAAACGGAAATTGTGGACAACGGACGGACGGATAGATGGAAGGGACGACGGCAATATAGTCTACATTTCTATGCGGGCATATAAAATTCATGTGTCAACAAAATATTCAAATCCTGTATGTAATAAAAATAGGTATTCAAATTTATGTCAGCAACATTCCTACAAAATTATGCATTTTTGTAATACATTGATGATTGAATGAAAGCTTGCCGAATCCTGCTTCGACATCAAATTCAAAACAGTAATATTCCTTTAAAATTAGGTGTCTTTGTTTATATGGCAGCAAATGAATGCAGAACTTCCGAAATAAGAATAGTTCAGTGGTAGTTATGCACTCAGTCCACTTAATTTTGGAATTTGGAATATTTTTCACCATATCATGATGTCCGATTGTGCATATTCCTGGTCGGACAATTTCGGAGGTTTGGAAAATAGCGTCGGACATGTCCGGAATATATGGGCGAAATACTGTAACCAACGAAACTTTTCATTGTTATTCTGTTAACTTTCAAGGAAATTGAAGTTTAGTAACGCTAGTGATGGAAATTTGCAAGACCTCTGTTGACCCAAGTATATTTTAATTTATAATAACAATCCTGGTTTAACCATGCCATTAAGAAACCAAAATCATAGGATAAAATGGTCTTAAAAAGGTGAACAGTACAATTTGAAGGATTATTAAGGAACTTCTAGTATCTTTATTATACCACAAGGATCTAACATCTTTGTTCATATTCAGCCCAAATGGCCAAAAACCCTTACTGGAACACAAAAAAGAAAGAGCCTTATGTGTCACGTGTTAATGACAAATTATATTCAAGATACAGCATAGCAAACACAGTTCACAGTCATGGGTGACAGTCATGAGTACCTGTACAAGTTTTAAAAGATTAATAACGAATTGAAACTAACCATCTCCCATGTCTCTAAAGCTAATAGATTAAGCATGATTTCCTGGTACTCTTGTATATTTGTATAAGATTCTAATAATTGAAATACATTTGCTTTTCCTAGTAATGGTGGCGGTTGTCCATTATTCTTGGCATTATCTGTAATGATACATTAACAAGCAGTTACTATGCAAGATACACCCACATTTTCAAGAGAGGGACTGGGAACAAGTAAAAAAAAAAAAAAAAAAAAAAAAGATTTTCCGTACAATCAAGGGCCATGATCCAGGGAGCTACAGTCCGATATGCGTGAATATTGACAGGAACCAAGATTTTTCAGATATAAACATATATTTTAAGTTTCATTAAAATCGGATCAATATTGTGACCTCTCAAGGGTCCACAACCTTGGTATTACATACTTTTACACTATGTGCGTACGTGGAGCAGTCAGTTTGTTTATGAGTTTCGCTAAGATTTTTACGAAATTCAAACTCAACCATCACTATGGTTTAACGGTGATATTTTTAAATGTTTTTTTTCTAAATTGTATAAATATTGTGACCTTTTCATACAATCAGGGGCAATAATCCTTGAAAAGAACCAAGATCAGGGTCCACAATCTTGGCATTCGCATTACATACTTTTAGTTACTCTATTAGCGCACAAGGATTGGCCATTTTGTCAGACGATTTTGGTCTGTTTTGCTTGAAATTTCGAACTCAATTATCATTAAAGTGTAACGGTGATATATTTTCAAATCAGATAAAAATTGTGACCCCTACAGGTTCCACAAGCTAAAATCGCAATTTTTTAAAATCAGGGGCTATGATCCAGGAAGTTACAGTCCAATATGTGGCAATATCGAAAGGAACCAAGATCTTTGGGATATAAACACATATTTTAAGTTTCATCAAAATCGGATAAAAATTATGACATCTAGAGAGTCCACAAACTTGGTATTATATATGTTTACACTATTTGCGTACAAGGACTCTGAAGGAGTAGCCATTTCGTCTGTCAGTTTCGGTCCAATTTACACGAAATTCCAACTCAACCATTATTAGGGTGTAACAGTGATTAGCAAGCTAACAGTAAGACTTGGGACAGCCTTAATCCTAAAATAAATAGATGACAATTATTAACTAATGTCCCCGCATATTTTTTGTAAATCATCCATCTATCAAATTGCTTATCTTCACTTATCTTCTGTTAGAAGCAGAGTTATTTTGTTCCAAAGTTTTGACCTATTATAATGCTTATTGTTGCTTAGCTTTAGTCAAAATGCTCATTATTGAACTTATTGACGTAATGAAGATGTCGCAAAGCTTCACCACTGATCACTTTCACTCAAGAAGAATCAATATTGTCATGGTTCAATCAAATTGCTTTTTTAACTCAATTAGAAGCAGAGTTATTGTGTTCCCAAAAAAGTGTGACAGAGAGATAGACAGACAGCCGGATGAACCCATTTCTTATCACTATGCTTAAAGATACATTATGGGAGATTCGATAACGAGTTGGCATTTCTCACTATAATAATTAAAAACTAGATAACGTAAAGGCAATTTGCTGAAAATTTCATTCAAATAGATCCACCATGAACCGAGAACTAAGCGAATTAAATTTCTGCCTAGCCTCGGTCATCATTACTAAAGTCAGTACGTTAAACAGCATAGTCTCGATTATACATTTAATCGTTTAATCGAGAAGGAAAGTTATGCAGTAAATCGGATCACAATCCACTTACTGGATAAGTTAATTAATGTCTAATTAATAATTTAGATAACATTTCAGGCCTAAAGAAAGACCTGTATGTTTAAGCTAAGCAGAAAATGCTCTTTACCAAGTTTCATCACTCTCACTCAATCAGAATCAAAGTTATTGTTGTCCAAATGAAATAAACATCTACCTCAATTAGAACTTAGAAGAAGAGTCAACTTATATTTATTTTGTTCCAAAAGGTGTGACAGAATGAAAATGAAATGAGATTAAATGCCCTACTTTTCTGCACCAACAGATCTAATGAAGACAGACATACATCACGCAGTATTGTGTACAAGGGACCTCAGGGTTTTTTTTACGAACAATACAAATAAACAGACACTATAAGGTTCTCTATCCAACAACACTGACAAGGGGGAAACCACACTGGGAATTCCAAAGAAAATTTTACGGCCAACACCAGGATTGAACCTGGGACCATAGATGAATTATGTGATTCATAAGATAGTATAAATAATCTTTACCTTGCTCATCTAACCAAACAGGATTCCACCTGAGAATAATTCTATAATAATCATCTAGCTTAAATATCTTATTAACTTGTGCTTTCTCCTGTATTGCTGGCTTTGACATAACAGTTTTTGAAACAGAGTGGCTTGAGACAGCATTGTATGTAGATAGAGGCTGACGTGGCTGTTGATTATTTTTCAACATTAAATTTACTGAAATGCCAGTTGCTGGTAATCCTGATGAAGCTGCTGGTGCTGAATGCAGTGCATGTTTTTGCTTTCTAGGGTCCACCTTTGACTGATTACATGTATTTGGAACTTTTGACACCGAATTAGCATTATCTAATTTGTATGAATGTAGAGGAACACTAGATGATGATTCCAAGGGCTTGTGAACGGAAGCTGCCAAACTGATTGCTGTACTTGAACTTTGTTTCAACTGAGTAACTTTTCTTTGAAATGGGAGATGTGTAGGTTGATTGATTGGACCCATTTTATCAATTAGTTCATCTAATAAAACACTGTCTTTAGCAGTGCTAGTAGCTGTGTTCACCTTTTCCTTTCCTTTCTTAATACCTATTACTTCAATGCATTCTTTCTTCTGAAAAAAGAACACAACATTTAAATACTTAAAGAGCATTAACAAGATCCTACAAAGTGAAGCAAGCGCTTGTTTCATCTCACTCAAACATGTTCAAAATTCCGCAGCTAACACTAGTATACATCAAAACATCTCCCCTGTATTGCAATTCCTACAGTGGCTTCCAATTCAGCAAAGAATTAAGTTCAAGTTACTCCACATTGTCTTCAAGTGTTAAACTGCCTAGCTCCATCTTATAAAACCAGCAGTTGCCATGCAAGATATGCCCACAATTTCCAAGAGATGGATAGAGAACAAGCTACAATCAGTGGTCATAATCCAGGATGTTGCAGTCCGATATGCACAAATATCAAAAGGAACCAAGATCTTTTGGATATAAACATATACTTTAAGTTTCATCCAGATCTGATAAAGATAGGTTGCCAGGCAACAAAACATACACCCACAGCAGCTAAATCGTCAGGGCAGTCAACAAGAGTTGTCGCATAATTATACTTTTATCGGTAACAAAACTTAAGCTGGCACACAGTAAGCTGGCAGATAACAGTCGGGTTGCCAGTTAGTGATACCCTGACAATTTTGCCCAGTACTTGACCCATGGTAGGTGACCCGTGCACTCTACAGAAAGTTGGTCTCGACACGGCTAAATGTGCATGCCTCAGTTGCGTGTCTCGAACTGATTTCTGACTACCCCGCACTCTCTTTGAGTCGATAAATAGCCGTGGCACGTGCAATTCTCTACAAATGTATCAACTATTACAGCCGTAAAAAATCTATTGTTGACGATTTTGAATAGCAGTAAAATTTAACTTCTTGGTTATTACAGCAGCTTTAGAAATTACGTTTGTTTTATTTTTTAAATTGCTTTATCATTAACTGTACCGTTAGGAGCGGCATCTTTTGGTTTAGTACAAATACTATCTCTGAATCACTTTCTTTAGCAGGAACATGATACTAGCAGTAGTTTCATTTTACTTTTACAAGTTTCTTAAAACAATTGTTGAGTTGTCTAAAGTGCTTATTTCTAAATTCAATTTCTTGTTCTAGCTTTCTGTTATGTTTCGTAAAAAAGTAGTCTTGATTATCCCGACCTGTCAATCAGACGTAGAATGGTCGATAGACTGGTTAAGCGAGACTAATTTCAAAAGTGTCTGGATGTTATGGACGACATTTGGAACCAGTTTTCAGTCTATTATTTATAGATGATTAATGGTCATAGCTAATTAAGTACAACATGATCGTTTATTTAGTGACTATAATTGTGTGAAACTGATTTGAGGCTTGGCATATATATAAATATTGTGGCGTAATTGTCGAGAAATTTGGAGATATTTATTTATGGTGGGTCACCCTACACATGGGCGTTTTTCGGGTAATCCAGTATTTTTCTAGTAAGATTAGGTGTCTATCCTTTCCATATATACCAAATTTGACATATTTTTATTGAAAATAACCAACTGATAAATACTTTTCTGGGAAAGTATCTTTAAACTTTATGTATCAATCTAAAGTCCATCGAAACAATATAGGCGTAAACACAGTGTATAAATATAAAATCAATCAGACGATAACTATCCACAAGATTTTTCAAAGTGATCAAGGGCCATAACTCTGCAGTGATAATCGGAAATCATTGAAAATCAATAGGCTTCTTCGTTTGATGACCTTAAACACTGTGTATAAATTTAAAGTCAGTCGGATCAAAACTTTAGCCTCTAGAGCGTCCACAAGATTTTTCAAAGTTTTCAAGGGCCATAACTCTGGCAGTAATTATCAGAAATTTGTTGAAAATCAATAGGCGTCTTCGTCTGATGACCTTAAACACTGTGCATAAATTTAAAGTCAATCAGATATCAACTTTAGCCTCTTGAGCGTCCACAAGATTTTTCAAGGTGATCAAGGGACATAACTCTGGCAGAAAATCAATAAGATTCTTTGTCTCATGACCTTAAACACTGTGTATAAATTTAAAGTCAATTGGATATTAACTTTAGCCTCTAGAGCGTCCACAAGCAATTGTGGATGCCAGACAGCCGGACGGACGGGGGCAACGACAATATACGACCACATTTCAATGTGGACGTATAAAAATTGTGACTCCTACTACTAGAGGGTCCACAACCTTGTGAAACAAGGTCATTGCTTTAGACCCGTCGAGTGTTGACAAGAAATTGACCAACTGACAGGCCAATGAACAACAGACACAGGTGGTAAAAATATATTATGTCCACATTAAAGGACAATGTTGGTGTCAGCCAATAATACATAAATGTAATAGATCTTTATAAACACATTCCAAATATAATTTTAACACAGAGATCATTGATACAGTAGATGCGTAACAATGATTTGAAGAAATAGGAAGTGACACAAACAAGTTGTCCTTTCATATAACTGACTGAAGTACAGAGCGATAACTGATCCACAGTCGATTTTCAGCTCACCAATAATTCCTTTGAAGACGAAAAGTTGTTATATGAGACTGTGACAGGATATCTGGTCAACCTGATAATTCATAAAAGAATTGACTGTCACTAGATAAGAGAAAGCAAGAAAAATAGAAATAGCCTGTGGAGTATGTTGTTTTTATCAATTCTCTATTACAAATTTTAAGCGATAATAATAGTTTATTCCGGTAGACCTATAGAGACATATCATTATTTTTTTACAATTACTTCTGTCTCCGCCAATTGGATCACAAATCATAATTTGGTATGCACTCTAAAACGACAAATAGGCCATCTTAATTTATCAAATACTGCATTCATATTAATTCTCATCCTTGCAGGCCAAGATTCAGTGGACTCAAACCGAGAATTTCATTAACACGACACAACACCAATAAGGCTATATTTAACCACTTTCAAGTTGCTGTACTTAAGGTGCGGAATAGCAGGAAAACGCATTTGGCCAGCCTAATTTTCCAAATTTTCAAGGGAGAGGCCCCTGGACCCCTACATGACGGTCAATATCTGGGTAGAAATTGTTAGTTTTCAACAGCTATCCTCTCACAGTCTAATTAATATAACAACTTTTCATTTTCAAAGAAATTATCAGTAAGTTGAAAATCGCCCGTTTATCTGTTATCGATCGCGACTTCAGTATGTTATATATAAGGAAAACTTGTTTTTTTTTTATTTTGTTTGTGTCACTTCCTGTTTCTTCAAATCTTCATTATGCATTTACAGTAGCAAAGATCTCTGTGTTAAAATTATATTTGGAATTTCTTTAACCAGTTCTATCACATCAACATTTACCAGATAACGTTGTCAACAACTCTGATTAGCCTACCATGAAATTAACCATCTTTGATTATTGTTGTATAATTTGGAAGTGTGTTATGTTTGACAATACCATTGATTTAAGGGTCAACTACTAGGTGCTTTACATGCATTATATCCAAATTTTGTATCAAAGAAACATTTCATTAGGCCTGTTTTAAATGTATGACTTTTTGCTAGCGGAGAAATGCAGTGTTCATGCATGCGATTTTCTTTATTTCCAGAAAATCTGCTGTAAAGTTTGGGAAAACCCACGAAAATGACCTCATAAGTGAGGATTTATCTGTACAGCAGGAAACCTGACAGCTTACATGGAAGCAGTCCCTTTACATTTGCATAGACTGAGTTCTTTGGTGGCGGAAACCTGCGCAGAAATGCGTACAGCCGTATACATACCTTTTTGGCTGGCACTATTATTTCTGCATTTTTTGTGGGTCCTATTTCATTATCACTGTCAAAAGTTTTCTGTCTTTTATTCTTATTGACTTTATTTACACTATGTCTGACAAGAGTCTCATTCTTTTCAACAAACTTATTATGGTCAGTCAAAGCACACATAGATGTAGAAGCTTCTGCATATGGATCAATTACTGTATCTGGTTTGTCTGACAAAGTCCTTGCTTTTATGGTACGTGCTTCATTATTTGTCACACCTTCTCTTGCAGCAGATGGTTCTTTTGGAACATTTTCAGCGTTCTCCAATTCTATACCTCTGCGCATTTCATTGACATCACACGAAAGAATAGGTAACTGTTTATTTAAGATATCATTAACATCTGGTAGCTGGACATCACTACCTGTTAAGTTTTCCACTGAAGATTTAAAAGAACTCGTTTCAGTTGATAAATATAATAAATGCAAAAGAGCATATCAGATCAGATTCCTTTTCTTTTTGAAATCGGCATTGGGAATTTCATAAGAATTGGTTTTATATTAAAGACAGACAGTTACATAATACTGTGACGTGGTTCATTAAAAGTCTATATTATTAGCATCATCATAAGCATCATGGCAATCTGAACTTGGTTTTCTACAATTAATTCAGGATAAGGTTATTTGAAATTGAATATGATATTATTCAAAATCCATTACACTTTTTCTATAGGTAATTGCTCCATTAGTAAATCAGTGATGTTATTAGCATTGTAAATGAGTTGATAATAGATCTAATAATATATATGCATGTGCAAAATTATGGAAGGAGCTGTCATTCCAATTGAGAAGTGGACATGCTCTCTGAATTTAACACCATGCAGTATGCTGTGTAGGGAAATTTTGCCTAGACAGTGGAATGTCCACCTACTCTTCTTTGAATAACTGCAAAGTCTTCTCTTATTATGCATTTCAATGTTCACATGGGATCTCGGTTTTTCAAATAATTAGATGCCCTTCCTTGCCAAAAACTCTGTCTTTGCCTAGTAGCATCACTCAAAAGATGAAACTAGGCTGGAAAATCTCATGTAACATTCTTAGCCAATAACAGTATTGAACCCAGGACTTCATAGTAAGTAGGTCAGTCCCATACAGATTAAGCCATCATGGCTCCCCTCTGGATTACAAAATTGTTTTTAAAAGGGATGAAGCATGTTACCACAATTTAAATGTTGTAGCTGTAGTTACATGCTTCATCCCTTTTAAAAACTATGCTTTATTTGAAGCCTTATATATAAATCATCCTCGGTATCCCCAGTGGTCTCATTCCGTTCTATTCCACTATACCCTGGATTAATCCATAGGGTTTTAAAGATTTCTGATTATCTGTCCAGGTTTACAAACCTGTTTTACTAATTAAACAGCCTTCATTTCGCATTCTTTTTTATAAGGGTAGATAACCATTTTCATGTAAATTTACTGAATGATTTATGTAAATAATGTATACATTTCTAATTTATTTATATTTAATTGTATTATCAAAATCTGTAGTACCTTTTGCTGATTTCAAATATGTATAACATCTATATGTTTGACTTTTGTTATTATTATTACTATTCGTTCTTTGTCTGAAATGTTTCATTCTGTTATGTTTATTATTATTGAACTTATACTTGGCAATTTAATTCTCAATAAAAATATTTATATAAACACATGTCAGGCCTTCATTAATATATTATATAATAATTTTAATAATTGTAGTATAATTTGAACTTCTCTATTTAGGCTATCATCTGGCTAATTCCTAAATCCTAACCTTGTCTGGAAGGGGAGTCTTAGTGTTTTGTTTACATTACCCAATGGCAGTTACTTCCCTTTGCCATTTTCCATTGCAATTTAGGATTTATGGGATTGGTCAATAAAAATAGAACAATCATCAAAGCAGTTACTTCCCTTTGCCATTTTCCTTTGCAACTAAAGATTTATGGGACTGGTCAATAACAATAGCACAATCATCCAAGGGCAGATAACTTGAAAACGTGTCCACCCCACCCCCATAGATTAACCCAGGGGTTAATGGAGTAGAACGGAATGAGACACTGGGGATATTGACGATGTATATAAATAAGGGTTAGTACCTCATTCTTCAGTACTTACTTTCATCTCTAGTATTATTATATTTAGCAATAGCAACCTCTGTAGCTTTAGCTTGATTTTTCCTGTGTTTCAGCTGCTTTCTAGCCATAGTAATCTTTTGTGTCAGACTAAAAGGTTCATCAACTGACTTCAGTCTCTTCGTTGCTGATTTTTTCTTTTTTGTGGAAATCCCAGGAACTTGATGATTTTTATTCAACCAACTACTACTTTGGTTTGCTTTGAAAGAAGTGGAATTTTTCTTGGAAATGGGAACTGTTGAATGGGGCTTTGATTTGCTCAAAAATCTGGAAACTGATTTTTGGGTAGAAAAATTTTTGGATTTTGTGGAATTTTCCACTGTTGAATCTAATCGTTCATTTGATACCTTTTGAGCAGATATGGGTAGTTTACTGTTTGGAGAGGGTTTAGTAGATGAGGTTGAATAACTGTAATGAGATGGTTTGTTAGATGAAGTTGAATTACCAGTTGAAGGTTTGCTGGATAACATTGGTTTACTGGATGAAGATGGTTTGTTTGATGAACACGGTTTGCTAGATGAAGATTTATTACTGTGTGAAGATGAAGATGGTTTGTTAGATGGAGACGGTTTGACAGTGGGTTTACTGCATAATGCTGGTATGCTAGATGATGTTGATTTGCAATGCGAAGATAGTTTTCCAGATTTGCTAATATTCATTTCTTTGGCCCTTTTATATTTATCTCTTATTTCTTTCTTACTTTCTTGTCGTTGAGGATTAATTTGAATGATCTGTTTAGGTTTGTTACTAGTAACTGATTTACTCTTATTTAATGTCTTCCCTTTAGCAAGCAAATCTTCAATCACAGCAAGATCATCACTAGAAGTAGAAGGCTCAGTAATATCAGTAATAAGCTGTGTAGGTGCATAATATATCTCATCCTCTGATATTTCTAAACAGCAATTTCCTTTATCATCAACAGCCCTCTCGATACTGCTTTCTGAAAGGAGTTTCTTTCTTCTCTTGAAATTAGTTTTAGAACTAGTGGAAGTACCTCTGTCTTCTTCATCAGATTTGTATAATGTAACATGTCCAGGACTATGAAAACTGTCAATTTGGGTTAAATCATTATAGATTTCATCATCACTAGTTGTTTCAGGTTTATTCAGAATAGGAGTAACATTTGTTGTAATAGAAACAGATGTGACGTCCTTGTCAATTTGGGTTAAATCATTATAGATTTCATCATCACTAGTTGTTTCAGGTTTATTCAGAATAGGAGTAATATTTGTTGTAATAGAAGCAGATGTGACGTCCTGGTCAGGAGTTACAATGGTGGGTGGTCCCATTACAGGTTTATCAACATCATCACACTTCAATTTCATTGCATCTATCTTTCTTGGCAAAGCATCACCACAATCATCGAAAAAAGCATTAATAAAAGTCAAATCATTACCTATCTCTCTACTCGATATATCTTCCATTTCCTCACTCAATTTAATTCCATCTTTTTCTATGCTCTTTATATCTGGTATCAGATTTAAGTTTATTTCTGACGATTGTTTGGACATGGGTAATATATTGTTCTCCTGGAAACCAGTATTAGCACCAGTAGCTAGATGTTTTGTCTGGTTATTTTCTATTTCATTTTCAGATTTATCAAATTTAATTTTGTCGCACAAGTTAGTAGTTGACTGATTAAAAATATCTTCATCGGAAAATGCATCAGACTCATTTTCATCAGCATCTTTACCTTCCTCTATCGCCTTCTCTTCATCATCGGTAAAATCATCTTGAAAATAAGAATCAAATAAATCAACATCTTTATCTGCTGCTTCCACTATTGTCTGTTTTAATGAGGAATCGAATTTAGCCTGTTTTAGCTTAGGTTGTTCAATTTCCTCTTCTTCGTTGTCATACAATTTGGCCATTGCGCCAAATTCATCATCACCTACTACTTCCTCCTCTTCTTCTGACACCGGTTCAGATTTGATATTGACTGGTACTTGAGACAAACAAAACAAAGCATCTTCATCATCCAAATCAAAGATTTCCACAACATCATCATCATCATCATCAGCCTGTGTATAACTCCAACCATTATCAACTTCTTCCTTTATTTCTACCGCTCCAAAATTTACAGAATTTTTTATACTTTTATCTGATTTGTCCTTAAAAGCTTCAGGATGCTTGAACTCAAATATTCCCAAACAAGGGTTACCATCCCCAGTTTTTTTGTCATCACCACTATCATCAGTATCCTTGTTATCACTGAAAGGAGCAGAATTATCATTAACAGAGCTGCTATTCCCTAATTTCAAAACAGGAACAATGATGCATTCATCCATTTCTACATCACTATGATACTGACTGTCCTTCATTAGGGCTTGACTAGATGCTGCCATTTTTTCAAATATGCTTGGTGTAGGACTAGAAACTGATATATTCTGACTTTTTAGCGGACTTAAAGAAAATGGTTGTGTCTTGGAAATTGTTTGTGTGGATTTCTTAGTATTGTCATTTCCTTTAAGGTCTGAAATAAATCTTGATAAATTATTATTTGAAGGTTTCACCTGAGGTGACAATACTTCGGCCTGGTTATTCTTCGAATGAGAAGGAAAATAAAGATTGGATTTTCCTTTGGAGTTAAATTTAACATAATCAGTTGAATGTGGTAGGACACCAGAACTAACTGGAACTGGATAAGAGATGTTAGCATCTGTGGGTGTTTTGTCCATTTTGTCCTTGGCTGCTGAAACATCTGGTGATCTGACTTCAAATGGTTGAGTCAGAAAATCACAATCTGGTAATTCATCAGAACTATCTGACTGTATGCTGTCAGATAATTTTCTAGCAACATTGGGACTCATTTCTGACATTGAATCAGGTTCCTGTGTAGATTCATCAGCACTGTCTTGAAGAGGCACATTCCTTACTACTGTACTTTCTTGGCTGCTCTTCCCCACTACTTGACTTTCGAATATGTGGTTAATCTCATCATCAGTATAATCAGGTTGTTGAGTTTCTTCATCAGAATCTAAGGTTGGCAGATGTTTATGCACTGTTGCAGGTAATAGTTCAGGAAATGGTTGACTTGCTTCATCATCTGATTCTGGTATTAAAGTAGGAGATGATGAATCTCTCCTCTTGCCTGAATTCTTTTGGGGGATTTGTAGTTCAGTGATTTTTTCTTCGTCGCTTTCAGTGAACATTAATGCAGGGCTAGAATTTATTTTTCGCTCATTATGGACATTAATGCAATCAGAAATGATTTTTGTTTTTAATAGAGAATCATCAGTTCTATTTTTTATGCGTTTTTTAGATAAAATTGGTGATAAAATTTGACTCGCATTTACAGTTGATGTACTACATGTACTTTTTTTCTGCAAAACTCTTGTCTTTTGTTGAATAGGACTCGTTTCAAAATCTGAATCTGATTCAGACCACGATTCTACTTGATCAATTTCCAGACTTGACGAGCCATCAGCACTTGTTGAAAGATCGCTAATGGCAGGTTGACTGCAATTTTTACGCCGTCCATTCCAGGATTGCGCAAGTCTCTGTCTATAACTTTTAGTAACTTTCAGATTAGATTTAACATTAGCCTGTTTCTTTAATCTTGAACCTTTTCTTTTATTCAGTTTTGATTGAGAATTGTTTTGAACATATTCCGAAAATATTGGCCAATGACTGGCTGATGGATCTTTTTTGATAATAGAACTATCCTCTTGCTTTGGTGAAATTGTTTCTCGTGATGCATTAGGCTTGGTAACGGGTGTATTGTTTTTGGATTTGCATTTTTTTTTAAATTTTTGTGAAAGCAATGATCTGGCTGTTTCATTAATAATAAGCTGCTCTTTGTTAGGTGATGAAACTTTTTTTGATGAACTTGTTTTTATAGATGTTTTCTTAATTTTATGATTTGTTTGTGTGTTAAAATGACTAAAAATTGAGTCTGAATCACTGTCGCTAACACATATGATGTCATCTTGTAATGAACTGGAAGTAGTCTGGAAAACACTCACATCTGACATAATTACTGCCTCAGAGTCTGTCTCTGAATCTGAAAAGAGTGTGAAAAACGTATAATTAATTAGCATTATTACTGGAAACTATGGATGTTTAGAATTTTTAAAATGTTTTTCATGCTCATGATCCATTTTAACATGAGTTTTTATCAATACATACATGCTGCCATATAAATAAACTATTTAGTACTACGCCGTACCTAAATATATTAACACCCTTGGGTGCCATGTTGAATAACACTGTATTAAACGTTCAAAAACCTGACAGCATAGAATCAACAATCTAAACTTTGGCACCCCAACTCCCAACCTCTGGGTGTTCCAACATTGGATTTATATCTAGATTTATAAACCTCACAGGTGTTACATCAACATACTTGTCTATATACTATCCCTTTATTTTTATGTCAAGTAACAATGTCACAATTCAACACAAGGCAACTTAGTTACCGCAAATATGGGATAATAGCACATCGATCTACGCGATCAGTACAACCCTGGTAATAAATTCCCAAACCCTGCCAAATTGTTACCATGGAAACCCTGCTGGGGTTTTGGAATATTATAAATAAACGCCTGCCATAAGTCTAATCAGTCTAATCAACATGACCCAAACTAATCACTCACACCTGGGATAACCAAGTCTTAACCCGTAACTAGTCATTGTCGAATATAATCACCACAACGTTATACAGCTAAGTGGTAGTCGACCGCAGCAAGAAGCTTTTTTATAAGGCGCATTTGAGTATTTAGTTTCGTATTTAATTGATATTGCCACACATGCGTGTCAGACAGGAACTTGTCTTGCCAAGGGCACTGAGAAAAACATGTCTTTGTTCAACATTTTTTGACGAAAAACATAATTTAACGATGTCGGGAACGTTAAAGACGCTTGAAGTGGTTGAAATACTTATGAATTATTCCGACTCGGATTATACAAAATATTTCATGTCAGCCTTTATTAAGCCTGACCACTTGACATCAAAATGACGTCGACCGGTTAAGGGTTAATAGCCACTCTCATCTCTTATATTCTACTGATATAATAGATAAGCTATCTGTACCTGTTTGGCAAAATGGTGCTGTTTCATCCTTTTCTTGACTTGACTGTCCAAATGAAAAGAGGTTGCCCATACTGGAAATGCAAAAGATGAATTATTCATAGGTAAAGTGGAATGATGAGCTAATTATTTAATTCATGAATCAATTTCAATTTCACGGGTTTTTACCACTAGTGAATTATTTGGGACACCAACAAATTCCCCCCGCCCCCACAAAAGAATAAAGATTTATACTAAATTGAACACTTGAGCTTATGGTATAGGGCTACAACCTGCAGCTGTATCCTTCATTTTACAAATAAAATGATATTGTCACAAAGTACAGATTCCGCTATTTGTTGTAAAAAACAAAACAAATATTTTATATACAACTGTAGTGTTATTATTCATGAGTCCTATCGCATAAATTAAAAAATTTCTGCCTAATAACTGACCTGTTGTGATAGCTATTTGTGAAACATATCGGTCAGTGGTACTAATTGGTCAGAAACTTTAGACTGTTTTTCTTTGTAAATTTCAACAGTGCAGGATTTTTCATTCATAAAGTTTTGGGATGATGAACCATAACGAAGCATAAATTCTAAATACATTAAGAACTATCATCTAGTCTTTCAAAAACACCACACTCAACACAATGTGATAACATTTTGATTCATTTAATTCAACCACTAAATAAAGGAATAAATGATGGGGGTTTAATGTCCTATTTCATTGCACAACACCTAAATATAATAGCAATTCTGGAAGCATATAACATCATCTGTCATAAACAGCTATCCAGGAAGTTATGTTCCAATATGTGCCAAAATCAAAACCATCGGAGATCATTGGGATATAAACAGGAGGTTTCGCTTTGCCAAAACGTCCAAATGCCAAAAATGCTTTGAAGGCTTCGTTAAAATCTGAAATGCACATCTTTCTAACAAGAAGGTGAAATTCAAGAAAGGTGGCAGAGCCACATACACACACTTTAGACTGTGCAGAATTTTTTTTTTTATCCTATCAAATTTTATTTCATTTCAGTAGAATTCAGAACGTTCATTTCTGATTTTAACTATGCCTTAAATCTCCATCAAAAAGACGCATTTTTGCAGACATGGCCATTTTGGCTAATTGAACCTTCCTAATTGGACAAAAATTATTACACAAAAAACTGTGACATCAATACATCCACTTTAAAATGTTGGCCATGTTAATATTCAACATTCATATGGTGAAATGCTTTAATACCAAAGGGGCCTCTCTAATCTGCATGACAAATGACAAGCAAATGATGAATGACAAGCAAATGATGAATGACAAGCAAATGACGAATGACAAGAAATTCCTGTTTATAACTGCTCCCTTTAGGCCAATATAATTCAACTACAGTATTGAGTTTAATAACTATCGACTTATTTTTTCTTTATAAGTGGTGACACCTTGGCATCCGCCATCCATCCACCAGTAAAATTTATATTTAGGATAAATCAATTTATTAATTTAAGTCACTGGAATGATAAACTGAGTCTAGATATTATTTATTATTTTCTTGTATAAAAATTATGTCAAGTAAGATTCCATAGCTTTGTTTAATTCTATGGAATAGTATAGTTAATAGTTTTGTTTATTGAATGCCAAAGATAATGCCTTGTTCACCAGAAGACTGACAAATTGAATAACAGACCTTCACCAGATGAATGACAAAGAGAATGACATGACAAGTTTCACTCACTTTTTTCGTCCATCCCGCGAATTCTGTCATGCATTTTGTCATTCGTCTGGCTGTCTTTTTCTGTCATTCATCTGGTGAATCTTTGTCATTCTCTTTGTTATTTGTCCGACAAATTAAATTCTAAAACATTTTTTATGTTTAAGAAAAATAAATAAAGACGTTTGAAGTATTTGTAGGTAAAACATTATTTCCTATTTAGTGTACGCTCGTCCAGTAAATTGTGACATACATTTTGTCATTCGTCTGAGATAATTTCTGTCGTCATTCACTGTGTCATTCGTCTGGTAAACCTGTATCATTCTGTGTCACTCATCGATGGACCTCTGTCATTCTGTGTCATTCATCTGGTGAACCTGTGTTATTTTCAGTATCACACACTTTGTCATTCGTCCGTCCGGTGATTTCTGTCATCACTTTTTCATTCGTCCAGCGAATCTATTGTATTCTTTGTCATTCGTCTGGTGAAGCTGTGACATTCATCCGGTAGTCATTCTCTTTGTCATTCGTCTTGTGAACGTGTCATTCTCTGTCATTCGTCTGCTGAACCACTGTCATTGACTTTGTCATTCGTCTGACCAACCTCTGCCATTCGTCCAGTGAAGTTGCGTCATTCTCCGTGTCACACATTTTGACAGGTTCACCAGACAAATGACAGAGGTACACCAGACGAATGACAAAGAATGGCAAAGTTCCACCACACCAATGACAAAGGTTCACCAGACGAAAGACAACGTGAATGATTGAGGTTCACCAGATTAATGACACAGTTTCGACAGACGAATGCCAGAGAATAATACGAGTTGACCAGATGAATGATGAAGAGAATGAAAGGGCTTCATTTGACGGATGACAAGATGAATGAGACGTGCTCACCAGGCGAATGACAGGGAATAACTGAAGTTTAGGGAATGACAAAATGAGCTTCACCAGATGAATAACAAAAAATGACACGAGTTTACCAGACGAATAAAAGTGGATGACTGGGTTCTCCAGACAAATATCAGAGAGAATGAATGACAGAGAGAATGGCAGAGGTTCGCCAAACGAAGACAAAGGGAATGACAGAACTTCATAAAATGAATAACATGAGTTCACCATACGAGTGACAGAGATTGATAGAGGTTCACCAGACGAATGACAGGTTCGCCAGACGAATGACAAGAGACACTGTTAAACAAAGGAATTACAAGAGAATGGCATGGGTTCAAGAAACAAATGACATTGCCTCACGGGTTCAACAAACGAATGACAGAGAATAGCTCGGGTTCAACAAACAAATGACAAAGCTAATGGCAGGAATTCATCAGTCGAACGACAAAATGAATGGCAGGGGTAAACCAGACGAATGACACAGACTAACCGGACGAATGACAAAAAGATATGTTGCCAGACAACAAAACATATGCCCACAGCAGCTAAATGGTCCGAGCGGTCTACAAGGGTTGTCACATATTTATTCTTTTGTAAGTAATTAGGGGCATTTAATAGACAATTTCATACAGATGACAGAGAATGACACAGATTCACCGGACAAATGACAAACTGAATGACATAATCCACCGACCGGAGGAATGACAAAGTGAGTAACAAAGATCTAGAGAATGACAGATATTCACCAGACGAATGACCAAGTGAATGACGAATCCCCAGACGAATGGCACAGATTCACTGGACGAATAACAAAGTGAATGACAAGTCACCAGATGAATGGCAGATTCATTTTTTGTATGAGAAGAGGTCTGATACTAGCTACGATAACATAGGTAAAAACATTGAGAAATACTGACGGAAGGTTAAGAGATGAGATTTTTATCTAGTGTAATACAGGCTGTTCCCTGATCAATTTCATCCAATTGAAATCAAATATTATTTACCCCAAAAAAGACAAATTAAGTCGATAGTTATTAAACTCAATACGGTAGTTGAATTATATTGGCCTAAAGGGAGCAGTTATTGCTTAGAAATTCTTTGTCATTCATTATTCGCTTGTCATTCGTCATGCAAATTAGGGAGGCCCATACCAAAGGGAATTTGGCATAATTTGTATATGGTGATGTAAAAGAGAGTGCTGTGTTAGTCCATTAGGTAAGTTAGTAGTAGTAGCCTAACCCTAGTACTACTGTCTGATTCATCGTAAATTTTAAACGGATTTCTTCGATTATGAACAAACTACTTAACGTTGGTTATTATAAACTTACCTGTGTGTTTGTAATGAACTCCCGTTCGATAAAATCCATTGCACAACTAATTATCACAACGATGAAAACAAGTTCTCTCTTGAAAAATTGAAATATCACAAACTTTTCCCAGAGAAAAATACCAATATGGAAGATGGTTACGTCACTCTGCGGAAGATATCATTTCGTATTAGGGGTGACAGCATAGGAAATTCAAGTACAATTACGACAAGAATCCATGACCACTCGGACCAAAGATCACTCGGTTCAAGATCAGTCGGAACAAGTGATAGACCACTCAGCCCAAACAAATAGACTACTCGGACCATACAAAAAGACTATTCAGACCCAACAGAAAGACGACTCGGACCAATAATAAAATGTTGTTTTAATAAATTGATAATTGCGTTTGTTTTAATATAATTACTCGAACCAATATTAAAGTGTTATTTTAATAAATTGATAATTGTGTTTATTTTAATATGACTACTCGAACCAATAATAAAGTGTTATTTGAATAAATTGATAATTGTGTGTGTTTTAATATGACTACTCGAACTAATAATAACGTGTTGTTTGAATAAATTGATAATTGTATTCCAAATCGCAAAATATCGAGAACCACACTTGTAGTCACGTTTAAAAAGGGGCATATAAACGTCCGGTCTTCGTATTATTATGTGCTGTTTATATTAACGCATCAAGGGCGGATAACTTGAAAACGTGTCTCCACCCACCCCCCCATATATAATAACCCAGGGGTTAGTGGGGTAGAACGGAATGAAACCACTGGGGATACCGCGAATGTGGAAAAAGTAAAATTAGGCTATCAGACAAGAACAGTATACCCGTATATGTAGAAACTGTCAAAAGTCTGGACATACCGAGTCTCATTGCAAGAGTAAAGAAAAATTAGATTGATATTTTTTTTTGGCACCATTATTAATTAATTTTAAAACTAATCGTTGATTTATTTACGTACACAAAATTGAACCAAACAACTCTAAATATAAGAATTCCGTATAAGAATTATTTGCTTCTTTGTATTGTGATTTAATAATAAATAAATAGCATATTGTCTAGCCTTATAATATAATTTAATTGGTCCGACTGGTCTTGTTTTGGTCCGACTGGTCTTAGTCCGAGTAGTCTTTGGTCCGAGTGGTCTGGATACCTACGACAATTGGCATTGAGTTTGAGCGTTCGCACACATAACTACCCGCATTCCTGTATTTAGTTACCGTCTTTTACATTCTAGTAAAATCTCTGCAAATTTTATAGCTTTACTTTTTGAAATATTTTGTTCTAATTATTTGATTAGCGACTCGGATGGGATTATTTACTTTTGAACACGCATGCCGCACAAACACAACTATACATTCGTTTTACGGGCTTTATCACACTTCGGTCAAAACTGTCGAATCGAGAATTAATGTTCCGCTTCTTACGGGGTCATACGGGCTTAGTACCATTATATACCCACCCGGGCACCCAATACGGCAATAGACACGCTGAGGGCTGCCGCAACACGCTTAAAGATGTTACTGAAGCGGTTATTATTCGATCGAAAGAATGCGTATAAAATTAAAAATACACTCAGAGAATTCGGAGGTAAGCTTCATGATCCTTGTTAAATTATTTATAACATAAAGAAGATAGGATATTTATAGTTTATTCATGACTTTATTTTTACGAGTATCCATGCAATCAGTGATATTTTAATTGTGAAGAAAATTTGATAGACTGGCGATCAATGGTTTCCATATAAATCTCCTATGTAATTGCCTTCAATTGATATTTTTCGTTGCCCAAACCCATATACGATCAAAATGATCGCGCTGTCAAACTATCTTTCAATGTTAACCAACCCCCGCAACAGGTATATTGGATTCGACCAATACGTCACGAAGACATTGTTGACATCGACTCTGTCGAAATTACAAGTAAATTTTCAAATTTTTCAAGAGAGAAATTGTTCTCATCGTTGTGATAATTAGTTGTGCAATGGATTTTATCGAACGGGAGTTCATTACAAACACACAGGTAAGTTTATAATAACCAAAGTTAAGTAGTTTGTTCATAATCGACGAAATCCGTTTAAAATTTACGATGAATCAGACAGTAGCCTACATATATTATTTACTCTTTTAGTCTCTAGCGCCGTGCCCGTGAAATGTTTACGTTTTTTGATTTAGTTAACACTTAATTAGTTGTCTTTCATAATATTAATAATAACACCATACAACATTTAGAATACTATCTTCTGACAATAGGTGCTGGAATTGAAAATATCATATTCTCTACTGTTGTTACTATTGATTTTGTTGTTGAATTGTTTGTACACAATTTACACGATTATATTTATAAGTAATAAGTTACAACGCAAATGGCCGAGTTTCAAAGTACAATTGCGCATAAGAGTAGTACGCATCACGTGACTGGCGGTATCTATTTATAATCGTCTGTAAAATTTATAAATTGCTATGGATCGTCTGCTTGCTGGTAATTTATAAAACCGGTACAACTTAACTGCAAACACATTGATAAAACTGATGCGACAGCTAGCAACATTCTTGCTAAAACTGTCTGAACACTGGCCGTTCATTATTATTAAATTTATTAAAGTTTCAGTCTCCTGAAACACTGTATTTCTTATTTTCTAGGCATATTTTACGGGGAAAAACTAAAACATCACACCAACCAATTCAGATATTGGGATATGTACAGGTTTTATACAGATAGAATCTAACTAATCCTAATAATTGTTGTAAATAAATAGGAGTTGGGGGGGGGGGCAAGTGTATTCAGACTCCCCCAGAAAAACAATTGGGGGGGGGGGGCACGTACGGGTCAGCCGATACTTCTAGTTTTGGACAGAGAATACAGTAAGTAATCAGACCACAAAGCCATGACCCATATGTGGTATTATTTTATTTTTGCCGTTTGAGTTTGAGTCTTTATGTCTATCAAACTCTGTGAAACGGAAAACAGAGAAGTGTACTTCCGGTACCGTAAATCAGAGTAGCCTCCCCTGTTATACTAGCTCCTTCCCAGGAACGTTCACACTCGGCAAACCTCGGCAGATTCCGGTATCCTAATGAACCCCAAACTAGTCTAGATTAACTCAAAAGTGTACCACATGAAAATCGCACAGCAATGTACCGTACATCTTCAGGTATTACAAAAACACTCTGACAGACATTTCTAGTGGTGGGGTACCCCTGACTGAGCTATGTAATTGCCAGACACTTGTAGTGATGGAGTATCCCTGACAAGAGTTATCTAATTTCCAGACCAAAGCTAGGCTAGATTAGCTGAAATCTGTACAACCTAGAGTAAAACAGCTTTGGAGTTGTTCAGTACCACGAGAGGAATCATGAATGACCACTGCCAGACAGTTTATGCGGTGGGTTACCCCTAATAGACACGCCCAAAATGCCACACCCTCCAACTAGGATAGATTAGCCGGCACTGTTCCCGTGGTCCAAAAATTTAAAAATAGTGCCAGGATGCGTACATTACTAATACCTAGCACGTATTGACGAGGCGATAAACTGCGGCTGCAAGAACTTTTTTTTTTTCAAAAACGCATTTTTAGCCCCATAAAACGTTTTTTTCCCAAAAATTAATTTCTTGCTACCGCAGTTTATCGCCTCTTTCATACGTGCTAGGTATTAGTATTCTACGCATCCTGGCTAAAAATTTAATTTTTTAAAACACGGGAACAGAGCTTGCGAAGTTAGCCTAGTTGGGGGCGTGGCATTTTGGGGCGTGTCTGTTAGGGGTAACCCACCGCACAAACTGTCTGGCAGTGGTCATTCATGACTCCTGTGGTGGTACTGAACAACTCCAAAGCTGTTTTAGGTGGTACAGATTTGAGCTAATCTAGCCTAGCTTTGGTCTAAATATTAGATACTCTTGTCAGTTATACTCCACCACTAGAAATGACTGTCAATTACATAGCTCTGTTAGGGGTACGCCACCACTAGAAATGTCTGTCAGAGTGTTTTTGTAATACCTGAAGATGTACGGTACACTGCTGTACGATTTTCATTTGGTACACTTTTGAGCTTATCTAGTTTAGTTGGGGGTCATGGCATTTAGGGCGTGGAATACCACATCCACCACCAGAAACCCGGCAGACTTACATTCTGATGATACCAGATATACATACATTGATACCATAAAGGAGAAAATTGATACACTTTTCAGCTAGGTTGACCCCCTCGGCTCCTGGTCTAATAGTGAGCCGAGCTTTATCCAATCAGCGAGTACTTTCCCCTTATTACATCATCTCCCCAAATAGAAACTCAATCCATTCCAAGAAAAGCCTGGCCTTGTGTGCTGTGGATTTGTGTAGTCTTGTGAAGAACACAACATGGACAAGACAGAGGAAATAATCATGCATCTTTGTGGAGAGAAATCCCATACTATATGACAAAACAGAAAACAATACAATTCTTGCACCAGGTGGTGGTATTCTCCATATTTCTTCCTTCTTTGTAACAGTTCATGGACCCCTACTCTTTTCTCTTTCTTATTTAGGTCCACAAATACAAAAGAAAGACTTCCTCTGTGTCATTGTCAGACACCATGATTGCAAATGACAATATGTTATCTCTGACAGACAATTCAGCCTTGAAAGCCGGACGTTTTCGCGTTTTCTATTTGAACGGCAAAACCCGGATACGGATGCGGATACGGATACGTTTATGGATACGGATGTAGTATGAACCGAGCTTAATATAGACAATGTCTGTGCATATAACAATCTAGATAACACACCTTATCTCTCAACCCTCTGTTTCGAGATAAGAAATGATGCTATTAACTTCAACGTAGCACATGCGGGAGCAATTCGCACCCGGCATTAATTATCAACAAAACTGACAATATTTTTAATCAAAACAACGATTGATCAAGAACCCCTGGTACTTTCGTACAATATAGACTTATTGCAGACATATAGAGGCTGAACTATGATGTGACGCTATGAAAATATAAATTTTCTACCCCTCCTTAAAATATTAAGTAACTGTTGTTTGACACCTGTTAATACGCAAGTGGAATGACTTTACAACAATAAAAAGTATTGCGTATTAAAATTTTTGTTAATAATAAATATTATAAATATCAATTATTACCCAAAACCCTCATTTCGGTGCAGACCGCCGTTTGGTTTTATCGTAGTCATAACCAACGTTAATAAATGTTATACCCCCCCCCCCCAACCACATAGTAGATATTACTATATTCTATAGCGAACGTTAATAAATATTATACCCCTCCCCAATCTCGCTGTAAACTGCAGTTCCATTCTATCGTAGTGATTACGTTATTCTGCAACCAACGTTAATATCATTATACCCCACCCCTCCCCTTTATTGGTTATCTGACTGTCGTATTGTAAGCCTACACGAATTTGAGGATAAAATTGTTTAAAATGTATAAATCTAAACCGAACCCACTCTCTTGTGGTTGCTTATAATGTTAATTCTATTAAACCATATTGGATTATATACACCCACATTAAACTATTTTAATAATCTAAACACGGCCCCTCTGCGTTTCACCTTTTTCTGATCAAACAGTGTGTGAAAGAACCCAGGTAAAGGTCGGTGGTCCTAGCCACGGTGGTGGCGTATAAAATTTTGTGAGAGGTGAAGGCCGTAAGTCAAGGTCAAATGTCCAAAAACTGACTTTGAAAAGTTCGAGTTCAGTTTTCTGTAACATGACTTTGACCCACTTATCTTTTCTGAAGGACGTCGTCTCTGCTTTCGAGCATTAACTTTGATAATACAGTAAGAAATAAGGCCAGGGCAAGCATAAACGCAAAGGCCCCGAGATGGAGGGGAAGTTTGGACTCGAGGTCAAAATCAAGGTCACGGTTGGTTGGCGTTGACTAGTGGAGATCACCACGACCTTTCACATTGACTTCCTTTCGGACACGGGCCCTCTGCGTTTGACCGTATTCTGACCGAACAGTGTGCAACAGGACCAAGGTAAACGTCCATGGTTCAAGCCAAGATGATAACCTTTGAATATGGTTACGGGGTCAAGGTCAAATGTCTCAAAACTGACTTTAAAAAGTTTGAGTTAAGTTTTCTGTAACATGACCATGACCCACGACTTTGACCCAATTATCTTTTCTGAAGGACGTCGTCTCTGCTTTCACCTCGAGCATTAACTTTGATAATACAGCAAGAAATAGGGGCGCAGCACTTATAAGCGCAAAGGCCCCGAGATGGATGTGAAGTTTGGCCTCAGGGTCAAAGTCAAGGTCACGGTTGGTTAGCGTTGACTAGTGGAGGTCACCACGACCTTTCACATTGACCGCGCCTATTGACTTCCTTTCGAACACGGGCCCTCTGCGTTTGACCATTTTCTGGCCGAGCAGTGTGCGACAAGGCCAAGGTAAACGTCGATGGTTCAAGCCAAGATGATGGCCTTTTAAAATGGTTACGGGGCCAAGGTCAAATGTCCCAAAACTGACTTTGAAAAGTTTGAGTTCAGTTTTCTGTAACATGACCTTGACCCACGACTTTAGCCCATTTACCTTTTCTGAAGGGCGTCGTCTCTGCTTTCACCTCGAGCATTAACCTTTGATAATACATTAATAAATAGGGCCACGGCAAGCATAAACGCAAAGGCCCCAAGATCGATGGGGGGTTTAGACTCAAGGTCACACTTGGTTAGCGTTGACTACTGGAGGTCACCACGACCTTTCATATTGACCGCGCTCATTGACTTCTTTTCGAACACGGACCCTCTGGGTTTGACCGTTTTCTGACCGAGCAATGTGCGACAGGGCCAAGGTAAACGTCGATGGTTCAAGCCACGGTGATGGCCTTTTAAAATGGTTACGGAGTCAAGGTCAAATGTCCCAAAACTGAGTTTGAAAAGTTTGCGTTCAGTTTTCTGCAACATGACCTTGACCTACGACTTTGACCAAATCATCTTTTCTTAAGGGCATCTTCTCTGCTTTCACCCCGGACATTAACATCGATAATACAGCAAGAAATAGGGGCGCAGCACTTATAAGC